CCATAGTATCGAGTGAAAAAAATCGCATTTTTCATCATCATCTATCACATTTAATTAGTTTGACATTTTTAGTAATTCCACATTCAAAAGTGCTCGATTTTCATTCATTACATTGAAGAAAAAGAGGTCTATCCAAGAGATCACTATTCCATTGGTAGGTAGTTTTCTAGGTCAATAATAATGCATATTTTATATACTTATAAATTATAATACCAATAATATATACTATTTATATAATTAAAATATAATCGTACTTGTATTTTATTGATTTCAAGATTTTAGATTTTAATTTTAGACTTTTTCTCACAACATTTCAATAAAAGTATTGAATTTGACTGAGAAGTTGGAAACTACCGGATTATTGAAAAAAAAACAAATCATTTTTACATTTTCTTTTAGATAGGTAGATATTTTTTTTAAACCGGTTCTAATTGCGATTGTGCAATGAGTCGAGCAAATAACGCAATGTAGCGTGATGGGCAGGTGTTTAGTACAGAACTATGTAGATGACAATAATGTACCTACGGCCTATTCAATGTTCATGGACAACAATGGCTGACGTGGTCAAACGGAAAAAGTGACAAACGATGCTCTCCATTACATGCTCTGAATAATAATCATGGCAACTTTATGCCTAGAAAATACTCTAAATCAAGGTCCTTCAGAGTTATGGTACTTTTTTTATGGAACCGTATTTTTTTAACCGAATCACTTTTTTAAAACACGCTTGTAAATGATCGCATCGTTTAGTGCACTCTGAATTTCATTGTTCAATTTTGTTTATCATTATTTTATCGAAACGAGCAATGATTTTAATTTAAATTTATTAAAGATCATTAAAGATCAGTCATGCTATGTACCTAGATGTTCTAGAATTTGACAATAATAAATGGTAGATAATAATTTGTCAAAATAGCAATTTTATCGCCTTAAATTGTGTAGGTATAAAATACTTATATACAATCTTTTTTTTCTAAATTGATGGGCTACTGTGCAACTCCCTCTTTCTATTCTCTCCAGCTACGCGTAGAATACATATGACTTATTCGTATCACTATCACTACATAGTATAAAACAAAGTCGCTTTCACTATAACTAAAGTCTAGTCCCTATGTATCTATGCTTGAATCTTGAAAACTACGCAACGGATTTTGATGCAGTTTGCTTTACCCTTGTAAAGTGGGGTCGCCTGCTTAGCGCTTTGGCTGTAGGTAGGTACGTTGTATATTATGTTATAGTACAATTGATTTGTGTGGCCAATTACATTGATATCTAGTAGTTGATGTTAACACCAGGTCTGCCTGATTATTATACAAATACTAGCTGAAACGGGAAATATTAGGTATATTTTTAGTTTTTTTGGTTTTTGTTAATATTTACATATATGTATATGTATAGCTAACATTCACACTGCGACAGTGATTGGGTCTCAAACTTCATTATCGTCTCCTGGGGAGTTAAAACATTCAAACCTCATTCAAATACATATTGTTTTTACCTACATTTTATAAATAACCAAACTGATAAAACCACTTACATTTACCTACTACCTACTATACTTTTAAAACTACCTCGGTTTAGAAAATAATGAAAATACTTTTTCTGCCAATAGGTAATTATCGAAGCACTCCAAAAGAAAGGGCATGCTACAACAGAACTGGGACCTACTGCTGGATTCGCTGCAATGGTGGCTGCTGCCAGAGATGCTTACGGCTACTTGGTACCGCAAACGGACCACAGACGAGTAGGCAGTATCGACGGATTCTAAATTTAAAAGTTAATTAAAATTGACTGATAATAGTGTTGTCATTTGACATTGAGGTGATATCGTATTTATTTCATTCCTTAGAGTCAATCTCTTTCTATTCTATTCTTGCGTTACGACTTACGACTCACGACTCACTCATAATAGGTACTTCGTGACGGTAAGCATTGAATTTGAATCACAATGATTCAAAATTTTCTGGTTTTTATTTGTAACAAGTTACTTAGTATCTTAAATACTTAATTAAATAGAAACTTAATTAGGTACTTTAATGTCCTCTATCGTTTTAATATAGTAGGTGCTATACTTACCTATATGTATCTATTTATATATTTGTATATCCTATGCACCTACTAAATAGGTACTGACGTGTCCCTTTGTATCTGCCTACATAAGATCTTTTTCATCATGGAAACCTCTACTAGTTAGATACTTTTTGTTAAACTTCTTTGGATTTAATCCAAGTGAAAATCGATTGTGATATTATGTTTTATGAAGGTGGATTTCTGGTTTTAAGTATTATTTTGTTATAGAAATATAATTAATTAAGTTGCTGTGATGTTTATGTATTGTTATTCGTGAAATAAATGGTTTTGATGGTACAAGTATGAATTGCTTATTTTTATTCGGATTCACAATCCTCATACTACCTGCCTACTAAGTAGTTCCTAACTACAAACAAGCTTTTAGGAATATACCTACTAGATAAAGCAATAAGTTTTAGCTACAAAGAACACAATCTCCAAAAAAACGCTTCCGTTATTTAATGGCAAGATTTTATTAAATAAAATTTTGAGATCACCTTTGTAATTTTGATTAACACACATTTATCAGGGAAATACAGTATGATTAATTAGACACCACTGACAAACGGTGAAGGAAAACATCACGAGGAACCCTTTTTTTTGACAGGGTAGAATCATCAAATGTCCTCTCTCGCCCAGGGTAGGCGACAGAGAGTGTCATACCCTTACTGACTAACAACCCTCCCTTTCCCTCTTCTGCTCTGAGCCGAGGCCGCGGTGAAACATCAGCCTATAGAGTGGTGGTCAGTGGCGGATTAACGTATAAGCACGAGAAGCACGTGCTTGGGGCCCCTGTTAAGCAGGGGCCTCCATCCTCTGCTGCTGTTTGATTTTATACCTATATGTTATCGAGATTGAAATCACAAGGCGCAAGCGAGTGACCCTTCATACCGTAGAGGGCCGCCAGTACGTCGCGTTGTGCCGCGAGACCGAGTACTTAGTCATCTTAGGAGTTTAATCTCCCATGGCGTCCTCACCTTCCGCCTGACGTTGGGCCTGACCTTCCAGCGGACGACGAGTAATTGTAGCTCGCCGCCCGACTAGAACCACACCCAAGCGTACTGCGCGTAGCGTTTCACGTGCGCCTCAAAGATCCAATAATTATAGATCACCACAGACGGGGCCCTACAGGGCTAATGCTTCCGCAGAGGGCGCTCCACGGTGGACGCCATCATGCACGTGAGGGACCTCACGATGGGGACTGCGTTAGCCAGGGGGCGAGTCGTCGTGGACCGCCACGTCCCTGGATATCGCCTACGCCTACAACTCGTTGCCCTGGAGCTGCATTCTGGAGGCACTCCGGTATCACCGGGTGCCTGCCTGTCTCACCGGTCACCGTGGCGTGTGGAATTGGCGAGAGCTGTCGCGCGGTGTCCCACAGGGATCGGTCCTGGGACCCCTCCTGTGGAACATCGGGTACGATTGGGTGCTACGCACCGGCCTACCGAGCGGCGTCAGCATTGTCTGTTATGCTGACGATACGCTGGTGCTGGCGAATGGGAGGTCACATCAGGCGCCGGCGACCTGATGTCGCAAGCGGTCACGACAGTCGTTGCAAGGATCCGGCAGTTGGGACTCGAGGTGGCGCTCCACAAGTTCGAGGCCATGTGTTTTTATGGCCGTTGGAACGCGCCACCTTGAGATGGGTCCCAAATAACGGCAGGAGGAGTTACCATCGGCGTCTAGTCGGCGATGAAGAACCTGGGTGTCGTCCGCGACAGCCGGTGGAACTTCACGGAGCATTTTCGTCGTTTGGCTCCTAAGTTGGAACGGTCTGGGGCCGCGCTCAAGCGGCTCCTTCCCAACCTCGGGGGGCCAAACGCCTCCTGCCGGCGGTTATATATGAGGTTTGCGCGATCCATGGCCCTCTACGGGGCCCCTGTGGGGGCGCCGGATATGAGGCGGCGGCCAGCTCCTACGCTGGTCGCGTCCCAGAGAGTCCCGGATAATCCGCGGATATCGCACAATCTCCGGTGAGGCGGCGAACCTTCTTGCCGGATCACCACCGTGGTATCTGGTAGCGAAGGCGCTCGCGCGCGTCAGACGCGCGTCGCCGGGGCGAAGATCCCCTGCCGCGCCAAATTAGTGCGTGGTGGAATGAGCTCCGGCGAGATCTCATGGCTGAGTGGAAGCGGGAGAAGACACTGGATGATTTTCCCCTCACAAAAAAAAACAGGGCTAATGCTTAGCCAGGTTTGCGGTCGTGAGTTTACCTGGACTTTACAAGTTTGAAATTGCCAGCCCTGAGTAATCGTGGTGATGTGTGAGAAGAGGCCTTTGCTCAGCAGTGGGCACTTATAGGCTGATGATGTGATGATGCGATCTCAAATTCCGAGATTTTCACCTTATTTTGGTTGAGATGACTGGACTTGGCTAAGAGTGAGTGAGTTGTCTTTGCATTGCAAATGATAGCGCCCATACGCGTTACCGCACGTTCTTACTTACTTCACGACGATATAATCTCGGATTTAGCTCTGATTAAAGCAAGGAAATGTTTTATATCTTAAATTATACCTACTACATTTTCTTTAAATGATGATATTCATAATGATATTCATTTTATACTTTCTGCCTTCTATTTCCATTTAAGCAATAGAGGGCCTACACTGGCTCTGTGCTTAGGGCCACGGATATTCTTAATCCGCCACTGGTGGTGGTCTATCGGCTCTTTGAGGCACGCGTGGAACGCTACGCTCCGTCCGCTTTTGGGTCTGGATAACATAGGCGAGCAAAGGAACTACATAATTATTTTTACTATTGTGGCGAGTGGTTTCGTTCTCTATATTACATAATGATACTCGTAATACTACACTTTAATTTTAACATGTACATAGAAGAACAAAAAATATTACAGAGACAATTAGCAATAAATATCTCTATGGTGTCATAATGCTACTTTGTCTGTAGAAAAGTTTCAAAATTCAATTGTCATATATGTCAATTGTCATCATCTGTCAACGATAAAATTTGGCGCGCCTCCGAAAAACCGGCAGCAGAACGTTAGATGAAATAGTTTTGGAGCTTCGTAATTCACATATTTATTTGTATTATTTGTCATACACATATTTGATTGCCAAAAGAAAATATATTTGGTGAATTGTGAACGGTAATTGATCTCAAAATGGGTCATCAATTGTCTGAGGGCTCTTTGGAGGTAAGTTTTCATCACATTGCTTTATACAATACCCAAATTGGCTTAAAGCATTAAAAGAATACGTAATTATTTCAATTCTCCTCACTAATTGCTTTATAACGATAGATTTAATGTTATTTTAAGTAACAATGTGCATTCATTAGGTCCCAAATATGAAAACACTCGAACAGGTCACAACTTGTTTGTTTGAGTATTGTCTTTAGGTGTAGTAATTGACAAACAAGATAAAACATGTTCAGCCTTCTATTTACCTCGGGAAAAACCGCTGTAATAAACAAAATGAACTTAAAACAAGAAACATTTTTGTTAATTGCCAATAATCAATGCAGAATTTAGTAACATCAGACTTCATAAAATTTGGCATCCGAGCTTTCAATCTGTTGTGCACAGTATTATTATTTTACTCCTATAACAAAATGCTAATTTCAGGTGATTATGAATGGAGGAGTTTATGATAAACCAATAATGCAAGTACTAGGCAGTAAGAAGATACAAGGAAGTGGAGCCAATGAAAGGTTCCGTCTACTTGTGTCTGATGGCAAACACTCACACAGCTTTGCCATGTTGGCCACACAACTAAATGACAAGCTGATATCAGGAGAACTGTCTGACTACTCTGTTGTTCAGATTGACCGATTTGTCACTTCATTATTGAAAAATACTGGCAAGGGAGAGAAGTAAGATTACCTATATTACTTTCTTATATACCTTAAAACTGAGATATTAAACTTGATATATGCTTGACAAACTCTATATTGTCAGTCTTTTGTTAGTTAATAAAACATCATCATCATAATAACCTTGTAATTATAATGTTATGTTTCATGAAATATTATAATATTACTTCAAAAATTATGCTACTAGCCTTGACCTAGTTTAGAATCATTTACAGAGAAATATTAACTGTAAGTTTATCTTCCACAGGCGAGTTATGATAATTCTAGACATCACAATTGTAGCTCCTGGCAATGAAGTTGGAAAAAAGATTGGCAACCCTCAGACTTGGACTGAGGAGTCAGCAGGAGCGGCACCAGCGCAGGCCGCACCGGCGCCGGCGCAACGCCCCGCTCCATCTCCCGCCGCCAAACCAATGATTACTCCAACACCAAATCTTGACTCCAGTCTGCTGTCCTCACAGATGACTCACCCCATTGCCAGTCTGAGCCCCTACCAAAACAAGTAAAATATTTTACTATGTATCTCAATGAACCTGCAATTGTGTATTAAAGTTTTGACTATAAAAAGGTACATTATGCATGATAGCTTTCAAAATTGCAAAATGGGAAAGAATAATAACAAACTATCTGTGATAGCATCCCAATAAGACATCAATTTCAACTTCTTACTTCTTCCAGATGGGTAATCAAGGCTCGTGTGATGTCAAAATCTGATATCCGCACTTGGAACAATGCCCGAGGAGAAGGCAAACTCTTCAGTATGGACTTGTGTGATGATAGCGGAGAAATCAGGGCTACCGCCTTCAAAAATGAATGTGATAAATTCTATGATATAATACAGGTAAGCAAGAAAACACTTGATTATTTTAATTATATATAGTTTTGTGATTCAAACCATAGCTCTTGAAAAAGGGATTTTAAAAAAATAAAAATTAATAGAATTGCTTAGTCATACTTTCAAATGTTTCTAGGTGGACAAAGTATATTACATAAGTCGGTGTCAACTAAAAACGGCCAACAAACAATACACAAGCATAAAGAACGACTATGAGATGACGTTCACAGCTAACACCGTGGTTGCTGAGTGCATGGAAGACTCATCCTCCGTACCCAGTATCAAGTTCGAGTTTGTCCCCATCAATGATATTGCTACGAAAAATGTCGACACTTTGCTAGGTAAGCCAATGTAAATCTGTTCCTCCTTGCATAGCATATTGTTACAAAAAAGTTGTATTTAAAACTCGAAAACTATTTTCAAAGTCAAAAGTCAAAGTCAAAATAATTTATTTCAATTAGACCCATACAGGCACTTTTGAACGTCAACACAACTTTAAAGACACAAAGTGTCAGTCTGTCGGTCAGTCCTCTTAGTAAAGTTTTACTTTTGATCTACCTAATGAATTATTTATTATAAGAGTTACATCACATTATTCTTCTGCACCATCACATTGAACCTGGTCTTGTAAGCATGATTTTTTAATTTTTTTCTTTTTCATTCATAATTTTTATTTCCAGATGTGATTGGTGTATGCAAGGCAGCAGCTGATCTTCAAGAGCTGACAGCTAGAAGTACTGGCAAGTTACTGAAAAAACGAGAACTGACCCTGGTCGACAATTCTGGTGGTGCAGTGAGTAAACAAATTTTACATGCACTTATTGTTGTTTATTTCTGATCCTTTCATTTAAAGTTAATGATGTTTAAGGTGTATAATATATTACGGTTTTGATCAAGCAGTTAAGTTGCAGCCAGGAAGCCAGTTTGTTATAAATGAAGATTACTACAATTTTTAATACTTTTTCCAGGTTGTTTTGACACTATGGGGAAAAGAAGCCGAAAGTTTTGAGGGCAACTCAAACCCAGTTATAGCAGTAAAAGTAAGTTATCAGTGCTATTTAGCTTAAATTATTATAAATATCTGCTGTTGTCCTTTATAGTATTATTTATGATGAATGTTAACATCCAGATGGACCTGAAACCGTCCATAAATTACAGAATACTCTAATTACATAGATAAAAAAAGAACTTATAATGAAGAAAAAATGATCTGGGTATTTTAAGTCCTAGAAAATACGATAAAATACTATGCTCCTTTAGCCACACGACTAACTAATAGAAATTATTTAAATTGTCAAACATAGGGAAGTTGAATTAATAAAGGAGAGATTCCTTAGACCAGCAGAGCACATATTTCACCTGATATGGACGATAGAATTTAACAAATTTATAAATTATTATTTAGGGCGCGCGTTTATCTGAGTTCAACGGCAGCAAGTCTCTGTCCTGTCTAGCGAGTTCCATGATCAGACAGAACCCTGATCTTCCAGAGGCCCACAAGTTAAGAGGCTGGTACGACAACGGTGGCGCCGACATGGAGATTGTCAATATCTCTGCAAGGTATTTTGTACTTATTGACTATATTACTTTACACATTTCAAATATGTTACCGAAGAATAGCTACACCAAACTGCATAAACTTTTTTGGGTTTTTAAAAAAAGACAGGATGTACCTTTTGTAAAAAAAATAGTGTGTTTTATTACGATTTAACTATATCATAAACCCCTGTATTTTGAAATTGTCAGTCGAATAAAGAATATTGAGCTTTCAAACACACAGTTATATCATTGAAGTACTATAGTCACCAAGTTTTCTTCTGCATGTTACAGAGCTGGAGGTTACACGGGTGGCAGTAGCGAATGGATCACATTCTCAGACGCCGAGGCTCGTCAACTCGGCTCTGGCGACAAAGGCGACTACTTCAGTCTCCTCGGAGTACTCACATTCACCTTCGCTGACAACGCAGTGTACAAAGCGTGTCCCCAAGAACAATGTAACAAGAAACTCGTCGATCAAGAAAATGGACTTTACAGATGTGAAAAATGCAACAGAGAATACCCTAATTATAAATACAGGCTCCTCTTGGCGGTAAGTTACGTACTTATTTACGTAATCATTTGTATTATGGTCTGTACTATATAGCTTGCTGACTTGGATTCTGCATTGCTGTACTGATTAATTACTCATGAGCTTGAAAACCAGGCATCAAGATTTGATCTTCAGGTTTTATCGATTTTGTATTAATAGTGACACATTTGGTTGTCGCCAGTAACTTGCGAAAAATCGCGTTGAGGAACAATTTTAATATAAAATGTTGTATTCAACAGGCTAACGTATCAGATGCAACTGGCGATCAACGTATTACTGCCTTCAACGAGGCAGCGGAAGCAATGCTCGGCAGAAACGTTGCGGAAATCGGTCGCTTGTTCGAATACGACAAGACTGGCTACACACAAATGTTCGAAGAAGTCAAATTCAAGACTTTCGTGTTCAAGTTCCGTACCAAAATGGAGACATATAATGTAAGTATACAGATTTATGTAGTACATTTTAATTAATATAACTTTCATGAAATGATATCTCTCCTATCCAAAACACCTACAGACCTACACATCCCAAGACCAATTACGCATTTGTTACTCTAGTTACTGAGTCCTCTAGAGTGCTTACCATCGTATTATCGATTTGCTGGTTTGTTGCCCTATGCCATAAAACAGTTACATACGGCATAGTCACATACCTACTTTAACTACACTAGAATTACATATTCATGAACAGCATTGCGCTACAGACGGAAAAGTAGCAGGCTATGGCGGTCGAGTGAAATCTATCGAATTGAATAAAATGTATCGATCCAATTCCTATTACTGTTAACAGTTGTTATAGGTCCTTTATATTATGTGCTGACCGGACATTACATCTCAACTAAAATATATTCTTGATACAAGTTGATATAAAAATCTATAAAACGTGTAGCATTTAACTGAGCAATCGTTATTTACTTAAAACCATTTGTTTTTACAGGATGAAGCTCGCCTCAAAACGACAGTCATGAATGTACAACCTGTAGATTACAAGGACGCCAACAAGAGATTAATTGCAAGCATAAAGACACTCTCTGGAGTCGAAGTTTAGGATTTACATTAATTTTATGTGTGTTAATTAAGAAATGTCAAACTCATAATCCACCTGAAAGTGATTAATTTAATTGATCATGTAATGTAATAATAATACCTATGTTATGAATATTGTCTATGTAAAATTGGCCTAGTGTTATTCCTCAGCTATTATGTGAAATAAATATTAAGTTTTTTAAAAAATTTTTTTAATTCTACTCCACAGACGTGACAAAAAACAATGGTATAAGTAATACTAAAAAACGTGTACCATCCCAAAATTTTGACGTCCTAACTAAAAATGTCACTATGCAACGGACGTCGTGTCGCTAAGATCATTTCAGAATAACCCATTACAAAATCTTAAATATTTGATGTAGACATAGTCCAATCTACATATATTATCTAAACCATCTTCGGTGATTGATAAAAAGTTGTGCCATTTAATTTTAGTCCTTCACAAATAACTAATAATTCAAGTGATATAAGAATATATATAGTCGCGTCGTAGGCCTGTCCGAGTGTGAACATCGTTTTTGTCGCTTCCAGTAAGCAGTGTTTCTCAAAGTTTTGTTATCGTTCCAAATCTCAAAATGGAAATTCAAAATTGTGGGTCTTGTGGAGACAATGTCTCAGAGGGTGTACAGTGTACTGTCTGCAATCAATATCTGCACTTTCAATGCAGCGGTGTAACCGAAGCTGGATACCGTAGGCTGGGTGATAGAAAGTTCACTTGGCGTTGCTTCAAATGTAAGCAGTCTAATACGCCACAACCACCTAGCTCACCGAGGCCTGAAAATGAATCTGCTATACTGCTTGAAATTCGTGCTTTAAGTGCAAAGATGGCACCACTGGACAACCTAAAGGATGAGTTCTCGGCCTTAAGAAGTGAATTTGCCGAGTTAAAATCGTCGTTTCACAATCAATACATAGCAATGATTGACGATCTTAACAATAAAATTAATGGCATGGAATCTCGAATTGCTCAGGCGGAGAAGGTTCAAGAACAAGTTGCTTCAATAAGGGTGAGACTGGAGAAATTGGAAGAAGACTCCGACAATAAAGATCAATGGTCGCGTATGAGTAACGTGGAAGTAAAAGGGATAGAACAAACGAAAAATGAAAATTTAATTGATATTATACAGAAGGTCGGTACTAAAATCAATTATCCTATACACAAAAGCCAAATTAATTTTGTAACCAGGGTTCCAACAAAGGATCCGGAAAACATCAAACCGATCATAGTATGTTTCTCAAACCGATATGTAAAGGAGGACTTTATAGCGGCGGCAAGATACGAGTTTAAGACCACTCCTCTAACGGCCGATCAGCTCCAATTAAAGGGGAAGCATAGAATTTACATTAATGATCATCTAACAACTAAAAACAAGAATCTTCTCTCTAAAACCAAAAAAGCGGCGATTGAAGCAAATTTCCGTTACGTTTGGGTGAAGCATGCAAAAATACATATTCGGAAAACGGACACATCGCCAGTCATAATAATAAAATCGGAGAAGGATCTTGTAAAAATTGTATAACTTATTTATTTCCTTTTTCTTGTTTTCGATTAATTTTTCACATAGTCTTAAGTTTCACATTAATCTGTACAATAGTATTAAATGTATTGATCGCAAAGTTTGAGAATTACTATCCGGTGAGTGAATCGTGTGTATTCCAACAATTACTGTGTCATACAGGTGAGTGTCATTGCAAGTACTTAAACTATTCGCTACCTGCTACAATCGCGTCCCAATGTAAATTTAGCCATAACTTAGTGTACATAAGGAATATTTTTGAATGTCTTAAGTTGATGTTTGTGATGTTTTGTAACTATGGACCGCCTTTTATTTCTATTCATCGGTCATTAGATAGCCGCCTTTCAATGATGCGTTGTTTTGTTCACTGTGTGCTGCCGTGTTTTACTAAATATTTAACTTATACCCGCACAAAAGATATTCATTACAATAATTTTATGTCAAGTAATTGGAAGCTTGTGACTGTGCGTATGTTATTTACTTATTTAACACCATGCTTTATTGTATGCATTATTTATACTGTTATTGGTAATATGTACTGTGTCTTCTATTAATATTTATTACCAAAATGTACGCGGACTACGTACGAAGACTTGTAATTTATATCGTAATATTTGTCTTAGCGCCTATGATGTTATTGTTTTTACGGAAACATGGCTTTTAGATGATATTTTTAGTAGTGAACTCTTTGATGATAGATACCTTGTGTGGAGACGGGATCGTGAATACGGCCGTACTGCCCAGAAATGTGGTGGTGGCGTATTAGTCGCCGTCAAAAAGGAGTTCGCAGTGATTGAAAGACCCGAGTGGCGTAGTTCTGCCGAAGATATTTGGGTAACCATTATCCTAAAAAAGTCGAGGCCCTCAGTAAAATATAACTTACACCTATGTGCCCTTTATTTATGTAAGGAAAACCTTGGGAACACCTATAATACACAATTACTCAATTTTACTAATAATGTAAGCAACTTAATATTAAAAAATCCGTTAGATAAATATATTTTGCTAGGTGACTTTAACTTCGGTAATTCTGTTGAATGGTCGGATACATCCCACAATGGTGAATTAAGCCCTTCTAATATAACATGTCAATGTATTAAGAACTTTTTCGACACGGTGTACACTTATAGTTTAGCCCAGTACAACAGTGTGCGTAACATAAATAATAGGCTTTTAGATCTTATCTTTTCCAATGACATTGTAATCGTAAGTAAATGCACAAATCCACTTGCGTTACCTGTAGACATGCATCATAACCCTTTAACAATTCAAGCCGACTTTGTTGAACTTCATAAACTTTCGGACAATTTAACAAACAAATATATTTTTTCCAGAGGTGACTATACTTCTATTATAACGGAGCTTGAAAAAGTTAATTGGGCCGAATTCTTACTCACTGGATCATTGGATGACGCAGTTGCACTTTTCTATAGAAAACTGTACGAGCTTAGGGATAAATTTATTCCGTTAAAAATCACAAAAAGTACTGCTTATCCGTCATGGTACAATACGGCTCTAATAAAAATTCTAAAAGAAAAATATAAGTACCATCGTAAATATAAAAAATATCACAACTTGTCCGATTATCATTCTTTTTCTTTGTTACGGACCAGAGCTATTGAAGTGGAGAAAAGTTGCTTTGATACGTATATGGCTAAAATTGAATCTGCTATAATTAACAATCCAAGATCATTCTGGTCATACGTAAAAAACAAAAGAACTATTAATGCATTCCCTAATGTGATGCATTACCGTGACACGATCGCTGAAACAGGTGAAGACATATGTAATTTATTTTCAAATTACTTTCATTCCACTTTCCAAAACCCAGACTCTACTGTAATACCTTCTAGTGAAAATAATAATTCCGTAACTAACATTAGCACTATTGAAATTAGTCATGAGGAGGTATTAAAGTTAATGAAATCCCTGGATTTGACCAAGGCGGGCGGCCCTGATTCCATACCACCTATTTTTATAGTTAAGTGTGCGGTTAGCCTGGTTGATCCAGTGTGTACCTTATTTAAGCGATCAGTTTCAGAGGGTATTGTACCGAGGGTATGGAAATCTGCATATATCACCCCTGTATTTAAAAAGGGAGATCGGTCAAATGTAGAAGATTACCGCCCTATTTCTAAAACATGTCTTTTTTCTAAACTCCTGGAAAGAATAATACATAAACAAGTTTATGGAGCAGTGAGAAGTAATTTTGGTGGAGAACAAAATGGCTTCCTTAGAAACCGATCTACAACTTCAAACCTCATACTCTCCCATGAATTTGTATCTGAAGGCATGGACCAGCGTGCGCAAGTGGATGTTATATATACAGATTATTCCAAATGTTTTGACAGAATAAATCATACAGTGCTACTGGATAAATTACTACTAACAGGTATTCATGGGGACCTTTACCGGTGGTTCTCATCATATATTGAGAATCGCACACAGGCAGTAGTACTAAAAGGGTACGTATCTGGCTGGAATTACGTTCCTTCTGGAGTACCTCAAGGCTCAATCTTAGGACCTTTGTTATTCACACTGTTTATCTCTGACATACATAAGTGTTTCAGACATAGCTACATCCTACTCTATGCAGATGATATGAAGATTCATAAAGTTGTTAAAAACATATCAGATGCTGAGCAACTTCAAAATGATCTGAATAGGTTCGAAGAATATTGTGTGTATAATAAACTCCAGTTAAATGTTGCGAAATGTTTCCAAATCACATACTCCCGACAAAAAACTATTGTTAGTTTTGAATATAAATTAAACGATCAAATACTCAATAAAGTCACTTCAATTAAAGATCTAGGAGTAAAAATGGACAATAAACTTTTGTTTGATCAACACATTGATTACATTGTAAATCGAGCATCAAGGGCGTTAGGATTTATTATAAGAGTTTCAGCTGATTTTCGTTCCTTAAAAACTATAAAAATTCTATATTGTGCTTTCGTACGTAGTCACTTGGAATACGCGTCACAAATTTGGAATCCTCAGTACGAGATATATAAGTCTCGTATTGAAGCTGTACAAAAGAAATTCTTGAGATACTTAGATTACAAAGCACGGCAGTATTCAGATGATTACAATCACCGTTGTAAAAGATATCACTTTCTACCGTTACACTACAGACGTAACATTAGTGACATTTCATTTTTCATGAATATTGCGAATGGGTCGATCGATTGCCCAGAACTATTGGCTAAGTTACACTTACGTACTAATCTTCTAGGGCTCAGGCATAGACCACTTATGCAGATTGCTTCTGGTTCAACCAAATATAGAAAAAATACCTTTCTCTTACGTGCAGCACGAGCATTCAATAATATTCCTGAAGACTTAGATGTAGATCTTTTTTGTTCAAAAGCGATCACAGTGAAACGCTTATTAGCAAATAAATTCTTTGAAGATGATTCCCGGATGTAAATGTCGAACTTTATTATAATACTTTGCTTAAGATTGCATATCCTTTTAATTTATACATAGTGTTTTTGTGTATAGTCTCATTGGAGCTCTCCGAAGGGATGGGCAGTCTTTGTTCAAAAGTAGTTCCTTTATTTATATATATATATTTTTTTTTTTGTGTCATGTGTTTATAATATAATTACTAGTTTAATATAGATTTAATTTGTGTAATATTTGAGATATTATCTGTGTTTACCTTTTCTGTATGTTCCAGTGAGGTTCTTGGGTCAGTCTACGATAATAATATTATTTTATGTAGTCACTTAATGGTGGAAGCTTGTTGTTAGCAAATTAGAAATTTATTAAGTTATTATTATTATAATTAGTCTGTAAGCTTTCCTTCGAATAAATAAAAAAAAAAAAAAAAAAAAAAAAAAAAATACCTACCTAATTTAGACACTAATTCTTTTAAAATACTTAGTCAGCGTATATAAAAGGGTACGATGGGACTGACATATCTTTGATGAAAGCCCCTAAATAAAATAAGAATAAAAAAAACTTAAACATAATAGTTATTATTTTCAATAATAGATAGGATAGCTTTGGACTGATCTTGCTAATTGCCAACTAGTCTGGTTGAAAATCTTACAATAATTACAAAACCCGGTGGTTTTATAAATATTCACCGCCCCCGTATATCATATATCAATTGATGGATGGATGTTTCCAAGGTCCCGTTTTTTTTTTTATGTATGTGTTAATGTTTTGAGTATATCCATCTCCTGGGTGGGTCGAGAGGAAGTAACTGACCCTTAGGCCCACCGCACACCAGGAGAGGTGCGGCTAAGATACCAAAACAAAAGTCGCGCGCGGAATCCGATCGACTCTGAGCGCGGTCAAGTGCCATCGAGAGCCCTGAAGCGGCGCGATGCGGCGGCTCCTTGCGCCGCCTCACAACTTTCGCCTCGACAGTTTTGGTTGATATGTTGGCCAGTATGGATGAGGATTGGGACATGATTATTATTTCTGCGCTTACAGAAGAGGAAGAGGAAGGCTGGCTTTAAAGAGTTTGGTGAATATCAAACTATGGCAAGGAATTTAAAAGGACAAGATTTTTATGATTACGTTAAAATGTCCCGTGAAACTTTTGATGCTTTGTTGATCTTGATTTTTTTCTTTATGATTCACGTCGTCGATCGAAGGCACGGCTATGCAAACGAAAACTCTCCGGGAGTCTGCGAGATCGCGCCAGGCAACCGGAGCAGTCACTCGACGTGCCGCGCGCTACTCGATTTTGGCATACCATTTTCAACCGTATGTCAAGTGTTTAAGGCTTAGTTTTAACTGATACGTTCTCAGTATCTTCGCCACGCCTCTCCTGGTGTGCGTTGGACCTTTCTCACTAAAAACCAAACCGTTCCATCTCCTGCTCTGAGCTGCGGAAATGCGCCTGTGCTCGTAACCCGGGCTGTATCCCAGCCCGGGTTACGAGCACAGGCGCATGGGTCTGGATGGAAGTGACCTTTGGTTGACCATTTCAACCAAAGGCCTATTAAATTTCAATTTAGTCTATATATATCCTTGCTTATATGTATTTTTCAATGATAGGATAGCTCGGGACTCGTCAGGTTAAACATTTTTCAATATGGTGAAATCTAAAAGTTTTAGCAAAAAAGGTTTAATTGGGTACAACCTCAACCTTTTTTTTCTTTAGTAATGACGCGATATTTCCGCTATCACACTTATGTATCGTAAGCGATGATGCGACCTACGATGGAGCACGCCTACCCATAGGTTACCCTAAGCGAGGACGCTTGTTCACTTTCACTCGGGCCTTGGAAAACACTTAGGTCACACAAGGTTTTAATAGCTATCTTTTGGACGGAAAGGTTAAGGATTATAATTATATACAAATATTTTTTACTAGTTACATTATTTATTCAATCTCATTTGATATGACTCATAATTTGGCTAAGAAAATTGTAATGTTATATAACGGATGTACTTGGACAGTTGAGCTTTGAGCTACCGAATATTTTCTAATTTGTTACAAATTACATTTTGTAGGAAATGAGAAAATATTATAGGTATAGAAAATCTATCGATATTTGTTTGGTAAGATTTTATACACTGGATTAAAAGGTTTATCTCAGGTGCATGAAACAACATATTTATTTTATGTCTGTCCAAGTACGTTCGAGGTGCATAAAATTAAGTAGCTAATGTAATTCAATATCAATTACAAGGGGTTATCATTTCTATGTAAAATGTACACTTATATTAGGAAACTTCAATAATTTAATGTTATTTATTATGACTACAGTAAAATTAATATGACTTACAAAGAAATGTAAGTTAATTGTTACATGGCAGTGTGGATTTATTAAATATTTATTCATATTTAGCGGACTAAAGATGAGAGCAACAATTATTGCTATAAAAACTTAAATCTAGTTTAGCCTTGTACTTAAATAAAATCAGACGTAATCCTAAAATAAAGCTTAAGAGTATAAAAATTATTAGTACATTTCAAAAATTTTATGGAGCTCAAAAATAACACATTTTTAAGTTATTTAGGTTGAAAATTCAGTGTTTCTTATAAAGTAGTGACTAAGAGCGAATAACGGGTTTCGCGAAGGGAAGGTTGAAGTGAGCTAAATTTATTTTACTGTAATTAAGAGTATGTAAGGATATGAATAGTTATTACAATGAAGTATGTCATCGACTGGGTGATTATGTGGATAAATTGAAATCGACAAGCGCACAAGCTGCAGCGCTCGCGATATGAAAACACGAAGTATGCAAAGCCTCAATCAATTACATCAACGATTACATATAGCTGCATTTTTATCACAATAAAGTATATTATAAAACTAAATATACAGTTTTCGATAGCCAGATCTTAAAAATACAAAATTACTCATTTATAAAAAGATTTTCTTATATTTTGCACAAAATTAATAGGAAATCGTGCGTTTACATTACATTTTAGGAATAAAACATTGATTTATGCATCGACCAATAAAATACGTTAAAAATTAAAGCCTTGACCAAGAATATTCGACAATAAAATAAATACGAAGCTGCAACTTCGCCGTGTCAGACAAACATGGCATGCCATTACAACAATGTCCACAAATATTACACTTACACATATAATTACCACTATTTTATAATTATTACGAATTTTACTCGTCAATTAATTGTTCCATTAGGTACGTTTACATAAATATTAAGAAAATATAATTTTTAAATTATCTTCAATTCCAAACTTTGAGATTTACAAAATAGTAAAACCAACGAGATTCTAGACATCACTAATACAATTCAAATTAATATCAACCAATTTGCGTACAGCGTACGGCTTACATAGTCAGACACGATTTCTATGTATATAATCGTTAATAAAATAGTTTTCAAATATGGAGTAGGTATAATACGATACTAAGGGTAACTTTAATGAAAACATATATTTAATTCCTTTAAATATGTGAGTAGTCGTAGTCCGATATCGTGGTGGTCCGTGCCTCGTGGTACACTGGTCACAATATCACACTAGTTCACTAGTCGCGTCAGTCAAACACTGAGGGTCGCCTGCCCTATGGCCCGCGGCCCCGGCGCGCCGCCCCGCCCTGCGCCGCCCTCCCCCCACTACACGTCGCAAGCCATATACACTGATACACAACACTAACCAAATAATAAATTAAACCAATCTAACACTATCGCTCTTTGGAACGGATTACATTCGAGGTACACAAGTACACACACGATCTGAATGTGGTCCGCCCGTCACTAAGCGCCAAATTATCATACACACACTTAAAAAATAAAACATAAAAAAAAGAAATCACAAAAATATATCCCGAATAAGGCGATTCTCAATTATTAAGTAGATTTTAGTTAATCTCTCGCTTTCAGATCTTATCGTTTCTAACCGATACAAAATAAAAATAATCAACCGAGGTAAGTCATACTAAAACTACAGAAGAAACTATAAAATAACATAAATTAAAACAAACTAAGAGTCTACAAAAGAATCATAGCACTTACACTGGAAGTAGCCAAACGAAGTTGTTGTTCTATTACTTATAGTTTCGTTATAACAATTATTAAATCTACAATATAGTTTCAGTACGAGTCGCAGTTACCGCATACAAGAATAATTATTATTAAATTTTGAACAGTCAAGTACTATGATATCTTGGAACAACAAAAACAACGGGACCGTCGCTAGTATTGCGATGGGTCTGATACAGCATCGACAAGTCGCTTCCCCGGCACTGGGGGACGTGGGCACGGGGACCTGCGTCAGTCGTACCCACGTCACCCAGGCAACTACCTTGATCAAACAGCGCACACTTAAACATTGGTTTGTCATCACTATCTACCGCATACAACAGTTTAGATTGGACATATTAAAATATTTTTATTCAACGATCATTGTTAAAAAACTTACTGTCGATAGATTTGTTAGCTAGAGATATATCATAGACAAATCTATGAATAGAATTTGGATGTTAAATTCGTTTTAATGACAGTCAGGGAAACTTACAAATATTGTTGAACACGTATTTTTTTGTTTAACTTACCCAAAACCTTGTTTGTTTAGTTTGAAATTAGAAATGAACTTGCGAAGCTGGATTTTAATGCGATTGATTTAAGTCGATCTTTGTAATTTTAGTTAATATTCTATATAATGCTTTATCCTATCAGAATAAACTCTGACCAAGAAATGCTACATGCACAATTATGATGGCCTTCGCTTCATCTGTATTCTTTTTGGATAGTAACTATTGTGAGACATACTAAACTAATTGAATTAAATGAGTGCGTCGCAGCGACGTCACGCACGCTGCCTAGAATAAGTCCCGTTGTAATTTAAAACTACTAACACATTTCTAAGTTAAATTAGGTACCAAAGTCGTTAGTTTCACATACATTTCACACGCCACCTTCGAATGGTTCGTTTTGATACGGGATTTCTTTTCTAATTGGTCGAAACAAAAAAATACGTGTCAAAAATATTGTCATTATCTGACGGTAGGAATAGGTTTGATCATCTGTACAGGTGTCGGTAGAGAGTGAGGTTAAGTGCGGCGCGTGAGTAGGCGAGTGGGCAGTAGTTGGGGCGCGGGTGGAGTGGTGGAGCTAGTCCGGCGGCGCGGCTAGACCCAGCGGCCGGGGCCGCTAGCGCGCGCCTCACGGCACCAGGTCGGGCAGGCGCCCGCGGCCCTAGGGGCGCGCGCCGCTCTCTGCGCTCACCACCTGCGGCACGACACACGCTTTCAGTATACTATAATACCCCTGCATCCAACGGTTGTCAAACTACGTCAATGTCAATCATTAGAATTGTAAGCCAACGGTTATCACAATCTATAATAGAAAGTCGTGTTAGTTACTCCACTTATAACTCAGGATAGGATAGAGTAGGTAGTGTAGGTTAGGTAGAGTAGGGTAGGTAAAGTAGAGTAGGGTAGATAGAGTACAGTAGGCAGTCAAATGACGGGAGCGACGCCGCGGGTAAGAGCTAGTATAGTATAAAACAAAGTCACTTTATCTGCCCCTTATGCTTAAATCTCAAAAACAACGCAATGGATTTTGATTCGTTTGTTATAAGTGATTGAATAGGAAGGTCAATATGTATAAATATTAGCAGTGCAATGCTAACGTACGAAGCCGGGGCGGGTCGGAAGTAAATAAAACATACTATTTCAAAGATAAGACAAAAAATATATATAACAACAAAAATACTATTATTATTAATTGTGACTGACAGGTTACCGTTTACCACCATACCAAACCACCGATAAGTAAGAAATCGATACCTAACTCAAGTTCTTAACAAAATTAAAACCTTTAGGTTTAATAAATAATAATAACACATGAAAACCCTTTAGGTTTTAATTTTGTTAGAACTTGTACTTTAAATAGCACTGATTAAATATATTTTACAAATTATTTCTGTGACCATTTAATTATATCTTGTTACGGGCAAAATATTTTCTCATCAGCTACTGAAAAAGTCGACTTATAGTTCCAGTTCCAGTACGAACGCCAGTGATTAGTTAATATGTATTGATTAAAGGTAAATATATAGTAAAAACATCTTTCTGTGTCAATTTCTGTAATTTGAGACCCAGATAGATCTTATAGACAAAAAACAAAATCCTTTAAGTTGCAAATAGGAAAATAAATCACCACACATAAGTATTGGAATTTAAACTCTAAAGAAGTGTAGTTAAGTGCTAGAACTCACTTTCCGCTCCTTGTAGTAAAGCTCCTCGCTCTCCTTGTCACAGAGTAGCAAGACGACAGCGCCGAACAGGAAGATGGCGGCGCCCCAGCCGACGCCGTACGCCCATCCAAACTCCCACACCGATCTATTACCTGTATACAAACATTACGTCAAAATCATCACTAAACAAATATTTTAAAGTAAATATTGAATGTCTTTTAATAATAAAAAGAAATATTTTTTTTTGTTGTAAAAATGTAGATTACAAAATATTAAAATCTTAGAATGAATATGACGGCTCGAACATTGAACAAAATCTGTGAAATCTAACGACAGATATCTGGCATTATTTAAAGCATAAAATGTGTCGAAATTGTATCTAGGTACAGTCAGCTAAACCAAATAATAAAAATGTTGTTGAGAATGGTCGAAAGTAAACCGAAAACATATTTAACAACTACAAAATATAATTCTATTCCTATAAAATTGAAACAACAAGGCTGAATCATTGATCAACATACCTACTAAAATTCACATACAATCTTTACCAATTATAATATTTCATAAATAGTATACTAGCTGTGCCCCGCGGTTTAACTCGTGTAGTTAATAGCCTGAAATAATGTAGCTTCCTAGCAGTGAAAGAATATATTCAAAGCGGTCAAGTAGTTTTAGAGCTTATTGAAATGACCAAACAAAAGAAAAATGTCTTTAAAATATTACGAGTAGTACCTAGGTAGTAAAACTTCACGAATAAATCTAACTGAGCATACAGTATACCTACATTTACAAAAATCTGTCATTTCATTCGAGAGTCCCTGTGGCATACAAAACTTCTCGAAACTTCGACTGTTCGAAACCGAAGACAATGGGAAAAGTTGAATGTAATATTAAAATGTACTCCAATAAGGCATTGCGTACGTTCTACGCTGAGTTACTGAGATCGCTTGCTTGCGTCACTCCAAAGTTCTCAAATATCGTAAAATATCATTAAAAGTAATTTATCATTTCAAAATGTTTGAAATTTTCCGTGATACCGTATCATTTACATTGTACAAACCCAATTTGCCTTCGGTAAGCCTAAAACAATGTTTCATCTTGATCAATGTTCAATGTTTATGGGAGTCAATTGTGTGTATATTATCCCACTTATTTTTAAATAGGAAATTATTTTTGTTTGTTACCTTAATACAGTTAATATACTCAACTAAGCATAAAACATATGTATAGCTCAAAGTCAGACAATGCCGCGGGTAAAAGTAACTTTGTAAATAAAATAACAACTCACCCAAGTTCAGCTCCGCAGCGAAGCAGACCGGGTAGATCACTAACGCTATTAAAATGCACATTACTGAAACAAAGAAAACGAATTATTATAATATGTAGAAAAACGCAACTACAAAATATAGTTATATTATAGTAAAGTATGGGAGAGCCAAGCTTCGGCACGAATGGGTCGGCTCGACCGGAGTAATACCACGGCCTCACAGAATACCGGCGTGAAACAACCACAGCGTTGTGTTTCGCCGTGTGAGTGAGGTTACCGGAGGCCTAATCCCTCTCCTTCCCCTATTCCTTCCCAATCCTTATATCCGCAACCCCTATCCCTAAAAGGCCGGCAACGCACTCGTAACTCCTTTCGTGTTGCGGGTGTCAATGGGCGGCGCCGATTGCCTACCATCAGGTAATCCGTCGGCTCGTTTGCCGACTTATAACATAAAAAAAAAAAACAAAAATATGTTTACTTCGACTTTCACTTAAAAGGCAAACTAAAAAAGCACAGAAAAAGGTAAAGTTTTCTTACTAAATCATGTTAAAAAATGTACTCTCTATAGCTAGCAATCTGAAATGACATGGTCAAAAGTATTTTTAAAATGTATGAACAAAAATACTTGCTATCTAAAACAAAAATTGTATAATAATTGAGAGTATAAAAGTAATGTTTCCCGGGATTTTAAAAACAGCAGCGTTTAAAGCGAGAGCTCGACTAAAATATAAGTATAATTTATAATCTATAGCACTCAGAAACATTGCAGATATCAGTGAAATTTTGGAAATCCGACCATCGGTTCCAACGATTACGCCCTACTTACAAACTTACAAATTTTACTTCTTTATAATATGAGTATAGATTATAGGTGATATAATTGATTACTTACGGGCTAGCGACATAGCGAGTACGGCGAACCGATAGTATCGGAACTTGGTGCGGTGGTCTGCTGACCGAAGACCCAACCCCGTGAGTAAGGCGCCGCATACATCCGCTGCCAGGGTCGCCACGCACAGCCCGGCTGCCGCTCTGAGAAAAAACATACGATTCATTATAGTATGTGTATTATTTGTAGAATATGTGTGTTTTTGCTATATGTAGCAAGCATTTTTTTAACTGTGATGTGGGTATCCAAATGAAATCCGAAAAATGAACAAAACCACAAGAAATAGCAAGCCCTAAATCAAACTGTTTACTTGTTTTACTGCTTAAAAGGCAATCCTTTTTGTAGCGATACTAGTATCGAGACATAACGGGACCTTAATCTTGAAACACGAGCATGTATACGGGTAATTAAAAATAACATTAATTTATTTAACATTATAAATTATAAGGTTTTAAAGCATCAATTAGCAGATGCAAGTCAAGCCTCTATAGCACACATCTAAAGAACTTTTGGACATCATTCAATCGTCTAATAGTTTTGATGTATTAAAAGAGACTTATCTTTTCACAATAATACCGTCATAATGTACATTTCAATAGCTTGCCTCTATTTATTAGAAATGCTTCTCGTAGCTTTCCATACCTACTCTAAGCTTTGCCTGTCACCAAGTCATAAACGACAAGATTAAGAAATATTGATTATTTGTACACTTGAATTAATGTTATCACTTTTGTCTTTATGTACCAGTCACGCTATTTGACAAATCTAAATAATAAAAACAGCCATTTTTCAAAGGTTAGATAATAGTTACCTGGGGAATAATTATGATGCTGTCGCGTCACAATGTTTGTATAAGACAGTGACAGCAACAATTTTATACCTTAGATAACATTTATCTGACTAGCCCTTAGCCACAACAATTTATGTATTTGACAAGTCTTTTTGCTGCATTAGCGCCCCTAACGAGGCGACATAGTAATCCTCATTATGCAGATTAGCGATATACAGGGCATGATGTTGTATTAGTACCTATATAAGGCTGAAAATAATCATAAAAAATAAATATATCGGCGCCAAGTATTACGTTAGCCATGAACTCTCTTAAATCGGATGTTATTGATTTTTTCCGCAGTAATTCCTAGAAGCTACGGATATAAAACAAGTTACTTTTTTTAAAAAGAATAGGTAGGCTTTCTGAAGAATAGATCTTATTACTTACTTAATATAAGGTGCGGGCCTAGCAGCATAGCAGCCGGGCTGTGCAGTTATATCGAAGGGCAACGGCGTAGGAGCTTCAGGGTCTATACAGTGCATGAAGAGGCCTTGTCTCCAACCTGCCGCCATCAGCCAGTCGGCCGACGCCAGGCCCAATACCATCAGGATCACTACTAACAAGCCGCATATAAGCGCTATCACCTGAAACGAAACACAACAACAACAACTTAGAAAAAGAGACACTAAAAACTTTTTTCGCACATTGTTTTAGATAGATACCTATATAAGTACATTTAAAAAGAAACCGACCACGTGCGAGTTTAGCTCGATGTCTTCCGTGCCAAAGTCGTGTTTTTCGTTAAGGAGCCCCTTAAATATTTATATTGTTTTAGCAATTTTGTGTTATAAAGGTAACAAACATATTATAATAGACGTGGGTTGGATTTGGATTAGGCAAAATCGGTACCTGTATCTATATTTATTCAATACCTAATTTCACCCATAATATTTTTTGCGACACCAAATTTTTCATCGGGCGGGCAAGAAACGAAAAATCCCAAATCAACAATATCGTATGTGGATTGTGTAGGAAATATTCAGTGCCTATGGATTGTGGACATTCCATTTATAATACTTAAGTATATCCTGGAACGAAGGGATCTGGATAGATGCATGGATTATTTGTGTATTTAGTTTTTTAGCAAAGGGTACTTAAAATAGGCCATTTAATAACTTAATGGCACAATTTTAAGGTACATAATATGTTTTGGGCAGACTGTAGTTAGTGCAAATATTTTGTGTCGTACCTAACTCTCGACGCTTTGAATTAGGAGGATTAGAATCAAAAAATACCTAATCCACGTAACTAATCCGATATTTATGCCTCATGTCTACAAACCGACATAGACTCGCGCGTGAGCAACACGGATTTCGATATTATCTATCAAAAGTTTGTAAACTCCAACATAATCCTTCGGTAATTTAATAAAGCTAGTAATTCAGAACAATGATCCATTATCTTTCGATTACTTTGATTCAATTTCAACCCACATTCGATCGTCACATTTCTAGTAACTATTAATTTAATATAAGTCTATAACATTGCATCAACAAGGACCCAGCTAAGTAGCTATTAGCAATGTTATAGTTTTTAGAAAAATATATTTTTGAAGTAAGTAATACGAAATTATTATAAGTCTAATATTATAAGTCTAATAAGTAAATTGTAACCTGTATTAATATAAGGATAATATAATAAGTATACTAAAACGCTGATTGTACTAATTCCTGATAGTTGAATTACATAATGTGCATTTAGTTGATTAACCGAGAAATGTAAAAAACATGGTTAGAAGAGCAGCGACTTATTAATATAACCAAAAAATCATTTAGACAAATAAATTTGACTACAGTGCCATCAATTATTCACGGAGTTAAATTACGTACCTACCCACGGGCGGTTCAAATGAGACGCAATAAATAGAAGTCAAAACACGCGGCATGGGTGTGCGTCAAAGTGGGTACATCTACCTATACATGTTCGAAGGAAAGAAAAGCGGGAAAGTGAGACGCACCCGTCCGACGGTGTCTAGAGGTGAAGGGGGCGCGCGGGGTGCGGTCATCGATCGCAATCCCCGACGGCGGCGCTCGGGGCCGCGGGGACCGCCATCAGCTGTTAGAGACGGCGACGATCCGCCTCTCGGACTCCCCAAGCACACTTCACGCGACGCCTCCTTATACCTCCTCTATTGCCTCAAGAGTTTTAACGATAAGTACGTATTGCATAGGACGCCAATGTACTTTTACTACTCCGTCATTTTCATCAATGTTGCCAACAGTATTCGTTTTAGTCATGGACCACGTTTTCTTATAACTCGTGCTTTATAAAACTTTAGCAGTTAAATATATTCTTATTCTTATATTTCTACAGACCATTGACCGATAATCCAATTTGTGTATGTAAATGCAATGTGGAATGATCGTGTCTTTGAGATGTGTCGTGTGATGAGAAAGGGGTCAAATATGTCTATTAATCTACTCCTCGCTCAGGCGGAAACATCTGTCATCAAGAGGGATTTCATTCATTAAATTAAAAGCGAACAAGCTGACATTCGGTCCTTCCGGTCATTTGAAAAGGGGGGAAGGACAATGCAATACTTATTGCTATGTTGTCATTTTTATTATTGGACAATCAACTAGCAGTTTTCTGAGGAATAGTACCGAACAAACAAACTTTCATAAAGAATTCACAACAGTTTTGATTGAATTAATTAATTAATTTTATTGCTTGTGAGTAAGCTTGTCCAATTTAAGTGAAGCCGAAGGCAAATAAAGTGGAACGCATACAAGGTACATGTAGCGAGGGAATCGAAAATCCAATTTCCGCTCTCATATGCACTACAATACAATGCAAACCAATCCGGTTCAGTTGCTCTTAATACTCGCCACTTCAATACGCAGTTGGTGCTCCGTACATTCAACAAAAGAATCACCCAATATAAACATGTCAACAATTTTTCAAGTTTTTAATAAAACAACAATAAACTATGCTTTGTGAGTTCCAAGTTTAAACTTTTTTTTTTTAATTGGTGCCCTGTATTTACGTGAATATAACGTCTTTGTATCTAAACAGTGTGTTTACTGCTCTTAATTATAGGACACTAGACTTTTTTAATCTCATCTTGTCGCCCAGAACACAGATAGTTTATATGGCAAATAACTTGCTAAATTTCCAACACGTGCCATAAAGAAAGTTAAGAAGGGAAGCAAAAGTTTGTCGGTTCCGGCTTTGATCAGTCGGGGATATTTTTAGTTAGATGGATCTGTTTTATACTAATTCAATTGTCACGAAATTTCTCCTCGTAGTGTTCCAGTCGCCATTTACTTCTCACCCTCGGAGCAGGGATCTCGAGAGTTTGCTGAATGGCCAATAAATGCCAGGAGTGGCAGATCTGTACTTTTTATTATTCCTATCCTGGTCGATCTCGATTTTTGCATTTCGGGCATTATATGAGCGTATTTCTGCCTGTCGATCCATTGTGGCCGAGAATTATTATTAGTTCATCTGCGGACATCTTAACACTAACACATTTTAGAGTCCTTACATTTTTCGTATCTAGCGGATAACTGACATCAAGTTTATAAACAATTCTACATTCAGAAACAAAGAATAACAAATAGAGAAATCCGGCTTTTTTAATTTTTAATTACTGTTATGTAAGTATTTGTAAATAAAACATATTGAAATTACGCATAATCACTTAACAATTCCGCTTTATTATTTAATTGCCGCAAGAGCAACTCCAAAAGTATTTGTTAAGCTTGTACCTTATAACCAAAACAGAGAAGCCTGTTGATATGTACCTGTGCAATTTGATTGGCAGGCATCTCGTCTTGCTCAGTGGCGAATTGAGGAGGTGGCGGTAAGACTGGAGGTGGGAGGGCGCGCGGGTTTGAGCGGAGCCCGCCCGGGCCTGCGCCCGCGCGCCCCTGCATGCGCTCGCTACCGGCCCGCCACCACAGCACGCGAACACGCGCACAATTCAACACATTACACTCGTACCACTATTACACTGAACCTTTTCAGACACTAAGCTATACGAATCACAACATCAGCCTTTTAGGACCTTGATTTATTTATTTTTATCAATTCTTTAAAAAAGTAGTTATAGTCATAAACGTGGTCATAAAGATAAAAATCGTATTTGCTAAACTAGGTGTAAAACAGTGCAGAGGTACCTGCACAGTACGTTACCCTACCTATACAACAATATTTTACCGCAACCTACAACTAAGGGGCGGTGGAATTGTGGGACCAATCAATCACTGCCTATTGGGCTTCAGGCACAATACAGAAAAATCTTCCTTGTCCCTGCGGTTAAGTAAACTACTGATTGAAAGGAGATTGATTGTGTCAACGAAAAGAATTGAAAGGGATCGGGCACGGAAGCCCGCCAAGTGTTGATAAATGAGGTGAAGCGTTTGGCAGACAGGTCGATCCTTATTACAATATTAGACTTACTCATGCGAGAAAATTTGTTGAACATTATTCGATTTTATTGGGTACATTAAAGTAAATAGGTTGTCATTTTCATTAGTACCTACTATTCGTGATTATGTTCCAGATCGTTTCGTCTGTATTTAGGTCACAACACCCACAACCCTACGCTTTAGGGGAAAGAGTGTGATGAACGGGGTCACCCGTAAGCGACAGTGGCGGTGGACAATAACATCCGTGTTCCAGGTACGAGGCTACCTTCTCTTAACTCCGAGTCGGGTACTTGTTGTATATTGTACAGATTGATAACAACACGTACCTATATTATGAAGAATTCTAAAATCGTACACGTAACGATTTTGTATGGAGATTGAGGGTTCCTTTTTGCTGAATATATTTCCTAGTTTCATTTTTACAAGAGTATTTAATTATTTAGTATTAATTCATAGTTAGTTACAGCTAAATAGGAACAATTAGAGTAATCGAACACGGGTTGTAATAAGATTTAAATAATATATTTTATTAACCGTATAGAACGTTCGATTACGAAGAAACAATGAGTTTCAAACATTACATGAAATGGTCGACCTGGTTGAGGTGCGCTTAGATTTAACATGATAAATAATAAATTGAATCACAAAATTTCAATAAAGTTCTAGTGCCTACTAAACAAAATATTAATAACATTCTTGGAATTGAAAATAAATTGAATATAAATGCTGTCAACATTCCGCAGCGCTGATAGCATAGCCAACACGCCACTTCGGAATATTGCAACCGATAAAGCACTCATCATTCACACAAGTGACACCAATTCAAATAAAATAATAATTATTATTATGTATATTATAACAACGTACGTGACAATTAAAGAACAAGTGGTTCATCGTTTATAAATAACCATTATATCACAAACTGATATCATAAGCACAAAGCTAAAACATGGTTTATTTTGATTCGTCAAACCAAACAAACCGAGATAAACATTCATTGTCTTAGAAAAATGTTGCTTTTGGTGGCTACTCCGGAAGCAATGGAAACATAAATAATCTGACGTATTCATGAATTGGGAGCGGCAATATTATCTTAATATGTGAGAATGATGAGTCACAAGGCTTTGGTTTATTTAAACCGTTTTGTTCAATGAAAAAAGATTAATATTCCCGTGTCTAGTGGCTGTTGGCTAGTCCCGGAAGACTTTTCTTTATCCAAGAGCACACGTCCGTTAAAGACAGTAAGTACATACGCAGACGTGGCCTACATACATACCTTTCTTTAGCTTTTGTTCCGACAACTTAAACGTATGTTTTATTCAGACGTTTATCCTGAGTTCTCAGTAATGAACATAGTCGAAAAAGATGCTTAAGTTAATGCAAAAGAAAATTGTGTGCCAATTTAATTATAAAGTAATGATCAAATAAGACCACATAGCCAAGCTCCTGTAAATCTACGTAGAACTATTAAGAGTATATCGATTTTAATAGAAACGAAAAATTGTTCTAATCTAACCAGTTTGATAACATATTTCAACTCCGTATTAGGAGTAGATAGAAGGACGAAATTATTCGATGAATTTATCAAAGTAAGTAACATTTTTTCTCTACGAGTTAAATAGAAAATTTGATTCAGAATAATGTTTTGTAATAAATGCAAATCAAATCCAGTGCCGTCTATTTTAGTAGCATGGGTATGAATAAGTTAGCTACAAAAAGTAGATTTTTATAATATCTTCCACCTTTCAATGGGTAGAAAACTCCTTTCAATACGGGGGAAACAACGTAATTAACCATATTGGTTAAATTAGCAATAAATTGGTGGAACGTTTTAAATGTTTAAATATAGGCATTTAAATGCGGTTAGTACACATGATATGCGCAATTAGAACGTATGACACAGGACATTTGAGCAGATTTCATTAAATACACAAAAAACGAGAAACATTTTTTCGTCCCAGTTTTCGGTATCATTCGTGAGGTTTGCGCATTGGGTCGCGCCGGTTTTATGCCATCAGTAATAACACCACATCGTATTGAATTTACCACATTCAGCTGCTTAAGATTTTTCAAATAAATCACAATCAACAGTAAAATCAGGTTTGTTTCGGGATACAATCGGTTATGTACGTAGTAGGCTGTAAGGGCGGGATTCAGTATACGGGCGATAAGACCGGGCGATGCGGCGCCTAACACGGGACTGCCGCCCGCCCAGCCTTCTCAAACCCCCTTGCATCCACCCGCCCGCCCGTGCGCCAACAAAACACTGATTATGGAAACACATTTATTAGCCAAAAACTCTACTTAAAACTCTATTTTTCTACTAACGTACACAATTATCGCTTAGCGTTCAATACCATTAATTGTTTATTAGGTTGGTTCTAATATTTTTTCGAATCAATTATTTTTAACATCACAATAAAGCACTTAGCGAATTATGCTCATATTTCGAGTGTTCTCCATCATCACACCTGCGTGATTTGTAGACGTGGCGCATGAGGCTGACGCCTTGGAGGGCGTCGTGGGCGGTGTCTGCACCAGTCACTAAAAGCTCGTAGCCGTCGTGAACATGAGGTTCGCGAAGGTAACTTGCACCAGCTACGTTTCCTTTCTTCAGCCCCGAAAGTAGTTGTCATCCTATCTCCAGGTTTAGGGACGTGATATACAATTTTTGGACTATCCACAACCTCTGAGCCTGGAGCCACCCGATATTTCACTCCTGATATCGCTTTTTTTATTCCGTTGAGCGCTCGTCGAGCCGAATTTTCATCTTCTTTTATATCGAATGTGGTTTCCCGTGGTACAGCAGTTAGACGTCCTGTTGGTGGACAACTAGCGACTATAGTCTTGTCAGGTTCTTCTTGACCACGTTTCATAAGCTTCCTCATCCTGGTGAATATAGTGGGGGGTGGTTCTGTGTTAGTGCCGACGGTACACACGCGTGGTCTGCTATACTCCTGCTCAACATTGATGGTCGCTGGAAACGTTTGGCAAGGCAAAGTCGCAGCGCGTCTGGGTAGAGGCTCATCTTGGAGATAAGCAATATGCAGAGTGCTGATGCTCAAGGGTTGTTGCGGAGGAGGCCACAGTTCCCTAGTTGGTGGGACGGGCGACGGTCGCTCCCCCAGCATGCGACGGGCGAACTCGCCCGGCTGCCACAAGTAGCTCGCTGTCAAGTTGCCGTGCGTTTGCATCACGATACCAATCTTCACTAACAGTACACAAACTACGCGCACTAATCCAATACTAGGCTTCGTGCACTTGTAGGATTTCACTGAGATATGTCAGTAAAGGCATTTTAAATTGGATCAAGGATGGCGAATATTTAATAAACAAAGGGCATGCCAATAATCCTCTTGGCTTTACAGTTTAGTCAATACGTTAATGATAAATAAATAACATTTTCATACACGCATCGTGCAGAGTCATGATGAACTGTGTGATTAAGGGCAAAAGTTTAAAAGTTACTTAAAATGATTAATGGTGTTAGGTGTAAAAACTTGAAAGCAAACAGATGAAATAACACTTCTAAACCAATCGGATCCTACTTCCTAGGAAATAAAACGACTGTTTTATAGAAATGAGATAATAACAGCGTGTGTGAAGGCAGACAATGGATACTTTGCAATGTACACGCAACTTGACTTTTTGTTCTCAATTCCGACAAGACAAGTTTTGCCAGACGAAGTCAACCAAGTGGTGAAGTCAGAGAATACTTCGACTGGTCTGTGATATTTTCAACTTTTGCACAAGCTCAAGTGCCTGACTTAACACGCTTATGTCGTTTGGATAAAGTATGATCCTTACCAATACTCCTTACAATACAGAAAAAAAAATCACTAAACGTTATGGGGCATTTTCGATATTTCAGGAATTTCTCTGTAGGAGCACGGAGCGAAAGAGTAGCCTGGCTCTCTGCTGTTGGTTATCCTGGCGGATATGGATACGAAGATTCTAACTCTATTCCCGATTCTAATCCTAAATTTGTCTGTCCGCCAAAACGGCAGTACGATGCCTAGAATGACGTTAGTGGCGGCAAGAAAGACGACACTCGCTCGATCGGCGGCCTGAGCGGTTACAACAACCGCATTATTCACAAAAGTGCGTCATCGAACGTGCCGCCGTGCACAAAGAGGCTCGAGAGAAACGCTAGGTTCCCTAAGGATATGCCGTAACAAGCGTTTCAGTATAATGGTTCCGTAGCAGGTCTATACGAGTGGTGGTGAAGTTAGTAGAAAACCCACACTCCCTAGTCTATCATCCCAAAAAGCAAGGCGAATTTTGAAAGTTGCTCCCGTCAAAAAAAAAGGAGCACAGTATGAAGTTTGCAAGATGACTAACTCTCCTTCCCGCCCTTTTATACCCAATTCTTCAGTCTCCAATAGGCCGAGAGAGCACTTGTAACTCCTGTAGTGTTGCACGTGTCTATCGGCAGACTCGATTCTCTACTCGACTCGTCATCAAGTGAAAAGTCGTTCTACGGCCCACATAAAAAAAATCTAGTATGAGGTACGCAAGACCTTGATTTATATTGTAGCACAATGAAATACGTATCTACTCTGCCATCATCGACGTGAGCGACGAATATACATAGTAAATGATACGCACTATAATAAGTCATCAAACAGTATAATAAAATTTCAAACAAAAAATATTTTTTTGGATTAACACACAAACGCGAACGAGATTAAACTTTTTTAAAACTAAACTGCTGAAATTATTTTGATCAACATTGATACCTACCGTGTTTGACACAGAGATAGATTTTGAATTAAGCATTGATGTATTTAACTATTTGGAAATATATTCTACGATTTACGTTATATACCGAATAGAACTCGCGTGCAAAACCTAGTCCTTAAATATATTCTTTAGTACTTGATGAAAGATATCATTAGTCTATAACAAACATAATCATTGTCACATGATGTACTTCAGAAACCACAACAAGGTCGTAGCTGTTTATTGTATGTCACATACATATAAAATATGGCATACAATATATTATACGGCATAATAAGTATGTATTTTCACTTATACAAATAGGCGTGTTTGGCGATAAAAATGTTAGGATGCATCATATTCTCAAACGTTTTCCAACCCATTATGTTTCTCGCCAAAATGTATGCTAAGTATAATGAATTAAGTACTAATAAATATATAGAAAACTATATCTGTCTTACCTTTAGTGGTCTTGTTATAGTCACAGTCTCAATCACTGTAGTTGAAGCCATTGTTAAATGTAGTTAACCCTGGAAAATAAAACAGGTTTTAACTGAAATACAGAAAATAGTTGGATATACCATAATTTAAAAAAGCTGTATCATCAGAATACTAATAAATAAAATTAAAAATAATTGTTCTAGTAATTTTCATTTAGATAAAAGTTGTCTCTGTGCAGTTGGGCTTGGCGCCTCATACCCCTCCAAAATGATCTGGACCCCGTGGTCCTGTGAGTAGTAAGGCATTTAATTATTGTTGCTTCACAATGTTTATTAAATAATGATTAGACATTGAGAACACAAAGCAAAAAAGGACAAAGTCCAATTCTGAATTAACATTCACTTATTTTGGGCATAAATAACATTAGTTGAACCAATTTTACTTTTCGGTATTTTTATTCTGTTCCACCGTGTGTGTATTCACCACAGATGCTCACAAACTACTATTATTACCTCCTTGTTGATAAATACAAAGACTTCAAAGTATTGTTCATTGTTTGCTGCATTGCAATATCAACAACTCTTTTGAATACTTGATGCAGATTATCATTTGAAGTACTTATCTGTGTAGTGATTTGCTTGGCTTATGATTATTTATTAGCAAATAACAATTAATTGCAGAATAAAACCTATTAAAAATATCCTAGAAATATTATGAAGATGTAAGTTTGTAGGTACAGATGGATATTTATTACTCTTTTACATTAAAACTACTTAATGGACTTAAATGAAAATTTAAACCGAGATACATTATGGTCTGGAACATAATTACACAACAGGTACTTTACATTCAGGTAATTCAGGTGGAAACACTGTCAACAGCTAGTTCTTTAATATTATAAGATGTGTTGTTGTTGAGTGGTACAAAACCTAGATATTAAATACTTACATATTTAAAAATTATTTACAATATTTCATAATAGCTCTTTGTAATAAGGCAACTATGAAAATGAATCAATAAAACATTGTTAAAGATTGTGAATTTAGTCATGCTTATATTTAAAAATGTATTAAATACTGAAAAAATATATTATCAAGTCAATGTGGTTTTCATCTGACCTCACAAGAAAATTTAACAGTTTCTTTTAAATAGTTCCGAGTTTTAGGTCAGTGTGTTTTTTCTAGTTTTTTTACATCAAAAATGCAAATACAAGGACAATTAAAGTCAATATAGAAATGATGGAAAACTTTTAAGTAGCTATATACTTACTTGTTATATTTAATGCAAGTTTGTGATTAATCTATCAGTAATGTAAAGTCACAGAAACAAAGTAATATTGAAAATCATGGGACTTCAGACCAATTTTAAAATTGTGCTTAAATACAGTGATGAGTGATGGGTGAATGTACATATGAGTGACACTTATTATATTTGTAAACCATTTTTAAACTCAATTTCCAAGAAGTCCTCTCACCAAACACATATTTTAAAACATAACCTGCTAATACTCAAATTATTACATAAAGTGTAAAATTGACATAGATTTTATTAATGTTATTCCATTATAAACTGGTCTGGCCTTGACCAATACTAAATTGGAAGTGACTCAGAACTGGTAACATACAAATTACCATTTCATAACAAAACATATGCTGACAACATCATCATTCAGCCTATCTGATCAATTTTGTTTTAATTTAATGACAAAATATAATAAGAGTTACGACATTTACTAGAGCTGGAGACCTGTGCCCTCGTATATTAAAATATTAGGTAAATTAATGACCTAAAAGGCAGCATTTTTCAGTCTAAATGAACGCACGGCAACTACAGCTACCACAATAATATTAAAACAACAAATAATACTATTATTATCGATATTAAATAATTATAAACAATAAACGAATAATAAAATTTATATATTACATGCTCACATGAACTGTTACTACTCTAAGAACCACACAAAGCTTTGATGTTTGTCCTCGATTTCTTCTATTAAAAATCTTAATGCAATAATGATAATCGATTCCAAATAATAAACAAAAATAATTTAAAAAGGAACTCACTCAGTTCTTCATAAGAAAACGATTATAGTAACAATTATTAAACTTAGATTTCACAAAATAAATATTTCATTGCTTTGACTGACTGACAAACAATGACAGAAGAAGGGAAGCAAAAGCAAAGCAAACTTTACTCAATGACAAGCTAAGAAAATTGGACGCGCATAGACTATAGTAACAATCGTTAAAATTAAGAATACTATTACTTTCACAATCTTTTCCAAGTTTTGAACAAAAAAATCTGAGTATTTATTTTAATATTATTGAAACTACTGAGTGAATGAACATTAAAAATACCCTGTGAAAAAATCTCGAACGTTATTTATACGAGCGTTTCTTTCCTGTGTTGAGTGGTTGTTCCATTCGGGAAACGAACCCGCGACACGCTGCGCGGCAGCTAGCTGCCCAGCCACCATATTGATAAGCTTTTTAACTACAGCAACACTCTGCGATGTAAGATTGAGATTATACACATTATAGAAAATATCTAAGATAACCTTTTAAAGAGGAAAAATATCATATAGCTTGAGAGAAAGAGTCAGACTTTTACTAAATTAAAATCACCCGGTTCCATCTCCTGCTCCGGGTAGGACCCGCAACTCTGGCGGAACATTGGCCTTATTGGGTCTAAATGGCCCCCTAATGGCTCTTTGAGACTACGCTAGTTGGTTCTGGTCAGACGAAAAGCTAATGCTACTTAGATACGGTTCGCAGGCCCGCACTTGACTTTAGGCATCCTACTCTCACCCAGTCCACCTCCTTCTACGTGAGAGTGTAAACATATTTCCAGTTCTTCTCACTACGCACCATGGTCTTGACTAAACCTAGGTGTTAGGACACGGTGGTGCTCAGTACAAACAGGGCACACCACAATTATACGCATTATCGTGTTCTCCGGTTGACACTCGGGCGTTTTCTCCCGCTGGATCCGAAATAGATAACTCCGGAACTATAGGAAATTAATGGAGCTTTCTCGTCGGGGAAAAACAAAAATGACTTTGTTGGCGTACGTCTTGTAGGCTTTGCAGTCTCCCACGTGGTCCAAATAAGTGACACACGAGTACGAGCGATTCTTGGAAAAGGAAACTGATGACTTCTGTAGTTACGAGTAGGATGAGAGGGAGCGTCAGATTTTTACTGACTAAAAACCACTTTGGACCCGCTACCCTGGCAGCTGGCTAGATATCAACCCTAGTGGGCCTTATTTACGCTGAGCGTACCCTTCGCTCATATCTATTTCTGGTCAGGCGGCAAGCGGCGCCTCAGATTTCAGCTCAGACCTGCGCATAACCGTTTGAGTGATTTCCCAATTTCATAAAAAACACGTCAAGTGCTCACGTTGCAAAAAAAAAATGGCGCCGCGCGTGCAGCCATGCTTCCTCTCCATCTATGAACATTATAACGTTTGCTAATGTAGGTACCCATAGTCGGTTTTGAGCAAATCCGGTTAAAATGCCTACATTTTACCCTTAATTTGGATTGAATCAAAAGTAATTAAATTAAACTATTAATAATACATATTAAACGAAAGGAAAGACTTTTTAACTAAGTTAACGTGTTTAAAAAAATAAAAGCTTAATACATGTCATGATGTTTTTGTCATCGAAATATTTTTAGAATAATCATAGATTTAGTATTATTGTAGGTCTGTGAGAATAATAGACAATGACAGTAAAGTAAAATCTTTCAAATTTCAAATCGTACCTAAATGTCAATTTATTTACAGTTGATGCAATACAAGTGCAAATGACTTGTCGGCGTCTGTGATTGGAAATATCTTTATTGCCGCTCCCGCTTCATTCAAGCGGCAGTAAATCTGCTTTGGCAAGAAAATACATTTCGCTGCATTTTGTTACGTGACCAATCACAATGGCAGTTGTTAAATCTTTAATGATACGAGGTATTCGAAGTTTTGGACCGGAAGATTCTGATGAACAGGGAATACTGTTTGAAAGTCCCCTAACACTGATATTAGGGCAAAATGGATGTGGTAAAACAACTATCATCGAGGCTTTACGTTATGCTATTACATCGCAAATGCCTCCGGGGATGGGTCATAGCGATTGCTTTGTTCATGACCCTAAAGTTAACAGAACCACCGAAGTTCTGGCGCAAATAAAGCTGAAGGTAGCCTAATTTTACCTATAAAAAAAACATAGGTTAAGTATAAGACAAAGTATTAAAATTTTTGTAATAATTTTAGCTAGCCAATGCTCAAAATAAAAACATGGAGGTTACAAGATCTATGAAAGTTGTTTTGCAAAAGAAGAAAGCTACGTTTCGTACTCTAGACTCTTTACTCTCAGTCACTACTGAGACTGGGAAAACAAAGGATATATCGAAAAAATGTGCTGATTTAGATGCTGTTCTTCATGATGAGCTGGGTAAGCCTCATAATATTTTTTAGGACAGATTATAGATAGCAACATCCTTCACTGTTAATCATCAATCATTTCTCATATTTCATTTTCTTATGATCATAAAACTTCTAACAAATAAGATTTGTAAATTATTCATCCATTAACATTATTCATTTCTTTTTAAATGCTTTCATGACATGCATTACCATTCTTCCATATTGGGGTATTCACACATTGCCCAGTTTTATGGAGAGACTTGCCACAGGTAACACAATACATAAATATACACTTATTGTTGCAGTAGATAGTATTTTCTATCAGTCTCAGAATAAGTATTCCCATAATAAAGATTATTAATGAATGTATAATTATATTTTTTGCTTCTCAGGTGTATCAAGGGCAATTTTAAACACCGTCATATTCTGCCATCAAGAGGAATCAAGTTGGCCTTTAGATGAAGGCAAAAAAGTAAAAGAACGTTTTGATGAGATATTTGACTCTGAAAAGTACAGCAACTGTTTCGAACGTCTAAAGAAAATTAGAAAAGCTTTTGCCACTGATATAAAGATTCTTGGTGAGTTACATATTTTCTATTAATTATTTAAACTTTGTATAAAAGAATCGTCATTCAGTTGGATCAAAAAAATAAATAGATAGTGAATATAATTAAACACAGACATTTTCTATGTTTAGCTGATAGGGTTGAAGTACTAGAAGAACAAAAAAAGGAATTGGATAAGAAAAAACTAGATGTAGTCAACACAGAAACAAGAATTTCTGAAACTGAATTAAAGGTTGCTGAAATATCCAGTGAAATAAAACCAATTGAAGAAAAATTGCAGACCATTAAAACTTTGGAAAACACACTCAATACATATGATACAAAACTAGAAAAATTAAAAGTGAAGTATGTTATTTATTTAAAACCAGTTAATTCACCAACCAACAGTATCTACTCTGTGGCTTGGTAACTAACTACTAACAGACTATTTTCTGCAAATGTATTTTTAACTTTTCATTTAAATATCATATATGATATTAAAGAAGAAAATAATATGTCTGTTATATATTCCAGATTGGATAATTGCCATAAACGAGAACAAGAATTAAAAAAAGAAATAAAAAATGTATTTGAAGGAACAGTACCTGAATTAAAGGAAAAAATTAGTAAGTCATCTCTAATTTATTTTAATAGTTATTGCGCCTTTTTAATGCACTTAATAACATAATTTAAATAAATCATATTATAGGCAACTATGAAGCTACTGTAAAAGCCAACCAAAAGGAACTTGAAGAATCATACACCAAAATATCTAATTTCAACAATGAAGAACAAAGAGTAGCCAATGAAAAGGATGCAAATAAATCAAGATTAGAAAAACTAATTTTGTTAGACAGCCAAAATGATAAAAAAGTTTTGGAGCGAAATGAATTGATTGTAAATGTCGCGAAATTAGCTGGTAAGGATGAATTGGTATATTGTTAAAACATAAATGCATCTTTGTTAGAGGGTTGTTTAGTTATACATAATAATATCTATCTTTTTAGAAATTGATGATATTGTTGCTGTTGCAACTACTGAAGAAGCAGATCAAGCAATGAATAAAATCAAACAAAAAGTGAAAAGTCTGCAACAGGAACTTGAGGAGCTAAAGTCATTTGCTGACAAAGAAGAAAATCAAAAGCAAAAAATAGTAGATGAGAGCCGTGTTGCTCTTGTAAGTATGCAACATTTCTATTAAATTAAAATGTACCAATAAAGGTGCCGAAAGTAAATCATGTTCGGATTTTTCATTTCAGTCTTGCCACAATCAAAAAATATCAAATAAAGAGAATGATATTGAGAAGAATGAGGAAGAAGTTGCGAAGCTAGAGAAAGAGATTCTTGCAGCTAACGAATCTAAAGTACGCTTAGAAGCTGCAGAAATCAAATTGAAAACTGCTGAAGAGTGAGTTTTTGGTGTGCTAACTTTAATAACTTCAATGTCCTATTACACAATTATCTATCACATTTGTAAAATAAGCATTTTCTAAGTTATTTATATCTACTCTGAAAAATTCACCAAGTTCTTTCAATAAATAAAGTGTTTGAATATTTCACAATGACTAATTTTTCTACAGGGAATTTGAAAATGTAGAAAAACAATTAAACACTGAGGAACATCAACATCAAATTAATGAAGATGAAAAAGAATTGGAAAAGAATGATGAAGAACTAGATGTCATTGATAAAAAGGTAGGAATTTAGACAGTAAAATTTTAAAATTAAATCAATGATATTAAAATGTATGTAGAATCTTAGATATCCAATAATATCTTACTAAATATGATAAACGCGAAAGATTATATTATTACTGTCTGTATTGTAACTGTAACTTAATTTCATACATTTTCAGATTACAAAATTACAGCAACAAACTGCTAAATTGAAAGAACGTGAGATGAAAGAAGATTTGTTAAAGCAAAAAGAAAAACAATTTACAGTACTAAAGAACAAACACAGGTCATCTCTGACAGAACTATTGGGTAGTATGCCAGAGAAAGATTTTGTCTTGTCTCTCAAAAAGCTAGAATCCAGCTTGAATTCTGAAGTCAATTCCTTAAAAAAAAACTTGAACAAGAAGCAGACACAAGTAAGCTTTGTATTTCTATATTATGTAAAAGAGTATAGTATAGAATTATATTGTGAACTAAATCTCGTGATCATTATCATTTATGTTTTCTGTAAAGCATTCAACATTAGTTTCTAGAAAAAAGTTGTTTTTATTATAGTTTCTAAAGATAGCAAATTTTGGAGTATTTATCAGTTTTAGTGTGACTAAACCGTTTATCATCAATGTTATCTACGAGTATCAACCAGTATTTGAAACTACTGAAGGGATTCCCCAAGGGTCCATATTTGGTCCAACCTTAGTCAAAAGGAAAATATAATTGAATGTTTGTTATTTTCCTGAATTAGGTAACCAAGCTTGAAGAAGAACGAAAACATGTTCGAAATACGTTAATGGAACGGAACAAAGAACAACTAGAAGCTGAAGATCAAATGTACAAAGCTTGTGGAACATCTACATATGAAAATACACTAAGCAAAGTTATTGCCAATGTAGAAAAATTACAGGTTTGTTGTACTTTTGTATCATCATGTATTCTATTTATTAATATTCTGGATAACATAAAATATTGATTTTTCTTTTTTAATGTTACAGGAAGATCGTAATGTTCTCGAATCATCTATGTTTGTCATCAAAAAATACGAATCTCAACTGAAAGATAATAGTTGTTGTCCTTTATGTAGTCGTGGGTTTGACTCAGAAAGTGAGGTTTGTATTTTCAAAAAATCATCATCCAACTGTAAGCTATAAAATTACAAAGGCTAACATTAGACCTTATTTTTAGGTGACAGATTTGATAACCCAGCTAAACACGAAAATAATGAATGTCCCTAATCAACTAAAGAAGGTAGCAGAAGAATTGCAAATAGAATCTGCGAAGAAAGATGAACTTTTGAGTATGAAATCTCTGAACGAAAAGATTAAATTGTTCAAAGAGAAGGACAAACCACAGCTAGATCAACGTATTGCTGATCTAGAGACAGTGAGTATCCATGAAAACAGTTTTTTTTTTGTAATGGCAATAATAATAATTATAAGTAATGTTTTAATAATTTCTCATTTTTAGAACATTAACAAATTGACAGAAGAAGTAGATGGCATATCCATGTCTCTCTTGGAACCGGAACAAAAGTTACAAACAATAAAGCAAATTCAAGGAGAAATGCCTTTGCTAGACCGGTTTAACCAAGAAGTTAAAACTTTGACCAAAGAGGTAAGCGTAAGCTCTTAGAATTTACCTTTATTTTATTCAATTCGAAAATAAGTAATTAATTAATATGTACTTCTTTACAGTTTGAAACGATAAATGCGCAATGTGCCGAAGTAGAAACTGATATGACGCTGGAAGAAGCTACTGCAAAGCAAGCAGAATTGAAACAGAAGATTACAAGTTTGAAAGCTAAAATTAAAAATGCACAGAAAACACTCAATGCGCACAACAAAAAGATACAAGAATTAGGTTCAAAGAAAAATAAAATTAAAGAAGAATGTCTAAATTTGCAGAAGAAGGTAAGAAGACATTTCCTTGGGCAATTAGTTAGGCTTAAAGGATAAATATTCTGGTAGTATTCACTTGAAATGTTCACAGGTTCAAGAGATATACAATCTTCAAGAAACTAAAAAGCAATTAGAAACTGACAGGGAAAAGTATGTAACAGAGTTAGCTGAATTAAGGAATGGAGTTGACCCTCTTAGAAAAGTTCTTAAAGAAAAAGAACAAGCTAGAGCTGAGGTTGTGAAGAAGAACAGGTATATATACACACTTTATCATATCGTTTTTCGCCATGTGTAGTTAGGATGGCTTCAGTGTAAAACTTTTTGTATGAGCTGTTTACGGATCGTGTGACATCATGTCGTTGTGGCCCGGAGGCTAATTAAGGTTCTCATGCATGAGAGTGCGGGTCCGGAACCTAGCAAGTACCATTTTGACTTTTTCCGAGTTATATCTATATATATATATATGATTATTTAAACACTGCTGATGTACGGTGAAGGAAAACATCGTGACTTAACATTTCTCATTGTAAGTTTGATATCGCCAAAACGCATTGTGTAAGTGTGGAAGCTCAAACCTTCTCTTTGTGAGAAGAGACCTTTGCTCAGTAGAGGACACTTTTACGGCTAATGATGATAAGTTACGGATCACCTTATGGTTAAGCTACCAGCACCGCCCTCTGATATTGCGGATCCATGACCCGTGACATCAGAGGATTTGCAAATGAGGTATACCTTTTGGGGGTTGAGGATTTGAAGATTGAAGGATTTAGGAAATTAAGGTTTGTTTTGTTTTACGCCAATTGTGATTGTTTTACGCCGGTATTCTCTGAGACTATGGTAATTATCCAGTCGAACCGACTTATTAGTGCTGAAGGATAGCTCTCCTACAACTACTACTAGGTTTTGGTGTATTTATGTAGCAAGTAACTGCTAAATAGCTTATTGAAACTGATAATAGAAAACTCAACTCACTACATCCGTGCCAGAGAGGAACCAGGCATTGTTGCCTCCAATTTATAGTTTGTCTGAAAGTCTGATTATTCTAAAGTCTATGGACACAAGCATTGCCACTATGAATATTGACCAATCAGAGAACAGTGTGTTATTTTACGTATTTTAAAGATCGTATATTTAAAAGAGTTTCTGTAATAACCATATAAAATCTTATGAATAGATATTCGTTAGTTTATAAATTTACCGTATGACGTCGAAAATTGATAAATTTACGAAAATGTGGACGTAAAATATTACAATTTATCTCCCGTTTAGAATATTACGAAAGTTTATAAACTTCCTAGTAAATTGATAACCTTACGAATCTTGTTATTTTCCGGTGACATTTTTATACCTTTTTGAATCCACCGCTTTTAGTATCTTTTTGATCAGTTGTGAGATTCCCTCAGTATTACTGTTACATAATCTGAACCATTTATTGAGAAATATTAGTTGTTTTAATGACCAATAATTGAATTTCAAACCAAATATTTTATTTATACATGTAATTTTTCAGGGAAAAGATAGAAACTAAGAACAATGAGATAATGAAAATTACAATAGCTTTTGACAAAGTAAAGTCAATTGATATAGATATCAGACAACATTTAGAACGAAATATTCCACATGAGAAGGCAAAGAAGGAAGAAGTAATAAAGAAACTAGAAGAGAAACTAAAGCAGATTCAGTGTGACAGACAAGCAACTACCAAGCGGATCGAGACATTAAAAGATGAAATTAGTAAAGAAAAGGTATGACTACAAAGTTAATATTTATAGTCATTTCGTTGTGATCGGGTTATCGCGAGAGCGACTGAAGAGCAAAAAGACTTGTAGTCAGTCAAAGTATTATTAGATATTACATATAATTTTTCTGGTTCCAGATCTATAAACGTGAATTAGATGACAATTTGAAACTAAGAGAAGTTCAGAAAGAATCCCAAGATTATGAAAAGGAGGAAGCTGAAATCAAAGAAAAGCTGAGCACAATGAATAGAGATGTTTTGAAAGAAAAAAATAGTTTAATGGAAAATTACAAGAAGCTCTGTAGTGAAAAGTTTAAAACTGATGGTATATTAGATGAACTGCAGGTATCTATAAAGTTTATATTTATTTTAGATAGGTAACTAACCCTTTGAACTAGATTTTGATACATCTCAAAAATTTGCAGACTACATTGAAAAAGAACAAAATGGACCTGAAAACAGCACTAGCGAAAAATACAGATAAGAAATATAGAGAAAAATATTTCGAATTACAAGTAACGAAAATGTTAGACAAGGATGTCAAGGATTACGCTGCTGCATTAGAGACCTGCCTTATGGAGTATCATAAAAAGAAAATGGAGAGCATCAATTTGATAATCAAGTATGTCCTAATAATATATTATATACATTAATTCATTAATAATTATTCATTTTATTGAATGTTGATAGGGTGACAGATGGGGGAGTGTAAAGTTTTGCCTAAATTACCTTCATCGACGCAAGCATTATTTCCCCACTGGTTTTCAGGTTTAGTAGATTTTGTTTTCTTTTTGCAGGGAGCTTTGGAGCAAAATATACAATGGTAATGACATAGATTACATAGCAATCAAAGCTGAAGGAAGCATGTCAGAGAATTTAGAACGTCGTAAATATGAATACAGGTAAGGAAACCTAATTTTCATCTTCATTCTTGAAATGTGTCTTATGTGTTATGTAAATTAACAAATAATTAGTAGCAGGAGCAGAGGTTAAATAATCGAAATTCTTTTCAGAGTGGTACAATGTAAAAACGGTGTTGAAATCGACATGCGAGGCAGGTGTAGTGCTGGTCAGAAAGTCTTGGCTTGTCTCATCATTAGACTAGCTCTTGCTGAAACATTCAGTTCTCGGTAAGTTGGGACTGCATGACCTTACGTGTATATCATGCGTTCTTTTCACACATATCGATAAAATACTTTTGCTATAACTTTGTATTTACTTATTTCCAGGTTCGGTGTCTTAGCTTTAGATGAGCCCACAACGAATCTAGATCAAGATAACATTAAAAATCTTTGTATGGCCCTTGGTGAGATTGTTCAGGAACGAATGATGCAGAAGAATTTCATGTTCATTATCATCACTCACGATAGGGAATTTATCGAGTCTTTGGGGCAAATAGATAAGGTAACACATTTCTTTGAAGTGTCTAGAAATGATGAAGGTAAGTCTAGAATTAAGAGAGTCAAGTTTTCATAGTGTACTTGACAGTACTACTAAGGTACATGAGGGTATTAAGGCCTAGCTAAGGGAAATTTGTTGTAAAATCAAAACTGATAATAGAATCAACAAGTTTTATTCGGTAATCCGTGGTTTATTTAGGCAACTACAAAACTATAACAAAAAATAGCAACTTCTGCATGAAACCTAAACAATATTTAACATTTTTATAAACGCTCTTAATAGGCCTTATTATAATTCGGTAGGGTAACAAGGCCTGCTTCTTTAACTATGCAATTAATCAACTAAAATAACATAATTTGGTATTTGATATCAATCATTATCCAGTCAATGGCAGAATAATACTTTAGAATTAAATGAGTAGCCTCATCTAACATCCACCACGGCATACGAAGTCATCATAATCATCCACTGATAAACCAACACACTCCTCATGATACCACTTGGAGCATTGAGAGCACTGCCTCATGTCATCCATACTGTGTACTGTGAATGTAAAGAAAACATAGGGTGTCATGAAGAAAACCGTATGTTTTCTTCATAGGCATGGCAGTACCAACTCGCTTGAGTGCCTTCAGTGTCCTTGGTTCGATCAGATCCGCGAAAAGACTTTGTTTGAAGGTTAGAATTTTCTAGATCCCTTGGTTTTCTTCTTCTTCTGAATTTGTATTTTTAATCCCTGCTTTGTTTTTCTTACATTCATTAAATTTATCAAAACGATCTTTGTTCACTGGAGTACCCCGAAAATTAATAGCCTTATGCTTTCATGAAACCCAGATATTATTGTTCTTTTTCTTTTTCTAGTCGTGCAAGTGGAAGACGATGTCTTCAGACGAAATGCCATAAATTAATCATCTTTTGATCACAATGCTCGCTTAGGAAGCATCGTGAACGTAGGAACTGTGAATAATGTATGATATACCTATTGAAATAATTTGAAAATAATGCAAATATTGAAGTATATATACCTATAAGTATAATAAGGCCTACTATAAAATTTTATAGGCCTTATTACCCATAGGTTAGGTATTTATGGAAAACGAAATAAATACAATTTGGACTGTAGAACGTTAATAAATAAGGCAATGTGGGACGAGCATGAGTTAACGATAATACAGACAGTAAGTGCAAGGAGATAAGTATAATAATTTAAGAAATATTTATGTTTTACCGGAGCCAATATTTGTAAAAACGTGACGTGCGGCTACTTTTGACAACGTTTAACACGCCATTAGCGATAGCGAGTGTGGTAGCCAACACTTGCCGCATGGTGGCGCCTTTTACGTGTAATATACATGTATGTGCGTGAGATTGGGCGCAAAATCGTATTCTAAGCAAGATTTTTAATGTTTAGGCCTTATTAGCCGACAGGCTTTAATACCCGCATGTACCTACTTACATAAAAAGTATTGTAAGCATTCCTAAGTTTCTGTAGTTGTTAAGAGGCAGTGCCTTATTTCATTTTCTAATGTTATATTTTTTTTATAAGAATAATAAAAACATTTTGATAATATCCGTTTTTCTATTTAATTTAACTGACATTTATATAACATACAATAAATACAGGATAACATAAAATATATTATTAGCACTTAAAATGATTAACGTAAACAGGTCAATTAACTACTACACCTGTAATAAAATTTAAAGGTTCACATACTGCATTCTGATCAATGTGAAGAATATTGCTCTCTTGTAGAACCGTGAGTGTGACACCTAATAGCTCGGCTACTTGAGTAGAAGGAAAAGATTGCGCCAGACACTTGCCAATATATGGTACCAAGTCCTCAGTAAAACAAACACATAATGACACAAAATTCTGTTTCTCAATATCAGTAAAGCTTTGTTGCTCTCTGTAGTAAAAGGTCAGTAAAACTTGAACAGCCTTGTTGAAGGATTCTCTAAATGCATTGTAAACTTCCTTCACAATATTTAACGGTGCTGTAACTCTCATTGAGTTTAATACTGATAGCATGCCATTGCAATATTCAGCCAGAGGATAGTAATCAAGCAAATTTTCTGGTGGCCCTGTTGTTGCACTCTCATTTATGGGCCGAGGCACATTCTTTATACTAGGCACTTTATAACTTCGCATCTGTGTTTCAAACAGATTATCTGCTTTTTCTAGACCACTATGGAATTGCATTAGTATGTTATTACGAAACAGTGGTGTTAGAACACATCTCATGTCAGCGCCAACTCTTCCAAATGATAAGCAGAGATACATGCACTGATTTAAAAGAGACTCAAAGCTAGCTTCATCTTCTTTTGGTAAATCTTGGTTCAGTATTTTCGCCAATGTCTCAACCTGAGAAAAATACAATAAAAATTATGAAATCTGATCTGTGTGTTATACCAACGAATTATTTAATGCTAAAACTATTTCAGTGTTCATATTCCTTACCTTTAATTTCAACCAGCAAGATAAGGCACTAGTGCCACTCAATTCATCATCTCTAATTTTAGCTTCTTGGGAATCTGATAAGAATATTGACTTGTGTTGTGTTAGAACATTGAACAGGTGTATTCTGTGTAGTTCTATGATTCTTCTTAATAATCTTTCTGATGCTGAAATTAAATACAATTACGTATATTACATTAGTACAAGTGAGGGAAAGCCAAGCTTCGGCACGAATGGGTTGGCTCGATCGGAGTGATACCACGGCCTTACAGTAAACCGGCGTGAAACACCCATAGCGTTGTGTTTCGCCGTGTGAGTGAGGTTACCAAAAGCCCCTCCCCTCCCCCTCTTCCCATACCTTCCCAATCCTTTAATATCCCAAAAGGCCAGCAATGCACTTAACTCATTTGGTGTTGATTGCTTACCCATCAGGTACCTCTGTCTGCTCATTTGCCGACCTACTCCATAAAAAAACAATGTTCAAAAATTTGGGCAACAATACAAAGTAAAATAAAATTATTCAACATACCTTCAGTATTCTTAGCATCTTCTAAAGCTTTTTCAAACCAAGCATTTCTGGCCTTAAGGAAATGCACATGCAGACCATCAGCACTCACTGTATTTTTATTGCTCCCTGAATATAAGCTGCTTTCATCTTCATCTGTTGATCTGTATACTGTGTTTGCTCTGCGTAGATAACCCAAAATCTATAAACATATGGAAATAAAAATCTATAAAACAAATAAGATTATTTTAATTTAACTACACCCAATATTGGTTGTTTTTAAAGTGTATTAATTTAAATTTATTTACGTGAATTGACAGTTGAGTTGACGTCGCCGAGACGCGCGACTCATTAGATTCACGTGAAAGTCGTTATTTTCAATCAATATACACAAAACTGAAGCGCAAAATGTAATAACTCAACAATGCCTGGACCGATTTTGCCAACTTTTTTTTAATGTGTTGGTTATTGTCAGGAGAAAGTTCTTATCAAAGAAAATATTAGAAAAGTAGAGGGGAAGATTCGGAAAAAGAGAACCTTTGATAGCGAGATAGTTGGACCCGTGCGAAGCGGGTGCGGGCCGCTAGTAAATATATAAAAATGGACCGCAAAATGTGTTGGTAAGCGCATAACTCTACAACGAATCCAATTTGCTAGTTAATTCTTTTTTTGTCGTATTTATCATTGTCAGGAGAAGGTTCTTCTCAAAGAAAGTATTAGAAAAGTAGAGGGGAAAATTGGGAAAAAGACAAGGGACCCGTTTAAAGCGGAGGCAGGCCGCTAGTTTTAATACATTTTTATTAAGTAAAGTAAGTACATTTTTATTGTCTCACAATTGTGTTTTTTTTTTACTAGCCTTTATCCCACTTCTGGGCAAAGGCCTCCTCATCCTGCCTTCGCACCTCCCGATCTTTCGACCTTGTCAGCCATCGCGCCACAGCGCCATCTTTTACGGGGGCTACCCCGCCTGCGGCGTCCATCCTAAGGTGTCCACTGGGTGACAATTATAGTGGCCAATCTCTCTGGATGCATTTAAGTTGACGTGTCCGGCCCAGTCCAAAAGTTACTATTCGAAAATATATTAACTTACTTGCAAACATTGAGGTAAGGGCAAATCATATCTCAGTTGGTTGAAGAGGTGGTAGAGAGTCTCAAACCACAGGGTCATAATCTCAGATGTGGTATTCTGTAAACAAGTTGTAAAATATATACCACTGCAAATATACTTATAATCTAAGCAAACAGTTGACTGCTGTGCAAATACAACTAGTTACTTATAGAATGTGATTAATTGTACCTGTACAACTGGTATTTCCGAGTATCTCTTAGAGAGGTTACGGACAAATGTAAAAATGTCTAAAGCACTCTCATAATCTTCAGCATTCAGTGCCTCGCGCATTAAAGAAGGTAATTCCAATAATTCAAGCAATTTGTCACTTTGGTTACGAATAGTGCTGTATCGGCTGGAAATCATAGAAGAATATTATGACACAAATAATGTAACATAATACAATGAACACATTCACAAATACGGGATGGAACATTCATGAATTACCTTTTTTCTTTAATAATATTACCAGCAACTTGTGAGAACTTGTCACATTCCTGTAAGAATATTGGAGTATTATCCAGAAATGATGAAAGTGATTCTTTTGATTTAGCCAAGTCATTTATGATTGTGTGTGATATCTCAGCTGTTTCCACAAATGTCTTATAGTTAGTAAAGGCAAGCTCTTGTGTCTGCTCAGTCAGTTGTTTCATCTCTTCATTCAGTCGCTCTGGTTCTTTGCGAATATGATCCCAGTTTTGTGAACCCAATTTTTTTATATAATCTGTAATTTCACTGAAGTATTCTACATTTTCTGCAAATAAAATAATTGTATTATAAAATTTTGGGAGATGCTACCTAGAATTGACTAAACCGCAACCCCGAGCGGGAGGTAAAAAGTTCGATTTACACGGCTAGTGACAAGTTGGTGTTACATTAAATAATGTTGGACTCGGCCTAAACCTTCAGGAATCAAGAGGAGTGATTGTTAGATCAAGAACGATATCAAGTCGTAAAGGATTTTTCATTGATTTGGCCCGGTTCGAATAAAACTCACGACGAAAATGGCGAACCGGGCCGTAGTCATAAAAACTAATATTACCTTCCGCAGAGTCAGGGAATAAAAGTTGACAAAGTTCTTTTAATTCTTGAGCCATTTTTTGCAATTCCTAAAGTCTTAAATTATGAGATAAATAAACAATTTGTACACGAAATCATACAATCAATTTGTGTCACTGTCATATTGTTGGCAATCGGCAACTATTGTCAAATCAAATTGTCAGTGTCACTTTAGTAAAGATACTTTAATATACTTGGTTTACACTAGCTGTTTATCATGATACCATGATTTCATGTTACCTTGTGTGTTGAAGAACTTGTTCACTTGTTATGCGGTCACGGCAAAGAGAAACAATTAATGCTATAATCTCTGTATCTATTAAGTACTGCAAACTTTTTATAGACTCGCTAATTAGGTGTAATATAACGAACCAAGCCTTTCGTTTAAATACATAGACTAGAACCAGATCCGAGACCATAAAGAAATGTTGTAAACTATCCCTTACAATATGAATTTAGTAAATAATATAGAATAAATTCAAGTAAAATAAATGTGAGAAATCTGAATGTGACTAAGAAAATATTTAAATTATTAGTTCTACATCAATTTCGTTGGAAATTTTGAGTAATTTGAGTGACTCGAAGTGAGCGTTTCTTTGTCTATGGTAGGGTTGGAATGGAAATGGAAGATAGCCATTTGTCTGATAACCAAACAATAGAAAATATTGGCTTTACGTGTGCAATTTTTAGCGTAAAACGATTAATCTGTGAATATTAGACGATATCCAGGTGAGTTCATTCCAAAAAAATATAATGACTTTGGTTATATTTTTGTTTTCATCAATGATGAACTATCGATAAGTTCTATGATTGCGTCACGTAAACGTATAGATATGTAAAATAGCTATAATTACCGTGTCGAACGTGTTATTTCTTACCATGGAAATGTTAATTTTTGCTTTTTCATTAATAAATTAAAGGTCTAATAAATACTACAACTAACCTTCTACTTTGACAGGATAACCTAACCATTTTTACATCTTTACTCCCAAGTTGACACCATTTTTGTTTCGGCTTTCAGGCTTTATTATTAGAACTTACTTTTACAGTAATGAATATTTTATTGCCAACGTTTGACCGTTTTGTATAATATAATTATTCGTTGTTTTATGAATTGTAGCTAGATGATAAGGTTATGTTGATGTTTTGATTCAAGGATGTTTTATGATGTATCTAAAATGATGACAAGAATGTTATCAATATTTTTTTCATTAATATTATTTTTAATGATCTGGTTGCAATAACAAGTTTTGCATCTTTGCAATGTGTGTAATTTTAATTTAAATAATAAAAATATTTTATTCTTTTAAATAATCTACTATTTCTTATTGCCATTATTAAGCCATTCTTCCATAAGTTATTCCACAGAATAACAACACACATTAACAAATTTAAAAAGCCAAACTAAGTAAGTAGTCAAGAAAATTCTTCATTGCTGACTAATTTTAAGATGCCATTTAAGCCTGATCTACTAGTACTAGTAGTTTAAAAATGGGCCGTCTGTTATGGATCTATCTGACCACTAATACACTATATTGTATTTCTTTAGGTAATCCCTTTATTCAATTACCATTGGTTACTTAGTGAACTGGCCAATTTGGGTCTATTTGCTGTAGAAAGAAATAACACATAATATTTTTTGCAGGTGCTTCCTGGACCACAGAAGCTGCCAATGGAATGAAATCAGCCGTTCAATATGGATGGGGAAGCTGAAGACTTCAACCTCCAGTGGGAGGAAGAAGTCGAAGTAAAGGTAAAAAAGGATATATTTATTTTATTTTAAAGTTCAATGTATAATATGTATGTCACCAACATTTTATAGTTTTTTGATTAGCATGTAAAATGCAGTATGGTTTATTACTGGTTACAATGAAATAAAAGAATATATACATATTCTTTTTTTAGTTACATTATGTCATAGTATGCAAATCCCAAAATATTTTTTTATAAATGATCTTGAAATGAGTTGAAAAATTAAGTTAAAAAAAAAGATAACATGTAAGGACATTTTGCCAGTTAATGTTTTTTTTAAATGCCTATACTTAGTATTTACACCTCCACAGAGTAACACATATTCTTATCAGAAATCAGAATGTTTGTACAAAACCAAAACAAGACAATGGTTTGCATTTAATATGATTTCTTTAGAATGCATGTAATTTTAAAATGAGTAGATTGTCCCTGTCTTTTACTTTCTTCTTATATTTTATTATTTTCTTCAACACTGAAGAAAATGTTTGCCTTCCAGCCAGTCCCGGGAGTAGTTGGAACAGAAGAAGTGATTACAGGTCTAGAAAACATGCCACACACTGCCTTTTCCACGGTGAGAAACTATACAGTTATGTAATATACTTATAAAAGGTTTTTATAAGTTTTAAGCTGACATTCCATTGAGGCAGAGTGTTCACCATTTGCATGGCTTAGAAACTGGTGAAGAGATATGGAATTCAACTATGTCATCAGTCAATTATGGCACAGCTCGTCTTATTGCCGACCCCTGAGTCAGTGGAACAGCAGCATTAACCAGCAATGTTGATTTATCTATTAGTTTGACTACAGCAGAAACTTTGATAAGTATTATGGCTGATCAATCTACAAAATTTTTAATACTTTCTTCTAATGTATTATTTCTGTTACCAGTTGAAAGTTGAAAATCAGATGTATACACAAACATCTGAAGAGATGATGAGTACAGACCAGATGGCTGCAGAAAATTTAATGTTTTTGTCTCAAGATGTAGTGAGTTATACAGAAACAGCTGAACTAGCTGATGATCCCAGTGTAGAGTGTGTCACTGAAGAAGTCATTACAGATGATTGGGTGATACCTGGTGGTCAAGAAAGGTACCAGTAAGCCACACCATTCATTTTTCTTGTCTATAAAGTTTATTTAATATTATTTAATATCTATACTAATATTATAAAGAGGTAAAATTTGTAAGTATGTATGTAGGGTGTAATCTTTGGAACCGCTAGTCGGATTGTCAAAATTCTTTCACTGATAGATAGCTTACAACATTCCTGTGTGCTATAGGCTATAAAACATCACGCTACGATCTAATGGAGAAGAGCAGCGAGTGAAACCGCGCGAGAGTAGCTAGTCTGAAATATAGTGCTTTAGTAAAAACATTTCAAGAAGTTTTCTTGCAAATGATAGTTTTGTTTTTTTGCTAGTTTAGCGGGACAGTTGATACGAATTCTGGGCTATCGATCGATTGCCATGTGTCGTGGGTTAGATGTTATGTTGCTGGGTTGTTAAATCAATGTTAGGTATTCCATGCAGGAATAAATATTTGTGTGATTCAAATATTGCTGTTATTATTTACAATACAGAAGAAAATCCTAGGCTGGGCCAAAGTTCCTAAAAAAACCCTTTGAAACAATGCATTTTTTTATTATTTCAGAGTTGAAGTTCCTATGGATCATTTGAATCACCCTGATTTGGTATTAAAAGAAGAAAATGAACTTGATGTTCCATTGCCAACAGACCAGGTAAATATTTTTTATATTGATCACATTGTTTTTTTTAAGGGTAAAATCATCGCATTTCTTCTTCCGCCTAATGTGACGTGAGACGGAGTGTAAAACTTTGACTGATTAAAACCACCTAATTTCTATTGCGCTCGTACCCGCAACCCAGTTATCCAAAAACGTGGGCTAATTCACAAATAACATTAACGATATAAATAAGTATAAACGAATAAAAACGAATTAACTTAAAACGCTTAACTAAGGTGTTCATGTAATGGAACAAGTTTTTTATCTACAGGATGAGTATACAGCGATGCGGCCGTGGCCTTGCGACTTTTGTTCGCGGCGGTTCCGTAAGAAGGCCGCTTTAATGAACCACATGGTGGCACATCAGAATGATCGGCCTCACGCCTGCAACCTATGCGGCGTGCGATATGTACGCAAGTGCGATCTCATGAACCACCTAAAAGTTCACGCCTTTGTGCCTGACAACCCCGAATCCGTAGATTATGGTGAGTCGAAAAGTAACACATAAACCTTTATTTGTTTGTGCCAGGGGGTTTCACAAAACCCACAGAATACCATTTAGATTTTTAAGATAGATGTTTGTTGTAATTAATGTTATGAATAAGTTGTTTGTTTAACTCTCGTGTAGGGAGGAAAGGACTGGGTATCAGATCTATTGTGTGAACGAGAGAGACAGAAAGTTAAATAAAAGGGATAGAATGTGGCTACGATAAGTTCCTAATTATAAATATTTTTTGAGACACGTACACGTACGACTTACGTACACTACGTACGAAGGCGGGTGATTGATTGAAGCTTATTTTTGATTTTTGTTATAGAAGATGTCCTAGACAATAACCAAATCATAAAACCAAAGAAGAAACGAGGTCGACGGAAAAAGAATCCTGAACCGGTTGAGGAGGTATTTACTAATTTTACTTTTTTTAGCTTCGATTTAGCACTAACCTATTGGACTTTATTGTTGATTTTCTTATCTGTTCTGTATTGAGAGGGATTTTAGGATTTCAGGTCAAACAATAAACACGTTCTCTATCGTTCAGTATCTTTATAATTATTCTTGTGTGTTCTATAGAACGGCACATGCGAGAACATGACGTCAGCGCGCACGCAGCAATGGTCGCGACGCGCGCGGTCGCCGGCGCGGCCGCCCCCCTCGCCGCCATCCCCCGCGTCGGAGCCCGCGCCCCCCTCGCCGCCCCCGCCCCCCAGCGACCCATCGCGACCCTTCGTCTGTCGCCACTGTGGAGTCGGCTTTGCCAGGGAAAAAGCTCTGCAGTCACATGCCAGGGTAACATATCCCTTAACATACCTATGCATTATTTAATTTGTATATGATAATGCGAAAACTATTTTTAAGTTCTAGGGTTATGCTTGCAAATGCCAGTTTAATGATCATCAAACATGATTATGTTTTCCAAGAAACTTTGTCAGTGGCTTATTATGAAGTTTAGTCCTGAATCACTCAATTACTGTCCTTAAGATGATCATTAATTTGTTTGTTCTATAAGCAGCAGCAAAGTAAAAATCATTGAATATATTGTTGCCTTGCGGCCCAGCCCGGATTAACATCAATGATAGTTTTTTTTTTAAATCGGCTCGTAACTAAAAAAAGTTGGACTCAGGAAATGACAAACAGCCTTAAAATCGGTCCAAATAAAAAACAAAATCATTACGATAGTCTTCCACACGTCTTCCTTGTCGTGGTGGTCCGGAGGTTAAGGAGCCCACTGCTCATGTATGAGGGTGTGGGTTCGAAACCTGGCAAGTACCAATGTGACTTTTTCCGAGTTATATGTACTTTCTATGATTGTTTAGACACCACTGACATACGATGAAGGTAAACATCGTGAGGAAACCTGGACTTATAATTTCTAATTATAAGTTTGAAATCGCCAACCCGCATTGAGCAAGCGTGGTGATCAATGCGCTAACCTTCTCCGTATGAGAAGAGGCCTTTGCTCAGCAGTGGGCACTTATAGGCTGATAATGATGAATTGATGCGAGCAATAAGCAAGGATGCTGGACCACCCTCTCCTTCTGTTTCCCCACATGAACGTTTTGTAAGTAGTATCCATCGTGCAGGTGCACGGCGGAGACTCTCCAGTGGAGTGCTCGTCCTGTGGGGAGCTGTGCTGGTCGCGCGAGGCACTCGCCTCTCACATGCGACAGAGGCATCCGCATCTACCGCCGCGCACTGACCAACAGGAACAACCCTTCGAAGACTCCGACTCCGGTATGTACCTAAGTTCCTACTAGCCACAAAACGGATGAATGGATTTCACAAGGTTCAATTTTTGTATTGGATAGTCTATTTATCGAGACGACTTAAAGTCTATGGAAGAAAACGAGTCTTACATACATATCGTCAAGATAGACTTGATTTCATTCGATTAGGCAAAGACTAAGATGCCAAACCAGAAGTTCTGGCAAACCTCTTTAATTTCTTTAATAATCTGCATGCAATCTGGTAGATGGTGGTTCATATCAGTTAGAAATCCGATTAAAAATCATTTATGAACCAACATTGACCAGATTGCCTGTGCATTGAAAAAAAAGGACCAATTTGCCCCACTTGTCTATAAACATTCATGGAAAAAAGGTACATACAGATATGATTAAATGTGTCTAATTCGTATTTTTAGCATTATCAAACAAAAAGCATAATGCTACCACATAGGTGCCTATGTACTCAACATAAAGCGTGGCAAATAATTGATAATTATTTTAAAGTAAAACCACCGCGTATTTTTAAAAGCTGTGCAATAAGAATCACTTTCTGTTTGTGTAGGTGACGACATGGAATTCCGTTTGTCTCCCCTGTCTCACGGCGGCGGTGAGCGTGCCGTGTACGACACGATGCGAGGCCCCGAGCTGTTCTGCCAGGACTGCGGGGTCGCATTCCAGAGGGCTGACTTACTGCGGAGACATGTAGCCGCCGCGCACAGGTAAAAATACTAAATTAAACAAATACTTTCATGAAAATCGCATCAAAATCGCTTCAACCAATCGCGAGGTTTTTTATGTCATAGGTTGGCAAACGACCTGGCGGATTACCTAATTGGTAAGCAATCAGCTCCGCCCATAGACACTCGTATTACTAAAGGATTCACTACAAGTGCGATGCCAGCCTCTTGCGGGTTATTCGGGATTTGAGGATTGAGGATAATAGGGTAGAGGTGAAGAATTCTTGATCGCGAAAAGCACATTTTATACAGGTCTAATTGAAAACTCCTCTGTTTGAAGTCGATTAAGCCTTGACTGCCGACAGAAAAACGTTGAAGGCTAATCCTCCGCTACCGTAGGTCACCGGTGACCTACGTGGCGATTAACGTGTTAATTATCATCAGCTGAAAACTTGTCAATAAACCAGTTTTAGGCAGGTCGGGTTTCATAGTTACTATCGTGAGACTAATTTTATTGAAAATAACGACTTACTCACGTGATTAAACTGGAAAAAGCTCTACTAGTTCCAATTCACAACGGGACCGAGCAGCGTCGCGCACCCAACTGACGTAGTTGTTGAAGACGTTGGCTGCACACACGATGAGATACATAGTCTGATAGGTTTGCTGCAACTGGAGCGTGTGAAAAAGCCTGAGTTAAATTAAAGTTTAATATTGCTGCCCATTCTTAAATGTTTGGTAGTGTTTTTAGCAAACCTGGACCTACATGGTCCAACTGCAGCTAATTAGTATGCGTGTAATATGTAGGTGTTGGCCGGTATGTGTATGGAGTAGTGCAGGTAGTATTGTTGCAGCTACAAGCGGCACGACAGTTCGAGCAGTACGTGGGCCGAGCACACGTGCGACGTCTGCGGGGAGGGCTTCACTGACGCCCTGCAGCTACTGGCGCACGCCGAGGGACACGCCGAGAGGCATCGCGCGCCCTCCGCCGCGCCCAGGTACAAACATTATTCATACATACGGCACCTCCAAAAATAATTCGTTTTTTTTAACACCCCGTAGCCTACCAATGTCTTTGCACCTCCCGTAACTTAACGTAGACACTAGATCCCTCACAAAACACATCACAACACAACACACATCACACAAATCTCTCTTTTTCTTCTCTCTCAAAAAAAATATTATTTCCACATCCATATTTTTCTAGGCCAGAATGTTCCTTATTACGTCATTGTATCGCACGAGCTTATTGAGGTCAACTATTGAACATCAACGAATCCCATTAAAAACTACAAAAACTATCCCTCCTTTAGTAGCAGTTTTCTTTATTTTATAGCCTCAGTTTGATGGTTACTTGTAGCGCTGCCATTTTTGTTACAGATTAAAAAAAATGTCTAGAGGTCGAAATAATGCAGCATCAACGGATGCTTCCCGTCAATTCCCATGTAGAGTGTGTGGTGAGTACTATTGTTTTTATTGTATATATAAGTTAACTTTGGTATCAAAGTCAAAATTTATTTTCATGTTTAAATCTAAATGTGTGATACTTCTGCTAACATTATTAATACATACAAATTCTTTTGTCCAGGCAAAGTGTTTGGTTCGCGGAGTTCGCAACAAATCCACATTCGGATCCACACCGGCGAACGACCGTATGCGTGCCGGTTCTGTTGGAAAGCCTTCGCAGACGGCGGCACTCTACGTAAACATGAGAGAATACATACAGGTATACTTAAAAAACCTTCAGCTTTCTTTGAGGTCTTTGTAACCCTAACTGACAATGCACTCATAAGTAGGTTTAGGTTTAAAGAACGTTACTCTCATAAGAACTTTAACACTTAAAATGAGATACATAATGTTATAGCTTACATCGAAATGTTATTTGTAATGTTTGTCTCTAGGGTGTCGGCGATGTTATATTGTACATGTCGCAGTAAGATAGATAAAGCCGCAATACAGTTACACAATATATGAATTGTAGGGGAAAAGCCGTACGCGTGCGCAGTATGTCCGCGCGCCTTCAACCAGCGCGTCGTGCTGCGGGAACATGTCCGCTCCCACCACTCCGCGCCCGACCGCCGCGCTAACGGTATGTATGCTCAGGTCGCTCTCGATTCGTGGCTTAACATTTTTACTTTACAACAGCTGTCGCCACATTTGTATGAAACGAATTCGAATCCTATAGTGAACAATATGTCGTTTTGTTGTAGGTGGCCCCGCGTATTGCTGCGTAGTATGCGGGCGCACCCTGCACTCCAGCGCAGAGCTAGTGCAGCATCTCATTCAACACTGTGACGCTAACACCGCGCTCAAGAGGCAACCACAGGTGAGAATTACCTAGTGTATTTATGTTCTTTGTATTTGTAGGATATAAATACTAGTCTATACTAATCTAAACTCTGTAAAATGTATGTTTATTCTGCTAATAATATATTCTCTATTAACATTAAATGATATCATGCGCTACGTTTTTTGCTGAGAGCTGTCCTGTTTTATCATCAAGAATGTGAATGTGCAAACTAATGTGACATTTCATTTTATTTCAAGACGGGCCCTCGGAAATACAAGCGGCGGCGAAAATTGAAGACAGAACAATCTCCAGCGACTCCTCGCGATTGGGAGCGTAATTCACCATCACCGCCACCCGTGTCTCGGTCTCCGTCGCCTGGTTCGCGCGCGTCTGACACTCTCGGTACGTCCCCCGCGCCCCCCGACTCGCCCCCCTCCCCGCCGTCGCCCGCGCGGCGTAGGCGGAGGCGTGCGGCCCCGCCCCCTGCGCGGCCGCGCATGATCCATACGGAGGAGGCCGGGCGAGCGCGGCGCCGCGCGGCCCGCGCCCCCTCGCCGCTCTGGGAGCGCAGCGCGCGCCTGCGCCGGCCGCCGCGGCACCCTGCGGACGACCTGCGCGCCATGCGCCACGACGAGGGCGCGGGCGAGGACGCGAGCGAGGCGGCGCCGAGTGCGGGCGGGCCGTTTAAATGCGAGATGTGCGAGCTGGAGTTCCCGCGCCGCGACGCACTGCTCCTACACGTGCCGGTGCACATCTGACGCCCGCACTCGGCCCCGCGCCCGGCCCCGCGCCCGGCCCCGCGCCCGGCACCGCGCCCGGCCCCGCGCCCGCGCCTTCTGCGCCGACCCGGGCCCGCGCCCGCCCCGGTGTAACACCTACACGATCGTCGTGTGACGAATCTCCACTGGTAATCTGGTGCGACGGTAGGGTACTGCGTGTACGTCCTACTCCAAACTCACTGGTGACTTATCATTGTGTTCTCAGTGTCTCTCAAAAGACTTGTAGCAAGGAAATCATTGAACATCATTATTAAATCTTAAATAGTTTACTTTATGCAATACCTATGATATGTTGTATAAAAGATGAATGTTATGTGAAGCCATTATTAATTATTTGATGTTTATATTATATAGCAATCTGTACATTGTGATAGATTAACAATTTGTATGACAGACATTCAATAATCTTATTTCTTGTGCATGTTTGAAATGTTTCTCATAATTATGATATCACCAAATAAATGAAGTTGTGCATGGAATAGTCTTTTAATAGTAATACGATCTGTAAATTTGCATAAAAATTAACATAGAGTTATTAGAGGCTTACATGTATTAAATTGTTTGCTGGTCAAAGATGACAAATTATTCAATTGTGGCTCTGTTACATTGTTTTAGTTTTATAGATGGATGTATAATGTTTACATTAATCTTTGTTTTTAAATAGCACCCTTATTCTATGCATACTTTGTTGTACAACTATACAAATGACTAAATGACTGCTGACTTGACTGTTTCGTTACATTACCGAGGTGTGTTGGGTATCAAGTGAATTGTTGTATTATACTAATTGACTGATTTATTGATTAGTTGAATGTAAATTTATTATTATTCTAGTGGTAAAATTATGTACATAATATGTATGTAATTAATAAAATTTGTGACAGTTTTGATGTTTTCATTGTTTAGTACAAATGCTGTATGTTTTGGGGTTTTTTTTACTGTTTTTATCCATTTTATTGTGATATAGACATAAAGAAGTTAATGTTGTGCCATGTGATGGTTATGAAATGAACAGGTATTACTTCTGGACTGGTATAGAAAATGTTGATTTTTAACAACCTTCTTGAAACAAAATAATTATTTCTTATAGTAGCTAGTATTAAAAACGTTGTGCAATACATTCCCCAAAATACATGGTAGTTATGTATGCCTTTCTAAAATGTACGTAAGAATTCTGTTCTTTCTTTTGAGATGAGGATCAAAACCATTGTACATAATATACTGAAATAAAACTTTAATAAGCGAAGTATTGTTTTTCTTTTAGACTGACCTAGATATTAGACAAGAACCAGTATTATTGAGTAACTATCAAAAGACACGATACGACAACATTAAAGGATATAGATGATCTTTGTTTTCAGTGTTCATATTATGGCTATCAATCACGGCTCAACATACCTGAACGTAGGTACGGCGCGTAGCGTTTTGCGAATGCCTCAACCACTACTGTTTTTTTTATTTTGCCCCACTAGGATTTTCTCTTGTGTTGTGGGAGTGCGTTAACAAACATGCACATCACACCCAGACCTGGAACAACAATTTGGGAATCACACAGAGTTATTCGAATCACACAATCGAACCCGCGACACGTTGCGCGGCAGCCAGTTGCGCAGCCACCGCGCCAACCGTGCAGTCGAACTTCTGATAGGGCTGGAGGTTGTGGGCCAACACAGTCACAACAAACAATATTTTTTTGCATATGATATTTTTTCCCGCCTAAAAAGAAGATGGCTAGGTGTTCTAACCTTAGACCATAGAAAATTAAGCTAATTCCGACATGGCTCTAACAATCACAGCGAGCAGGTACAGAGGTCGAGAGAAATGTAGGTATAGTTGTGAGAGAATTCGTTCGATTCTTCATTCTAGTACTTATTATTAAAAACTGATCTGGATTTTATCAGGACTAATTTTAAACAGTAAGTAACATTATTGTATTTAGGTATTATTTACACCTTCCACCTCAAGAGGCAAATAATTTAGCCTTTCATGGCCAGTTCCAAGCTCTCCAGCGTACTAAACGAATATCCAGTCGTAAAGAGACACGACAACAAAACTTATCAAGGTTGTTTTTAGGCGGAACCTTTGGGCCTACACCGCTCTCATCATATAAGTAAATATTTGTAAGTTTGTATGTAGGGGGTAATCTATGGAACTGCTAGCAGGATTTCTAAAATTCTTTCACTAATAGATAGCGACAATGTTCCCGAGTGCCAAGTATGTACCTATCAAACCTACATAACGAAACGTTACGATGAACCGTGAAATCGCGCAAGAGTAGATAGTTATCAACGTTAAATATGTATTCACGGTAAACGATATTAATATTCCTTTCTACCTCATGCTTGCCTTAATTGGCTGGCTTATGTGGAAATTCGCAAGAGTAAGATTAGCTGGAATGAAGCAAGCAGCTCAACGTATGTTGCCACCGTGTCGCGTGTTGCTACATGCTAGTCGCCGTTTCCGAAACACATAAATTGAGTTTGCCAGTCGGCTGACTGTCTGTTTTTTCATATCTATGTAAATTTGCGTGGGCCATAGCATTTTCTTAGTTATAATATCTACCATGTAATTTTCTTTGATACTGAACAATAGTCTTGGAGATTACCTTTGTGTGCACTTTCATAGTGCATACAGCATAGGGACAATATTGCCGGCCGATGTCCCATTTCACTAACATTAAAATAGAGGGCGTCTGCAAGTTGGCTTCGGCCGTACACACCGGACTTTCAAGTCCGGGCCACCGTGGACCCGAAAATGGAGGCAAATACACACCAATATTAATTCTATATAGGAGCGTAAAACAGATCATAGTTTAAGTTTTATGAACTTAATAAGAAGTATTTACAAATAAAAAATATTCGACGCCTCCACTGCTGTAGGTATACTCAAGGGGCTACATCATTGGGGGTTTCCACATTATAATCATTATATCACGACATCATTAGTTTCATTTGAATTCATTTTATAAAAACAAAAGTAGTTTTTTTACTGGACACACAGCTAAGAAATGTCATTGTCACTAACGTCAATGTTAAATCGTCAAAAGTCAACACGTCACGAACTATGTTTAGAAAGGGTTTTCAGATTTGTAATATTTTAATTCATGTAAAATACATTTCAAAACAGTAAACCTTTGTATTGTTTCGTTTCAAACCATCAAAACAGCGTCAGCAGACGCTTGCTAGTTAAACCGTAAGCATAGCATTACATTAACTAGGTATATTTTTGACTTGAAATAATTACTCTGTGTAATAATTTTGTAATTTTATCTAGAAAGTTACAAATATTAATCAAAACGGCGGGACGAAACAGTATGCGACGTGCCAGAGATGGGTATCAGTATCAGCCAGTGCCAAGAGTGGCAACAGATGATGCACTGGAATTTGATAATAATCGGATGGCTGAAGAATTAAGTGATAAAATATCTTCACTCAAAGACATATCTATTGAGCTGGGCAATGAAGTACGGTATCAAGAGAAATTATTACGTGGTCTTGACGATGATGCTGACAGAAGTGTCGGTTTTCTTGGCAAAACTATGGGCCGTGTTTTAAGACTGGGCAAGGGAAATCACAACTACTATATATTTTACTTGTTTCTATTTGCAATATTTGTTTTCTTCTTGCTCTATATTGTGTTAAAATTTAGGTGATGTGATCAATATATTTATTTGCTATCCCTAACTTTCATTCCTGTGTATTATGTAAACCATTATTCCCATGTAAATAAAGATCTTGAAGTTTACGGTTCTTATTATTAGTAACTAACAAAAACACAATTTTCTATCAAAAAATTTCAGTTTATTTTCAACAAATTAAGTAGTACTGCTTTCAATGCTGCTATACATATCATTTAAAATGCTGCAATATTCTTCACCTACAATCATTTTAGGTACTGCAATGCGTAATTGGCATGAATTATTCAATTTTGAACAACATCTTGCAGTGTCTACCATTAGAGCTACAACACCACAGGCATTTTGTATATTTGATTTATCACAATATGCACTTAAATCATCTAAAATTATTATTGAAGGGATACTCTGCCACTCGTGTAGTGCAGATATAATTTCTATCAATGAATTCAAACTCTTAACATACATAAATATTATCATTTTCATATAATACTTGTTAAGTGATCTCAAATCTTGAGATAATTCTGGTAATTCATTTAATTCTTCGGATAAAATGTATAAGACTTTCCCCGTTTTTGCATGTAACAAAGCTTCTTCGAAAAGTTTCCTGCGGTTCGTACTTGAATCTTCAAAATAAAAACTACAATTAACCTCTTCCATTGGAGCAGGTCACAAAGATAATGAAAAGTGATGATGTTCTATACTTAATCGATGCTATATTAAACATACTAGTTTAATTATCATATTTTATCTTTGTACCATATGAAACTTAATAAAACCTCCTAACAAAGTAACAAAAAGTTCATAACAACACTCGTTCAACTTTCATTGACAGTGACGTGACATCCTGCACGCTTGACAGTGATACTTGTTTGACAGCAATTATAGTTGAATTTTTTTTTTGTATAACTATGATCAGATTAAGCATAAATCGTAATCACTTCCCGCCTATCCGATAAAATCTGAGTAGCTTCGGGACTCACTTTTCCTTATTTATTTTTTAAAATCTAACATTAACATATCAACATGAATCAAACTATAGTAATTCAATTTGCTTGGGCTGACGCGATTACACTAGACATCTAAAGTACTGGACATACACTGACTACTCAAGACGGTCCAGTTTCTCCCCCGCTTTGTTAGAAAGAAAACACATTTATTCGACAAATAGGCACACAAATACAAGTTGTGTTGTGTTATATTAGTAACTAGCTACTCTTACGCGATTTCACCCGCTGCTCGGCTCTATTTGATCGTAGCGTGATGTTTTATAGCCTATAACGCTAAGGAACATTGTGGCATCTATCAGTGAAAGAATTTTGGCAATCAGACCAGCAGTTACAAAGATTACCCTCTACAAACAAAACAAATTTTACTTATTTATAATATTAGTATAGATTTATGAATTTTGTGTTAATACGATCTGTTGAAAGATTAACACTTATTCGTATTCTCTCAAAAGTAATTAATTATTAGTGGGAAGGGAAGGATGATAACAAATAAATGACTTATAAATAAATTCAATAACGTATCGTATTTGAATCATTAAATAAAACAAACGCCATTCATATAATCCTAATTTTATTGTAATAATTGTATTTACTATATTACAAATCTAAAATAAAGAAAATTTTACCACATTTCTTGCGTGATGCTGCTTATTTAAAGATCGTATCTATAAATGTTTCCGAGTAAGCAATACTGAATTCCCTATGGGTTTTTATTTACAATTTGTAATGTACAAATTTAGAAGTTTAAAGTTAGTTTCAGAAGTTTTTATCAAGTTACACACTAAGATTTTTGTATGCAGAAGATTGATACAAAATTTGCAACTTACTGCACTGTATACAGCAGGAATGAATATCTTTACTTTGCAGAGTAATAAACATATTATTATATGTGCAGATGTTATGTTCTCTGTTATGTATTGCTAGCCGCTACGAAGTTCATAGCCCTACATCATTTAAGCGTTTTACAGTCAAAGAAATAAGTTTATTAAGAATATGATAAAAAGCACACTCTAGAGGGTAACCACTGAGGATTAGAGCTATTTTTGACAATCAAAGTAGCTTCTTTCGAGAAAGCTCAAAAGAAAGTACAGTTAAATATAAATTTATTTTAATTGAAGATGAATCATGTGGCTTGAATCTACTAATGATACTATAATACAATACTAAAAACTATTATGTAAATCAGAGTTCATGATAAAAAAGAAGAATATAATACACTTATTTTATAAAACATGTTGTTGCTAATGGGAGAGGTGATGGTTTTTAAACCATTAGTTTACACATACATGTTTTGGTTTAGTCAAACTAATAAAATGCAACTGTGTATTTAGATGAAAAAGCCTAACTTTTTGTCTTTTTTATGAAAAGAAGAATCTTGGTCATAATCCCTATTAAAAGGTAGAAAAAAAAACTAATGTAATCTATTATACAAACTACTATCATAACAATATTTATTTATTGTATCATTAACTTCACTCGCTCTTAGTCTCATTGAACAATGCAGCAAAATAGAATCAAATCAATATAAAAAGAAATTGTACATAACATTTTATGTAAATATTGTAAAAACAAGGCCGCACACAATAAACATTTTAGCCAAAATCTAAACACTCGATAATTGTCGTGGCTGATATAGCTTGCGTAATTTCAATATTAAATAAATCGCTCTGATTCCATTTTGTGGCAATGTAAATTGAGTCTTAGTCAAAGTTGAGAATACCCAACTCCTTGCAACTCCTGAAGGACACATACTGTAATAACTTTTATTTACAGCTTAGTGGCAGTCAGTCTTGTATTTGCTGATATATATTTAACAGAAAAATTCATCAAGCAATTGTTACGTCCACCAATGCTTTCCCAATTAACTGCTTGTCAATGTAATCTGCTATTATATCTAGGTGCATGTATTGATATTCGGTTACTATTATTTCTGTCAACCATTTTACTTAACTGCAAATTGACAGCATAAAATCAGAAATACAAACCACAATTGTAATGCAAGTTTGTACAAAATACTTCATGATGTAAACAATCTGAGTGTATATACACTTCACATTCAGACATAATTATTATAAATTAAAAATTCAATTATGTGTCTACAAAAGTAATGAAAATAAGAATTCGAAACTATTTTGTCACACTAAATCTTAGCTTGGGGCTTAGAGAACAAATATTTATCCATATTTGATTAACTCTAATAGAATTGTGGTTCATCACATTTTGAATTGGTCAAAACATTTTATTCCTGTGCTTTACTGGCTTCCGTTATTGATTCATACTGTTCCTTGTCAAGTTCAGTCATTGTCAAACTGCCATCAGGCAACATAAGTACAACTCTTCGTGTTCCACCTGTAACAATCATTATAAAAAACTTACATTAGAATTGGGACACTGCGATTGCCGGAAATTATTGAGTCTACTTATTTAAATGATATTTAACTTGAATGACAACACTTTCCTGGTAGAATGAGATTTCTTTAAATATTGTGTGTTGATATACTGACCGGGTGATGGTAGGTCAGCCTGTAGTAGTTGCGCGATGACCTGCGTAGCATCCTCACCGGGCTCTCCCTCGACTTGCACGGCCACCTGCTGCAGCGCGGGCGCAGCCTCGCCTCCGGGCATTAACTGTGCCAGCTGAGAGGGATCGATCGCCAACACCTCCTATGGGAATGTCTCACTTGAAGCTACGGCAATGCTACATGATCCGGATATTTAATTAACAATATAAAATTTGCCATGCTGTGAAAATAACATTAGTAAATCTTGACTGAATTTGTGATGTAATATTCTGACCTGTCCATCCTCTCTCGTGACGTACATGACGTCACCGTCACCTTCGACGGCGCCTTCCACACCTTCTACGGCACCTTCGACTCCCTCTGCCGCCACAAGTAACGTTTGACCTGCTTCGTTTTCACCTGCGACCTTTTGAATGAAACAAGTTATTGATAAGTACTTACGTAATAAGACAACAAAATGTGCTTAATTTATCACTTAATTTTAACTGTACTGTGAAACTTACCTGATAAAGGACTCCATCTTCGCCTCTAATCATAATAGGTGTGTGCCCAGAGTGTAGTAATCCAACCTCTTCACCATCATCAACTCCGACTCCCCCTTCTAATAATTGTTTAACAGCACTGGCTTCAACTTTTACTTCCGTCTGAAATATTTAAATAATATTATGCAAGATTGCCTGCTACATTTAAACTATATAGTTATTATTGCATAATTTTTTTTATTTACTTACACCATCTTCATCAGTGAGTACAGGAAGTGAGGGTTGAGCACCATCTCCTTGTACCAGCATTCCAGTAGTGCCACCAGGGGACATTTCGACCTGAATCAAAGAGGTGTAAAGAAATTATATAATTCAACACAGATTATCAATTACGTATAATAACATGGAAAGTGGGATTAATTGTTAGTTGCTTGTGGGCTGTGTGCCCATCTAGTAGTAGGCTGCAGCAAGTGTTAATATAAATAGAAAATAATGAAATATAAAATCGGTATAATACCTTCATAAGCATCGTACCAGCCAGCGCTTCGGGGGCGGGTGGGGGCGTTGGCGGTGGCGATGGAGTCGGGGGCGGCGTGGGCTCGCCCTCTGCACGCGCCAGCCGCCGCCCCGTCAGAGGGCACAGCGTCAGTTCGCGCTCGGGGCTCGGAGGGGGCAGCGGGCCCAGGTGCCGCGGGAACGGATCCTCGATGCCATCAGACGTGTCAGATGATGCATCCGACTACAACCATAACACACTTTTAATTTTTTTTCTATATACAACAAACACTGATGTAAAAATTAATAAATGCTATGATTAATCATTAATATTTACACCACAATCACATAATAACATATCAGTGTTAACAAGAACTAGAGTGATAAAAGTCCATGACAATTGGCTATTTTACACTCAAAATATGGATAGAATAGGCAATGCAATAAAAAACAAACTACTAATTGAATAAATTAGATCTAAGACTTACAGGACAGAAGTATTTTGATTGTTCTCAAAACATTGATGTAGTCCACCGGCAAAACGAAAAAAAAATCGTGTAGTAAGAATATGCTAACCTGTTCAAAGTCTAATGCAGGAACCTTGTCTCGGATGCGAACTATGTTACCGCCAGCCGTAGCCACGGAATACCCTCCGCGACCACGCCCCCGACCTGACCCGCCGCGCCGCAGTAAACTGTCGCCCTGTGCAGTCAATCTCTTTGTTACTCAACCATTATGACGTAAATTAGTATTAGTATAAAGCTAGTAAAAAATTTGCTAGCTTATCGTATTAATCACATCTATTCCTTAGTTGACTGGATAAGGCAACATTAGAGGGCATTGAGGAGTAATAATTTTAAAACAGATTACTACATACTTTCAACTATTACAATTTCTACCTATTACTACATTCAATTTAGAATTATTCTTATAATACGATGAATATAATATAATAATTATAATATACAATACCTGTGCAAGTTTTTTGTTAAGTATGGTGACAGGTGACTTTCCATCAACACCCTGTCCTGCTGGTCTTTGAATAGTGCGTTGAATGATCTTTTGCCCGGAAGGAGTAATTATAGTCTTCTCTGTTACTTGCTGACCTCCAGAACCATAAGTTTTCTTTATCTGTACAGTGAAATAATATATTCAGCAAAATGTTTAATTCCACATATCAAAGAACAAAATTACATTATTAAATAAATAATAAATGTAAATAAAATACAATATTATAATTTAACCTGTGATGACATTGGTGTGCGGATAGGGGACGTTTTCTTGGCTTCTTCCAACTTTTTCTGAAAGTAGTAGTGGTTTGTTTTAAATATTTTTTCTAGTATAACTATTCATATATTTATATATTGCCATAACTTAGAAACAATTTATACCTGTTTAGCTGCTAATATCTGTTTCCGAATCACATCCTGATCTATATTTAGCCCCGGTCCTAATTTCCCAGGAGAATCAATCTTCATAATTCCTGAACTCTTCGACATGATATAGACACCTGGTAAAAGAGTTACTATATTTTTACAGATTGTTCAAGTTAACAGCAAAGCCAGCACATACATCGCTGTCACAAACATAGTGATATCAACTATCTCATTCCAAACAATTAAATACCTGTGGTAAGATTAGGCATATGTTTAGGGTCTACTTTAATGACACCCTTTATGTTCGGCATGCCTTTTCCCGCGAGACCAAGTGATTTCACCAGCTCAGGGTCCAGAGTGGACTTTGTTGGCGAAGATTGACCATTCAGCATTTTCTTGTCAGCTGAAATGTTTACTATGTTAAATATTTATCAGTACTGGGCCTTGCTATTTGATTTAATACATGTACAAAGTGACTAGTATATTTTACATAGAAAATCGTTAAACAATGAGTGTGCTAGCTATAATTGTATGAATCTTTGTACCTTTAGTGGAGTCAGGGTCAGAGTAGTCCTCATCTTCACTGGAAATTTCCTTTTTCACTTTCTTAGCAGCAGGTTCACCATCCTCTGCCCCACACCATGCCTTAACTTGATCTAAAGCGCGAACCTTGCTTGTGCGCTGAAGACGCCTGCAAAATCAAAGATATTGTTGTTAGTTATTTAATTATAATGACTATGTGAAAGTATTCAAAAAAGCAATGTTATTTAGAACTTAAAGTAGCTAGCTAGATTGACATATACCCAGATGGTGTAACAGCAGGACTCTCAGACTTCTTTACCACTTGCTTGACAACTTGGGGTAAGGGTGTACTGATTTGTTTCACCTGAAAGAAAATTGAGAATAAAAATTAAGTATTATTTAAAACACTCTTGTTTTATCTATGGCACTCCCATACACTCTTTATATTACAATACTAGATTACAATATTATATTACATTACTAGAAAAATAAATTGATTTAAAACATGTTCTTAGACAATACCTGCACTGGGTGCTGCTGCTGTTGTTGTTGCTGTTGTGCTCTAAGAGCTTTCAGTTCCTTCTGACGTGCCAGCTGCTTTTCAAATGCTTCCAATAAATGTTTACATGTCTCCATATTTTCCACTGGTTCCCAAGTATTTTGCTCACTGAAAAATTGAAAAATATTTAATATTTCTATATATTATTTCTCTTGCCATTGTATTATGTTTCAAAAAAAAAAACACGAAATAAATGGGATTTGTTATGCTTACTGTGGATATCCCTCCCATTTGAGCAGGTATTCATACTGCTTACGGCGTGGGTTAAATCTTTTAGCTAAAATCTTTTCTACAACATATTCTCCAGCTTCAGTAGGATCACCCTGGCGCTCAGTACGACGCGCAATCCGCTCTTCAGGGGGAACTCGCTCTTGAGCATTCCGCACTGACTCATTCAGCTCCTAGAACACATCAAATAATTCAGATTGAGGTTCAGTTACTACTGTAGAACACCACCCCCATGAAAACAAGAAAGCAGTGAGTCAACAATATGTGAATAATGATTATTTAATTAATGATACTGGAAATTCTGTAGAATATTTACATTTGTCTTAATCTACTTTATGTTTAGATAATACTGGTATCTCTATGACTTGTAATTCAGATTTTAGTAAGCCACGGTTCAGGTTTTTATAGTAAGCCAATTACTAAATGTATCTTATCAAGCTCAGTTTTATTAAATCAAGAAAGTACCTTTGATTTGTTTACATTTTGTGGTATTGGTACTTTTTGGACATTCTTCAGTCCAGGGCTAGCTTTAACAATATCGTCACTTTCTTCCCCTGAGGGTTGTGTTTCAGAATCCTCCTGCAAGATTGGGTTAGTAATGAGTGTTAGATGTAGCAACATGGAAAAACACAGATTAACTACAAAAAAATCATACCGGTTTAGGTATCTTCCTTGGTCTGCCTCGTCTCTTAACTTCATGCTGTACAGGTGTTTGAACCGGAACTAGTTGATCTTCTGTCTTAACTTCCATCTGTATTAAATTGAAAAAATTTTAATCAAAAGTATTTTGAAGTTACCGTGTAAAATATTTAAAAGAGATACAACTTACAACTTTAGCATGTGCAAATTTGGACAGGGCCTGAACATTAGATCCGGCTGTAATCCAGGCAGTCCTTTGGGCTTCAGCCATGCGGCACCACTGCTGATATAACTTCCAGCTATTGTCTGTATTTACAGTAGAGCCATCACGAACAGATGAACACTTCCATAGGAGGAAAGCCCACACTTGTGCTTTACTTTCATTCTACACATGAAAAATAATAAATTACTTAATGGCAACAATTGTTTCAATATAGTGCACATTAGAACATTATTTTATTTTTCTTGATATACCGTACTCACACTATCTCTTACTGGAGATTTTCCAGTACAATTGTTTGCATCCTTGTGTTCTTTAAAATCCTCAATAAAATGGAATGCTGAGTGGCACTGGCCACATACCAAAACATCTAGAGTTGCCATTTGTTCATGGGCCTCTGAAATAGAGAATTTAAAGATATGGTCAGTGGGTAGCCTTAGGGGCGGATTTTTACTTTTTTGGTTCATTTGTTGGAGATGAAATTGATTAAACATTATTTGTATTTAAATTGAGTATTGTTAAATGGAGACAAAATACTTAATTTTTGAAAATGTATGGTTAGTAAGTATCCTAAAAAAACATCTTATGGGTTACATTTCTTACAGAAAACTAATGAAACAATTGGTAGATTGGATCCGATCTATATGCCAAAAATCAATAAGACACAATACTTAAAATTATATTACTAAATAAAATTGGTGAAACATTATTAAAATGGTGTTTTGATATTAATTTACGGTAAATTTATTGATAAGCATACTTTACAATAAATAAATTACTAAAATATAAATTTTGGATAACCACAGTTGTTTACCTTTCAGAGCTGTCGGGTTTTTAGTTATCTCGTCTGGATTTCCCGCCGGTACCTCTTCCGGTGGCGTCTCGCCTTCTTCAACCGAAGTCATTGTCGAGTATTGAGACGCTACAAGAAAAGCACTATGTAGACTTTTTATTCATTATTGACGTCCAATCTGCTACACTGTGCTGATACATTACAGATAACCTTAATTTACACCGGCAAATTCCCGCCAACTCATGTCACATAAACAATAAAATATCGGCAGACTTTTTGGACATAAGAAATAATTTAAAGCAAAACACAACTGTTACGCCGTCCATTTAAAAACTAAACAAATGTTTAATCATCAATATCACAAAAATTATGTATTTGAATTCCCGTGACACAAATCAACGCTCATTGCATTTCACTGCCATCGTAGCGATAAAATTAGACGCTTCTGTAATAATCACTCGATAAATATGGTAATATTTGAGAAATGTTATTATTCAATTCACATGGATTTTATATAAATTACACTATCAAGACAATGACACTTACCAAAACAATATTTTTTTCTAAAATAATGAAACTTTTCAGAGAATGCAACGCAAAACGGAACAAATCACATCAACAATCGAATGTTTAATGAGGATAAAAAACGTTTCGCCGACACGCTCAAGCTGCCACCTAGTGATCGCCGACAATTATTGTTCTCTTTTACGCTTCTTTATGTTACAGCCAATCGCAACGCGTTGAATTTAATATTTCAGCCAATCAGCATTCGTTTTTGTTCTGGGCATGCTATAACATACCTGCTGTTTCGTAATAGCCACTGGGTTTGACCGACATGTGGTTTTTAACCACCGTGTTTCGCCGACAACCCTTAATGCTCCAATGTAATTCTGTAATTTGCTCATTATCTAATAGAAAAATTATGTTTATTTATAAAATAAACAATTTATAACTTTTTTGGTTATATGAAGTAAGGAATTAATAGCCAAATTAATGTGTTGCTCCCTGATTTCATTGTATAATTTAGTATTTTCTATTGATGAATGCCATTTTTTAGAAGTAATTAGTTACTTACTAGATAATTGTAGACTTACAACAAATTATAAGAATTATCTCACTTAGGTACAATAAGATCATGTAGTTATCATGGTAAATAAACCTTTGTTTTTATACAGACCTTTTACCTTTGAGTACCTAAGTTAAATTTTGCAATAAGCAATCTTAAAAATATTGTTCATCACTCTCTAGTTTCTAGTTACTCATACAAAAGAATTTCGGATCGGTATTTATTTTGATATTATTAAATCTTTAATTTTAATTACAAACAATATATTTCAATGCAAAATACACATAAAGGTACCTACGGGAGTAGAAAGTACCTAGAGTTTTGGTGTTTAGGCAATCGGTTCCTTTACCGGCATTGAGAACTTTAGAGAAGTTGAATATGGAAATAAAAAGATTTACTTTATCTCGCAGCTTGCGGGAAACAGCTGTGTGCTCTTTATTGATTTTTGGTCATATGCCCGCTCTATCAGACCAGCCTAATGCATTCTGCTCTTATACCATCATATTTTATTTCTTCATCATGTTTTATCCGCAGTCTAGTTTATAGTAATGTGTCCTTAGTTAAGAACCAGTTACCACTGAATGAATATTTTCTATTACCACTTTATGTCCTAGGTACTAGCTTTTGCCTGCGATTCCGTTCGCGTGGAATAGTGACTCCCTGCAGATTTTTTGTACTTATAAAAACTATCCTATGTCCTTTCTCGAGTTCCAAACTATGTTTGTACCAAATTTTACAGAAATCGGTTCAGTACTTTAGGCGTGAAGAAAAGACAGGCAGACATATTAGTTTGGATTCATGATTGGAACATAAGTACCTTCATCATGATTCTTGGCGGTCGGTCACTCCCATCATTGTAATGTACGACTACGTAGGAACAGTCTGTCTGTCTGTCTAGTCAGAGCTGTGGTACCAATTTATTTGTCGTGTCAAACTACTGTTAACAGAAAGATATTTACGGATTAATTAGTCGATTAATTGATGATTTGAAGACAAAATAAAATGACCTTGAAAAAATAGCTTTTCCGCGTCCAGACCGAAAGAGAAATATGTTATTCATAATCTTCTTATGTACTTCATGATGTATGCAAGGTTCTAGACAGGCGGGCTGCATTTCAACTGCAGCAGTTTGAATGAGTTGACACGAAAAATTTTCCCAAATTTCAGTCAGCGTGCAGTCGTGTGAACTGCACACCACACATTAGAATGCGTAAAATAGCGAAACCGCATTGCGAATCATTTCCACCCCCATGTCTCTCGGCTCCATTTGATCGTAGCGTCAGCATCGGTGAAATAAATTAGAAATCGGACCAGGAATTTTTCAATACCTATTTCATTAGCTCTGAGGGAATGTTCTAGATATCAAGTACTCTATCTTACAAAATGCATCTACACTACAATAGAGTATTGTAAAAGTCTTAGGAGTAGTTTAGTCCTAGTCAACGAACATGGGTAAGCGAGAGAAGGGGGAGGGAGTAGAACTAACTGACAACTAGGTAAAATGTTTAGTTTAGTTTACGGGGTAAGCGCAATAAGGCACCGCGGCGTCGGTCTAGAGAAGGAGAAGGAACGGGGAAGTTTGTAGTCAGTAAGAACCGAATACTTCCTCTCGTCTCACCTTGGGCGGAAGAAGTCATGATGATTTTCCCCTGGCAAATAAAGAAAACTGGTTAACATGTAGGTCAGCATATAGTCCCATAAAATCCCATTAACACAATGATAATCTTAACCTTTAACATTTTAAACACATCATCCAGAAAATTGTGAAGAGTCATTGGACGAATACAGAGTGAAATAACTACTGCTATTTATTTATGTGTCTGCCCTACATCAGTGGCTGAGTAGGCTACTAACGAAATCTAGGAACTGCGATTATTTTCTTACGCAATAGGAAGGTACAACAAGCTACAAAGATTAATAATAGAAAAATATCTTCATCGAAGTGCTTCACTATAGATAGATCATATTATTTAAAAAATATTTCAGCGCGCACACACATATATGCAGTGTGACACAAATACATGAGCGATAGCAATTACAGCGTTTTAAATTAACCGGCTTTCGCATAAAATATATATTATTAATTGATTTATGCATCTCATCATTATTCCATCGCTTTTGCTGTGGTGATAGCTGATAGCGTACAATTGAACGTTAGCGTCATGCATCATTAATGCACTTAATATTGCATAATATAAATATGATGAGCAATCCTAAATACGAGGGTTTGTTGGTTTTGACTCATGATTCATATGTACCTTTAATTAAGTAATTTCATTATAATAATATATTTCGTTCATAAAGGTGCTCTGCTCTATATATTTCGTTAATAATTTGATACTTTACTCTATGTAAAGTATCAAATTATTTTAAATCTACATTCCTTAAGCACCAAAATGAGTTCGTCGATGTACTTTTAGAGTAAGCCTCATGATTGTATTTGATCTATAATTGGAGTCGACTAATTTAGTTCTGACGGGTGTACTCTACAGCAATTTACTCATGTTTAAATGGAGTTTATGAGTGATTAATACGACTTTTAATGTCAAAATATATATGTGTATGCATAATATTTTTTTAATTAGATACTTTTTGTTTTAAGCGTTTTAAAAGAAAGTATTTTAATCGATTTTTAATGACATCGACTAAAATGTACTCCATTGTCATCTCTAAAATTTAGTATTTTTTTCATCTGTGAACTATTTCACTTCGTTCGTGGGACGCTTCGCGCCGTATAATTTATTTTTTCCTATTATTTCTTTGTATTTTCACTGAGGGACGAAGATATATCGTGACTGTGTTATAAGAATTCAAGACTATTACTTTCGCATATATTTCGTGATATAATTATAAGCAATGTCAGGAATAGCGAGTGCACGTTTAGCTGAAGAAAGAAAAGCCTGGCGCAAGGACCATCCCTTTGTAAGCGACATGATTTCTGCAATGGATTGTGTTTCAGTTGCTTGTTAGTGAAAAGTGTGTGATCGAGTGTATTGTGTGTTTCAGGGTTTTGTGGCCAGACCTATGAAAAATCCTGATGGATCTTTAAATCTAATGACATGGGAATGTGCGATCCCTGGTAAAAAGGGGGTTAGTATTTCTAGAACTTTTCGAATTCTGTACACAAATAGTTCCTAGTGTTGTTATACTAATGCACTGTTACTTTAAAAGTGCATCACTTTTATATACAGATGACCCAACACATTTAATCATGTTTATAGCTTAACAAAATAAAGGGTAACTTTTTCATTTTACAGACGCCATGGGAAGGAGGTCTTTATAAGCTTCGTATGATTTTCAAAGATGACTACCCATCAAGTCCTCCTAAATGTAAATTTGAACCTCCACTGTTCCATCCCAATGTTTACCCATCAGGAACTGTTTGCCTGTCATTACTAGATGAAGAAAAAGATTGGCGCCCTGCAATCACAATCAAACAAATCCTCCTTGGTATTCAAGATCTACTTAATGAGCCTAATGTTAAAGACCCTGCACAGGCTGAAGCTTACACAATTTACTGGTTAGTACACTTTAAATGTATTGTGCACTTTATGTACCATTCATGTTCTAGTATTTTAATCTTAATAAATGAACTGTTGACTATAGTTTTTGTTTTTCTTTCCAGTCAAAATCGATTAGAATATGACAAAAGAGTTCGAGCTCAAGCACGCGCCATGGCAGCAACTGAGTGATGCGGAATAAGATCAATACACTCAAGTGGACTACTTGCCATTAATTAGCCAGGTTGCAGAAAGCTATTCATTACAAAAATGAGCATTTTTTTACATAATAGTAGGTGGTGCAGGTGTGTAATAAAATATATCAGGTTGATGGATTGGATTGATCAGATCATCTTACTATTAAGCAATGTCAATAAATAGCTCTCTGAAACAAAGCTGTGCAAGATAGTCCATGTCAGTGTTATTGTTGAAATGTTCAATGACTTCAAGTATTATGAATTATCTATGAATAATTCAACAGTACATCTGATTTTATTAATATAGAGATTCCAATAAACATAAAAGCCATTTCTTCTACTTGCTGTTCACATTCTAGAAGTAATGGTTACTCTTTAAGGTTCATTTTATTTATTTGTAAAGTTGCATTGAATAAACACTGAATAATGAGTAGTAAGGCTTAATACTATGTGAGTGTCAGACATCTTATAATCTCATCTTGATTTGCACATAGAAGTAATTGTGAAGATCTACATGATTATTTTAAACTATTTTTGTATTTTTATGTTAGAAACATTAATAAATTTCTCAAAAGTATAATATGTCATCATGAGATTTGTTTGTTAACAACCTTTGTGAAATATTAAAATCTTTTGCCATATCAAATCACATTCCTAATATAAGTTTTGAACAATGTGTTCTTAAATATTTTATTCTAATAAGATCCTAATCCTTATAAACAACAGAAAATAAAAAAAATCTGTTTCCAATACAGTTACAAAGCAGGTTCCAATTTTCTTGACTTCCTAAATAAGTAGAGAACAACTCAATTGTGTGACAGCAAAACCTGAATATCCTTTCATTTCTAACTAGCTTCTCCCCTCCATTTGATTGCAGCGTGATGTTTAATAGCCGCTAGCACTCTGGAACATTGTAACTGCCAATAAGTGTTCGAAGAAATTTGAGAAAATTTCATCAAAAATTTTACCTCTTGATAATATTACTATAGATACCTAGCAAGGAATATAATAACTCTCTACGAGAGAAGAATGGTAACTCTATGGAAAAAAGAAGCGACCACAAACTACACATGTATTTACACTAGCGCCATTGCGGATTAGCAATACAAACTGAATCATCAGGCGGGCTTTTTAAAATTACTTTTAATGGATTGATCAAGCAATTTATCAGCATGAAAATTTATAATTTTATGGAGTTAAAACTTAAACTCTGAATCTCCATAAAATTATAAATTTTCATGCGGTGAAGAAACCAGGGCATTAAGATTACAAATGAAACAATGAAATATGATTACATTATTTATTTCTCAAAATTTGTATTTTCCTCTTTAGGGCATTTCGTTTTTCGTCTTCCTCCATTTCTCTATTCTTTAATGTGGTGTACCTTTTTATGCATATATAAAAAGTACTAGATTTTAAATCTTCTTTATTAATTTGCGCATGTCTTGTACAGGCAGATAAAAAAGAAAAGTCCACAACATCTATTGCACCCAATATATTTTTTTTTACATTTTCTCTCCAAGCCTCGTCTTGCAAATATTTATTAATTAATGAGGCCATTGTTTCCACACATTGAATCATTTCTTTGCTAACATAATTTAAAGAATTTGCCTCTCTGTATTCTCTGAAGCTTGTAAATACGTGTACGGTTTCAGCATAATTTGTCAAAAATGCTTGCCGACAATCTGAGCAACCATTATGTCGGAGTTTTTTGAATATAAAACCACACACGTATCCACAAGCTTGACCTTCCGGCGTTGCTTGTTCTACTGCTTCAACTGCATCAGCTAATGACGCTTCAATATTTTGATCAGTGTAGACCTGATTAGTTGGCCCAGCCTGATTTGGACCTTTGTCCTGGGTGGTTGGCAAATCATTTAAAAATGTGATAAAATTATCACACAATACAGCAGTGTCGTCCTCGCAATTCCGTTTTTGCCCAGCATGGCGCAAGTTCGACAGAATTGCGGTTTTTACTCCCGCCACAAACTGTTGTATTGTGGGATTATAATTTGAGCCACAGTTAAACCTGATGCAGCCAAAGCAGTTTTCCAAAGGGTCTTGGTTTAGGCGACGCGTGGAAAGGCTTTTAATTTGTTTTGCCTGCAAATTCTTCCATAGCCTTTCTATAGCATTCAATGTGTGGATCCAGCCATCTTGGGATGGAGGTGTGGACCTACTGCCGAGATATTTCATACTTGAAATAAATTTACGCATTTTATTAAATAAAGAAATGTGAGGAGAACGCGTTGTCATATTAGTGGAGTATATTTTTCCTCTACGTAAATCCGGGCTGTCTGCATTCACCGCATCGAATAAGTCGTCGAAATTTTTCGTAAATGTAGCAGTAGCATGTGCTTCCGGAGGAAGTTCATCTGAAAAAAATAAGTTAAGTTTGTAGAAATCAGCTATTGCAACATAAATTGCTATAGCACAACAGTTTCGGAAACATCAACACAATCGCCTTCGCTCAGTGTTTATTATTAACGGTAGTTTTTTGCTGTGATCTATGATCTTGTTTCTGAAAATTTGATTATGTATTTATATTTCTTGACTGCCTCGTTGCCTGCCGGACAAGGGGCCCGGGTTCGGTTCCCAGGTCGGGCAAAGTATTAATGGGTCTTTTCAAAATTCTCAGTAGAAGCACAGAGTCTGGAATCGTGCCCAGTATATGGCAATAGGCTCATCCCCTATTATATGGAACTCATAACATAAATAGAAAAGTGGGTTTTACATTGTACAGTGGCATTAAGTGTCGGTAAAGTGCACCTCTGCCTTCCTCTGCACGCCTCTTATAGGCGTGATATTTATTCATATTCACTTACTTGATGAAATTTTCGCCAATATACCAGCCGTAACCGAGTGGCTAAATATTTGCGCCGCCAGCTTCACACGCATTTGTTGCTTCACATTTGGCTTAATATGGCTTTCAGTTAAAGCAGGAGCAAAAACAAAATTTGGATTACTTTTATCCATATTATAGAAACTTTCTATATAACTCCATTTAGCAACGCCTGTAACAAAACAAAATGTTCTATTAATATTATAGTTAAAGTTAGTAGCAAACATATCTAGTTACCAACTAGTATACCATAGTTGGTAACTAATTCGATGATTTTTCTAAACACTAATTTATATTTTACCTTTTATGGATTCATTATTGCCTTGAATGTCAGTAGTGCACTCTACATCATGTTTTAATAAAAGGTTTCTGGTACACTTTAAAAGATGTGGAGGGTCCAATACAGCAACAATTTCTTTGTTATTATGGGAAAAATAAGGGTCCCTTGTTGTTGCACCCATCGTTTTCAAGACTTTCATATTGACTGTGGATAAGTCACATACAGTGGCAACCACATTCATATTAGAATTGAAACATTCTGTTAGTATCTGAAAAAAAAAACCAAAACTTTACTATGTTATACTTAAAAAAAGTAAGAAATTATATGCAATCTTAGTAAAATATACTACACCTCTTTTAAAATCACAGTCATTCTATCTGAGTTCATAGTATGCGAAAAATAGAATGCAATTGGCTGCTTCCATTTTTTTCTAATTCCAGCTAGCATAAAAACAAGGGCTTTACTGGCAATTTGATGGTTCCTTCCATGATTGCCATGGTCTTGGAAACCCTGTATTTCATCTTGACTTTCATTGTAACTTAAATGTTTTCTAATTGACATTTCGTCAAATGAAAGTATACAAAGATTGTCATCTTCTGTTTGCTTATCACTAATTTTCATTAATGTTTTAAATATATGTCTGTTGATGCCCGGTTTGAGTGGTACTTTGTTCAGCAATTTATTGAGACTGCTTTGGCTTGGTAATGCAAACATTCTTCTCAGAAGTCTGTAGCAAGCAGGTGATTTTTTATAAATCCCCAGAGCCATGATTTTTTGGTCAATTGTATATCGCCTACCTTTTGGTTTTTTTGGGCAATTTCTTAACTGACTCTGTAACAGTACTATAAATGAATTACTTATATTTAAATTGCATAGCTTATGCAAATTTTCGTCTTCTGCTAAATGTTGTATGCAGTCAGCCTTCTTATTTTTAATTTTGTTTCGGAGTCTTATTATTTCCTTTAGCTTTCTCCTGCAAACATTGTATAACCTTCTTTCTCGTTCAGTCAATTCAGTCTGTCTGGTTACATTTAAACAACTGAGAATGCCGCCACGTTGTCTAGGCGCTTTCTTCGGTAGCTCCTTGGAATGAGATGGAGTGTCTGTAGATTTAGCAGTTGAAGAAGTTGATGAAGTTTTCTGAAATTTATAAACAAATATATTAAAAAAAATACCTTCATGCTACCTACATATTGTAAATAGCCATTTTATGTATGTTTATAATTGTGAAAATTAATGAATTCTTAAATTTTATGCATTCTATAAAACATTAATAACATCCGCAAATATATTACGATGTAGAATCATTATAATAAATAAATAAAAACATAGACCTCAGTAATGACATAAAACAAGCCTTTGACAAAGTTTATATCACTTTAGCACAATGGACTACTTCAATTCTAACTGAAGAATTTTCTACCTCATCATCATACTTCATGAGTTCTTTCCAATTCAGATGCAGAAGTGAATGATCAGAACTTTGAGAGTTGTTGTTGGGTGTTACGCATGGAAGCATTTTAGATTCAGTTCTCTACTTAATTTTTAAGGTTGATCTTCCAACCCATCCACATACTATTACAGCTACACATGCAGATGACATGCTTAATGAGGATGCTACTATTGTATCTAATAAGTTTTAAGAACATGTAACGAACACGGTCCTTTACAGTTCTGTAAACAGACGATAACACAGTATAGCAGAGCTGATCCTATAAATCTGTTAACATTTTCGAACAAAAACCATATTAACCTCATTAAAAGTGAGAATTGAAGCTTCTTGCGTCATCACCACAGCACTAGTTGAAGGCTCAACTAGATTGTTGTCTATTTGTGAAAATGGTATTTTAGGTATAAGCTGTGCTGCTGACTGTTCAATATTCTGTAAAAAACAATAACTTTTTAATACACAATGACACATGGAATAAAAAGAAAATAAACTATGTTATAACATAATTTAAACAAAAATATCACACTTAAGTGAAAGTTTCTTTGTTTAGATATTTTGTTCATCAATCACGCTAAAACTACTAAATGGATTTTGATGGAATTTGGTATAGGTACAAGCCGGTTATGGGCTGACATAGGCATAGGTGATAGGAGAGGACTTTTTACCTGGATTGAATGCTCCCATAGGATAGAACAGGCATCATATTCTATGCGGACAAAGAAGCGGGCTACAGCTAATGTAGTATAAATAAATAGAGTAATAATAAGTATTTTTATTGCTAAGCGACAGCTATATTGAATGAGTACCAGCAGAGGTGATTCTTAGTCCTCATGGGAAAAACATTATTAAATAAGTATGTACCTGTTTAAATATATTTTCTTTTTCAGCTAAAACTTCATCTAGTTCTGTTGAATCAGGAACAGCAAATTTGCTCAGCTTTTGGCGCTTATCGTCATAAAATTGTGAAGAAGCAAAATGTCTCCCACATAAAACTTTGTTTGTAGTATGTAAAGCCAGTAATGAATCATGTGTCCAGTCTTCATTAGGCCAACAATACTTAGCCCAAGATAAAGCCCTGAAATAATGATACAATTAGTAAGAAACACACAGCCACTAAACTAAAACTGGTAAAATAAAACTTTTATAATAATTATGTAGTCTAACTAGCTCACAACTTTGTACACACATCCCGTTTCACAAAACTCTCGGGAAACCCTCTCTTAGTGCTATGTTTGATATATTGCTGACAGAAAAGTAAACCGCATATTGCTGATGCTGTTTCGAACGAACAGAAAAATAAATACTAAGTCGTGTTATTTTAAATATTACATGCATGTAGTACATCTATTTAAAGGGGCAAGAGTACGATTACGGGAATTATTGCTTTCTGGGCGCGGGTGCACAACTATTGTAGGTAGAATTTTAAATGAAGCTTGTTATACTTACTTTGTTATGTTATTTTTTCCTGGATTAGGAAACCGATAATATGACACAGTCATGTCTTCTACACGAGTTCTACCACACTTGGCACATTTTCGGTAATTGTTTGTAGACATTTTAAGCGAAATTGTCTTGTAATCCTATACTAAATAAAAAAATGAACAACTTAAACTATTTAACCTAAAATAAATCGTCCTGTCGTATTAAAAACTAATTTATCACTGTCACTATATTCAAAACGTCCTTTTGTTAAATATATCATAAACTAATGTAAACGCGGAAAACAATGTCTTTTTCCAGTTTATTACTGAATTATCACAATAAATGTTGCGAGCTATAGCAGCGAACCGATACCGCAAACAACACAAATTGTAATGGCGGATTGGCGGCTAGATTTTTTCTAAAATGGAGGAATTACTGATTGACAGTTTGTTAGTGTGACCACATAAATAAATAAAATGTCAGAATATTTTATGTTGGTATTGATTAGCAACTTACACACATACATAATACTTATATGTGTGCAGGAGCAAAGTTTCGTAGTACAAAGTTAACAGACCCTGATACCTAGGTAGTGGTGGTGGTGCCTTGGACGGATATCCGTATTGGCATCCGCGAATGTAGAGGATAAAAAATATTCGTATCAAGCGGAACAGGTATTGTAATTTTCCTCGCGGATATATCACCACGTTACTTTGTCGTTATTATTATTTAATATAATTAAATACTAAATTCATAATATAAATAAAGAATTTCATCATTTATTGATAGTACTTCTTAGTTCGCAGACGAATTTTTGTTGTCTTAGTCAGTAAACATCAATGCTCCCGCTTTATTATTTTACTCTTTGCATCAACGCAAGTTATAAATGTAGGTAGGTAAGTTAGTATTAGTCACAAGATGCAAGTTAAAACATGTTCTAAATATTGTGACGGCAAGCACGAACGTGAATTATCGTTTCAAGGCCTAGTGCGCCGGCACTTATAAAAATAATTTGTCATTTAGGAGTAATAGGGAGTAATCAACCACGAATTTTAGTATCAAATACACGGATAATATATCATATATTAATTATTAATTATAATAATAATATATCGTATCCGGCAGTTAAGAACATGGCACATACCTAATGTTAGTTTTTATTACCCAATTTATTTGAACGGACGACAACATACATATTTGGATGGATCCCTGATTTCATTTCAAATTAACTACAATATGTCAGGACGGGATCCGCTGTTGTATTTCAACAAGAAATAATATGGAGCTTCTTAAAGTTTTTGGCTCAAAAGGTTCATATCATAACCTAGAAATACCACTGTTTGTGGTTTTTGAGCCTATTGCTGTCAGTGTCAGTTAATAACCTTTGAAGTGTCAATAAAGTGTTCGTATTATTTGCGATTTATTGTGTGATTATTTTTTAATTGAAAAGAAGTATCTAATAAGTTATAGTAAACTGTTCAATCAACTATTGTATTAGATTTTACGTTGTTCATTCATTATGGCAGACGACGAGCAAGATCCCAAAGAGTACCGGTGGGAGACAGGTTATGAGAAGACTTGGTACGTTTTTGTCTGTTGTTGTTTATTACGATAATGTTGTTGCAAAACTATCAGATTCTATGCTTATTATTACTTTTTGTTTAGGGAGGCTATTAAAGAAGATGAGGATGGACTGGTGGAAGGATTGGTGGCGGAGTTTGCACAGAAAGCGGCTCGTAAAGCGGTTGTGCCCCGTCGTGGCCCCGTCAGGCTAGGAATGATGAGACATGTTTTAGTGGCCGTTGATTGTTCCGAAGCTATGAACTCACAGGACCTAAAGCCATCTAGATTTCTTTGCACCTTAAAAGTAAGTTATTAAACTGTGTGGTTTGTTTTCTGTGTTGTATTGAAAATACCATCTCATGATTTTAAAAAGATTGTGTGAAACCGAGGATCAATAAAATAATAACTACTATATACCTATCTGACATTATTGATTGGTACTTACCTGTAAATATATGTATATTTTTTTATTATATTTCAGTTACTGGAAAAGTTTATAGAGGAGTACTTTGACCAGAATCCATTAAGCCAACTTGGTTTAGTTTTGATGAAAAATAAAAGAGCAGAGAAACTTACAGAACTGTCTGGCAATGTTAGAAAACACTTAAAAGCTTTACAAGGGTGAGTACATTTTATTAATTTATCATTAGCACACTACTGAATGTAGGTCCCTCTCAATTATTTCTGCATTATTTGTCACTTGAGAGATTTTAAACATTTATTATCAAATTCACCTATAAAAATACTGTTAATATAGCATTATCTTTTGTCTCTGGTTTATATGGATATTTATCATTCACTTAATCTATCTCAATAGTAAATTACTTGTCATCTTTTTGTCCTATAGAGAATTAGCTATTGTAACAACATTGGATATTTTGGCACCTACTTTAATTAGAAAAAATGACTTCTTGTTAGCATTAGCATTGATTTCTTGTTGGGATACAAAAATCCTTTAGCCTCCATTAATTCATCAAACTCGAAGGAAACACTGGTGTTCATAAACCTTTAGTTTTTTTTAGTTTGTCTCAAATTACCACAATTTTATGACAGAATCTTGTACCCGGCCCCGTCCAAAATTTAGAACTGAAAGAACCGGTTCCTAAAATAGGACCAGTTCTCGATGCCCTATGCATGTAGTATGTTGGTTGTTCTACTCAGCTTAATATGAATCTTTTGCATGTTGATTTGCCTCAAATAATCTTACTATACTTATGTCATTGTTTTTTTTAGTTTAACAGAAATGGTTCTTAGTGGTGAGCCATCTTTACAAAATACCTTAGAGTTTGCTGGACGAGTCCTCAAACCCTTACCTGCACATGCATCAAGAGAATTACTTGTGCTGTTTGCATCCCTTACTACTTGTGATCCAGGAGATATAAATACCACTATACAGGTTCGTAAAAATACAAGATATTGGTACATTACAAGAGAAAATTGTCTGGCCATGTTTACAAAATAAAGAACATAATTATCTATCTATACTAATATTACAAAGAGGTAAAATTAAAAATTTGTAAGTTTAGGGCTAATCTTTGGAACCTCTAATCGGATTTCCAAATTTCTTCCACTGATAGATAGCTACAACATTCCTGAGTGCTATAGGCTATAAAACATTACGCTACAATCAAATGGAATAGCTAGTTTAATATAAGACCATTCTTCTTCAGTTTTATTAATTTTTATATTGTACTATTGTATGTATATACAACAGTTAAATTCTGATTTTGCATAATGAGTGGGCACAGTTAAAATGAATATGACCTAGCTTCACTGACGAACAGACTGACAGACTACTTTTCTATTTTGAAGTTTCAAAGTACCTATATATGGTTTAGTTGGAATAAATGATTTTGACTTTGACTTTGACTTTGATTATCATTCTAAATTTACATTCCTGTTATTTACTTCACAATGATTGCTTTCTATTGCAGGCTTTAAAAACAGAAGGGATAAGATGTTCAGTGATTGGTTTGGCAGCAGAAGTGAGAATTTGCAAAAAGTTGTGTAAAGATACTGGTGGGGAATATGGCGTAAGTGTTTTACTGAAATTTACATCGAAGTTCTAATTTTAAATAGTATACATACATATTATTATTATTATCAATATCAATAGCAACACATAGTAATGTGTTTTACCACAGTTGTGTGAACAAATACGTTTTTTAATATTGATCTTCTTTTTTTCATCTAAAGTGTTTTTTTTTCTTTTTATGTTAATGTAATTGGTTGGAAAACCGTTTAAAAAAAAGTCTATGATACGATGTTTTCCATCGCCACATGAAAAGGAAGAAATCTAGATAGTCTTATTAAGTACCTAATTGTAACTCGGAAAAAGTCACTTGATAGGATTTAACCTCTGAATCACGACATATTACATAAGTACATATCATAAAAATGTGTAAAAAGAGAATAAAAAAAATTGTACCTATATAAAATTATTTTGTTAGGTGGTGTTAGATGATGTCCATTATCGTTCCCTATTACTGGACTCCACAAGTCCACCGCCGCGAGCGCGGGCATTGGACGCGGGTCTCGTTAAGATGGGCTTCCCACATTCTGCTCCACAAACCAACCAGACTGACCCCGGGACTAATGCAGATCCACCCATCACAGTTTGTATGTGGTGAGTAAAGTAAATAATATTTTAATATTATAAGATTTTAGGGCTTACACTCGTAGCTGTTTTGATGAGAACTTTTTAGTAATTTCAAGCCTAACCAGAGATTCATATAACCTTTCTTTATAGTAATTATAGTAATTAGTTTCTTTATAGTAATTATCAATATCTGAGATAAAATAATTTAAAATAACAACTATTGGATGTGCGACTTCGTGACTTAAAACGACACAAGATACTCTTGTAGTTTTTGTAATTATTCTCGTTATTGTTTTTAATGGTGCATTAATTAATTTTCCTTAAATTTGTAGTCATTTAGACGACGGTGAAGGTGTCGGCGGTGAAGGGCACCTGTGTCCACAGTGCCGCAGCAAGTATTGTTCGCTGCCTGCTCAGTGCCGGACCTGCGGACTGACCCTAGCCTCGGCGCCTCATCTGGCCAGGTATGACATTCATATAAACTTGCAACCATAAAAACTTAGCTAAAATTGTAAGTTATGTCATTTCATAGAGAGCCACGCTTCAGCACGAATGAGTCGGCCCGTCTGGAGTGATACCACGGCCTCACAGAAAAGCGCGTGATACAGCCACGGCGTTGTATTTCACCGTGTGACTGAGTTTACCAGGGGCCCAATCCTTCCCCTTCCTCAATTTCTAATTCCCAAAAGGTCGGCAACGCACTCGTAACTCCTCTGTTGTTGCGGGTGTCCATGGGCGGCACTGATTGCTTACCATCATCGCCTGATGGTTTGCTATCAGCGCTGCTGAAAAAAGCCAACAAATATAGCCGATTACATACATAATAAAGAAATGTGTGTAATCCCTATGACACCTGCAATACACCAGATTAGTACACATTACGTAGGTAATGTGATTGCGAAATGTATTGTACGTTTTTAAATGCACCCGCTGAAGAAGACTAAAAGTCCTAGGAATTTCTTATTAAAAAACCTTAATATTATTACTAACTACAATTATTACTTATTTTCTAGATCATATCACCATTTGTTCCCTGTTGAGCCGTACGAAGAAGTGGCATACGAGGGACAATCACAATACTGCTTCGCCTGCCTAAGGAACTTTACGGATCTCGATAAACAGGTATATATAATGTGCTAAGAATATATTGCATATTTTTCTATTTGTTTTTTTATTATACCCGAGTGTGCGGCGCATTGCTTTCTGCGTGCGCCTCAAAGAGCCAATAGACTACTACAGATGGGGCCCCAGTATGCTCAATGCTTATGGGTTCGCGAGTCTGGCGCAATAAGGTACCGCGACCTCGGCCTGGATTAAGAGAAAAAACGGGGATGGTTATTAGTCAATAAGAATCGTTATACTCCCTCTCATCATATACATATATATAAAGAAGTCATTTGATGATTTTCCATCCACAAAAAGAATTAAAGAATGTTATTAATACCTCTTGAGTATGCATAGTTTTGGAATTAATCAGTCACATATCAAAATCATCAAATGAATATTTGTCATCAATGTGATCAATGTCCGGAAACGGGCCAAGTTTCGGGCGAACTTATAAAAAACAAATATAAGTACATATTAGGCGTTGGTATGACGTCAAAGGGCTAAAAAAATCTTTTCTGTGTTATAGGTGTACAGATGTACCCGATGTCATGAGTTCTACTGCTGGGAGTGTGAGAGTGTTGTCTCCACGACCCTTCACGTATGCCCCGGTTGCGCGTCTCGACCCCATCTCTATCAAAGACTGCCTGACACTTCATGACCGCACCCTACAAATATGTAAAAAAATATTATTTTATTACATAAATTACTTAACATTTTTCGAGATATCTCGACTGGTTTCAAGCCACGTTAAGGCCCCATAGTCATGAGCAGCATTACGCGATCAACGATTCGATGTGTGTCGCGTAGACAACTCAAATTATAATTTTCCTCACAACAGATATAATACAAAACAATAAAAATGGTTAAAACAACCATTTGCCACTATTTTACGGTTTCCAACATGTTTTTCACGCAAGAGTTTACTGTGATGAATTAAAAATAACCATTGTTATAAATCTTGTTTGTTTTATTCTTTAATTCATTAAGCCATAGACTAATAAGACACTAATATTAAGCTTTCGTCTACAGCTTCACTCTCGGTGTCCAAAATTTAAATTTTGGTACACTAAGCCTCCGCAAAAAAAAAAAATCAATATAATATCATTTATGAAAACCATGAGAATCCGTTCAGTGGTTTCCGAGTTTGTAAGGTCTAAATACAAAGATACAAATTTACGAAACATCATTAACAAAAATAATGTTCAATATGTTTTTTTCCTAATTTTTTGTGTTTATATACGACATCCATGATGTGTCTTATAAGGGAAATAAAGAAAATGGAAGAATAATTTTAAATGGTTAATTTATATCACAATTTGGAATTTCCGGTGGCAATACAAAAATAACTGCTCTTAAAATAATTACATTTTTGATAGGGTTTTTGCAAACAATATTGTAATTGTTTGGATAACATGAATGCTAGTAGCAAAGTACCTACCTATATACCTACAAGGGCATAGCGTAATAAAACTTATTATAACATAATTTAGGTAAGTACAGTACCTGGCGATAAATATTGCAACTTCGATTTTTGGAAAGAGAAAATTTTGTGCGACTATATTTCGAGCAGAATGGTCGACTTGGGCAGGCAGTAGTACGCGGTGACTTGACTAATTTTATCGAATTGTCGCTTTACAAAATCATCTCGATATAGTTACAATATTCATCTAACCTTACAACTCAATTTCGATCAGCCCGTGGTCCATATCGTGTAAGTTTGATATTTTAAACAATCGACTTTTAGGCCAGTCTGTTATATTGTTAAGGTTGTCGAGTTACTTTTATGCATTGATACCTACTATTTTATGTTACGCATATATTTCAAAAGTTTCTTCATACATAAGATAACAGTTTTTAAAAACATACAATTTGCCACACAATACATTTAGGTACTTATTTAATATTGTTGGTGCAAGCTTCGCTCTTATATATTATATTTTTTTTCTAAAGCGTTTTAAGGTCAATTTTTTAACAACCCTAATAATCAAAAGGGTTAAAAATGTTCAATTATGTTAATTATTGTACAATGACAGCGTTACGATACGTATTACACCTTGTATAAACATTGATAAGTACATAAATATTTTATTAATTTCTATTCCTACATAAACTTCTGCGAGTTCATCACATAAGCGGTCATTTACATAAATCACAGATAAAAATCTCATTGTAATAGTACAATGGTATTTAATACCAACCGCGGTTATTTTTGGTTTTATTTCATCATTTTAAATTTATAAAAAAATATTATAAAAGGCAATCGTTTTGTATTTACGGAATAACCGTGTTAGTGAGATTTACTTATCACTACAATTTTTTTGTTACTGATTTTTTTTATTGATATAATGTATTTATTAGTTAGGTACGTGCCTTTAGACACCTGCGTTTCTACTAAATTGGTAAATTCACATTAAAATATCACCTTACAGCAGTGGTATAAAACAGCATTTCTTGTAGTATTTATATGATAAAATATATTCCATATTTCATAAATCTTTACTTATCTATAGCGAATTATTTAGCGGCATGTAAAGCAGTTGGGTTACATCTAAATACACAATGATTAAAGTAAGGCCTGCTTTTATTACTTTCATGAGTGCTAAAGAAATTAGTCTTTTATCACAGATTACTTAAAAGCTCCATCGAGTGCGACATTAGGTATTTTGAAATATGAGGTATCTATTGAGATTTTGTCATTTACCTACAGCACTATTAGATATACCTACATAGTATCTGCGTTGCGTGTACATCCAACATTTCGTCCTATGTAACTAGTAGTTGAAGTCAAACACTTGCTTAAGTACAACATGTTATACAATTCCTTCAGACCCTTTGGCTTTCGGTCGTCATTTTCTTGCGAGAAATCCACAAAATGTTGGGTTTTTGGTAATACTGTTCAATTTGTAAGAGAGATTTGCCTTTCGTCTCTGGTAGGAGGAGGAATAGAACTATAGTAGCGAGAAGTGACGATGCCCCGAAGAGTCCAAACACTCCAGCGATTCCTATAGCATTTTTCATGACTGGGTACAGCTTGGTGAAGCCAAACAGGACGGAGTTGAAGAGGCAGAAGATGTAGCCGCCACACAGTCCTCGAACTTTGGTGGGCAGTAGTTCTCCGATCATGAGTCCGGGAAGTAGGAAGAATCCGAGGGTGTTGAAGGCGACGTATCCGAGGATGAGGACTGGTGGTGTGATCCCTGAGCCGGGGCCTTGGTAAAGTAGGAACGAAAGAGCGAGGGTACACACGGCTGTGCCTATACCGGAGACCAGCACTAGCGCACGACGCGTGATTCGCAGCAAAAGGATGCACGCTACTACGGTGACGCCGAGTCGCACTAAGGCACTCGCGTTTGCTGCCATCTATGAACAAAAACACGCCATTAAAATACTTTATGTAAGTAGTTGTCTATTTGATATTACAACTAAGTTGCAAGTGCTACAAGTTCTCCAATATGAATAGATCAACAGTTATATTATATATCTACCTATTTACCAAATTTTGATCCACAATTATAAATAAGTACTGAACAAATAAGATATTAAAGCCCTGAAACTAAGCTAGATATCAATTTAGATTCATAATACTTACGGTAGGTTGCAGAGCGCCACCGGAGTCCTTTACAATGTCCACAGCGTAGAAAATAACAACGTAGCTTCCAGATAAAATCTGCAGTATGTTAAATGCGTTTATTAAAAGCAGTGGTTTCAGCACTGGTGCTCTTGTGACAGTTTCTAGGAACTTTATCTTTTCTTCACCGCGCGCCTTTTCTTTCTCCCGAGCTGAGATCAATTCGTGAAGTTCTCGTTGGGCCTGCAACAAATACAAACATCGTTTAGATATCCGTCCATCCATTATGTGATCTTCGAGAAATATAGCTATAAGGAAAAGTTGCATTGAATTAAATAATACCTAAGAATTATATTTATTTTATTTTACCGCCACATTGAAATGTTGCAGGTACGGCATGCGGCAGTTAGCTATAGGTACGATTACCTACCGTTTGTTACATAGTTGCATTGCTTGATAATTGTCAGCTTATCAATTGATAATGACCCAATAATAAAATAAACGGACTTATATTATTAGACTTGGCTATAGTGTATAATATATAGAGTAACGAAGTTCCTAGATAAACTTCCGCGTTCTAATATAGATTCCTATTAATTATATTCATACATATATACGATGCAATGTTCGAGTTCATAATTAACACAGGCAGTAGACAGTTACTATGTGTAATATTCTATTTCAATCAAGTACCTACCTGTTGATTTATTACCTACTCATACAGTTTTTAATTAGAAACCTAATACGTATAATTAACAGCTTTTTACTGGCAATATTTCCACTGCACGTTTATTGTCTGAATTTGTTTGTGTCGGCACATGTTCGAGAAAATGACATATCAATTGTCATGGACCTCCTTCCTCGTTGAGCTCATTAAGAGGCCATTTTACAGGCAATCAAATGTGCCGAGGCTTTCGACGATACAAATAACATGGTATGATATAAACAAACATCTGGAGTCGCTAATTGAAACAAGTGTGCTTGTGGAAGGTTCGAGAACCGGGAGTTCTTTAGACGTTCTAGCAACAGCTGAAATTGCTCGGCTTTGCAGTGGACAAGAACATTCTGAGTATTTTATTTAGTTGTTTATTTTAATGGGGCATTTGTGCTATGTGATAAATTAACACAATTATGAGGAAAAAAAGAAAAATCTTGACAAGGAAGTTTAGCTAATCTATTAAGCTAGCCGATTCCTTATACTTAATTGTCGTGCCTATGTATCACCTACCTAAGTTTCACTATGCTGCTGTCTAGGTAACCAGAAGTTTACTGAACTATGTATTTGTTAACTTCGATACTACTGTCGACTGTTTTAAATACTATAACTTCTAAACGATTAGTGTCTATAAATATTATTGGTATTTTACGTTCTACAATCTATAAATTAGTGTACATAGAGAGATTAAACTTGATTAAAGGGTAGCCACATTATAGGGAGCAACAAAAAAATATAACTATGGTTGATTTATTGGGACTATTCCCGCCTTCAGTGCCGGCGTAAGGGCCACTGACACCCCGGGCGAAAATATTGTCGCGCTCACTTAAGGGAAGCAATATCAAGTGTGAGTTTTTTGCTGCAATCAGCAAAATACATCATTAAAACCAAAAATATACATTCATACATTTCTACATATAGAAACATCCACAATACACATTCAATTAAGTATATTGCAACACAAAATTGATTTGATTAAATTGTTAGAGGTCGGTCCTGATTGTGTCCTCGTCAGTTCTTGAACTCGTTAAGGAATTGATTATTTTTTGTTTTTATCTGCCTTCGTGTATCGTTATGAGAAACAATGAGGTAGAATCCTTTTTTTGTATAGGTTTCTCATTCCAAGAATTAAGACGGTAAGTAGGTACTTATGTAAATAATATAAGTACAGTCGAATAATTATAACCTTAACTTTTTATAAATCGGTTAGGTATATATACCTACCTAAGTCTTTACGTATCTACCTATGTAGGTATATTTTTTGTAAATACTTATACAGTAAGTAGGTAGGTAGGTACCTACTGATTAATGAAGGATCCAATCTTTGCATTGAAGGATTTCAATAACGAGTAAGTAATTAATACGATTATTATATTTTCAATCCGTGTGCATAAATAAAGTTTTATTAACATAGGTGCCGTGTGAATTGGCAAGTGATAACCTCATCATACGTAGCGGTAGGTATCTATAGTCATATATGTATCTACTTAATGACTCGGCGCTTTTCAAGCGCATCATTACTCATACCTTCTTAATAGCAAATTTTTTATAAAAAATTATCACTTTCTTATAGATATTGTTAATTTTGAAAAGTTAACCAAGGTTAAATTCATTTATATTTATTATTATTTATTATTTATTTCGCAGGCCCGTGGGCAAAGCAATATTTTTAGACATTTGGACTATTGGGAGTCTTTTTACTTTGCGAATGAATTGAAACGATTTTGAGATTGTTGATGGAAGATCACAGATATATGTTTGTCAGTGTGGAAGCCAGTTTTATCCGATTAAAGTTAGGATATTTTTAGTAGATAGAATTTGGGAGTATTTTTGGTACCTACCAAAAAATAATATTCCGGCTGGCCCAGTGGCCCCCAAGGATGTGGGACCTTTAGTCAGTAGCCTACTCTGCCTATTGGTCAATACCTACGGCCCTAAGTTTAAGATACCTACTTATGATTCGCCAATCCATTATAAAATGTAGACAAAACCTCTTATTTTCATCAATCTACAGTGATATTCACCTAAATTACCAGTGATACCTACCAGTAACTAGTTTGATTGATGAAAGCGATTAATTTCCGAACTACTTATTAGAGTTGCCTCTTTTGACATTGACCTCGCTTTGTTTTTGATAAGTAATTAGATACTTACAGTGTCATGGTCTCCGCGCAGGCGTGCCATGGCGGCCATGGCGTCATGGAATCGTCCTCGGCGGGCAAGCCATGTGGGGCTTTCTGGTGATAAACACAACGCGATGAAGGCAAGCGCTGGCAGTACTGTAGACAGATGCGCCACTGATCTCCACGGCAGGGCTCCTCCCAGTGCGTACACGTACAAGACACCTAGTGAGTACGCCACGAACGGTGTGCCTATCAGCAACCCTCTCAGTCTTGGTTCAGAAATTTCTCCTAAATACACCTGCAACAAAAATGTTTATCGTTAGTAGGCGAGTATATGCCATTTAAGACTAGGGACATTTAAGTAAAACCAAGTTTGCGAAAATGCTTCGAAACGTCGTGGGTTGCCATTAATAGGATTTATAGCTTGAGAAATTTAGAATAAAAGGTGGGATTATGTTTTGTTATGCAAAAACGACCTTTTAGGGATCTTTTGTTGCTTTATTTGGCAGAATTAGGTACATACCTGTGAAGGTGCCGCCATAATACCGACGGCGAATCCGCACACGATTCTGCCTAACAGCAGCAGAGCGTGATGAGAGGCCGTGCCTATGATGATCCAGCCTATGATTAGGGGTAGTGTACACGTTTGTAACGTGCGCTTTCTGCCTATAGCCTCCATGATGGGCCCCGATAGCATAGACCCTAACGGTGTGGCAGCTGAATGTATACTTGCTGTAACAAAGAAGATAAAAACTCTTGAGTGCTTTCTTTTTTTCTTTTTCAAAGTCACAAGTAATTGTAACGTTTATGTTAATGATCTTAGTCTAATACTTTATTAATGGAATATACAAGACACAACATGCAAAACTACATAAGAGTAACTACCTGTTATTACGTAGGTTGGTACCTATTATTTTAAGTATACTATACCTACAATGTATCTACCTATATCTTACTCGTATCATCGTGTATGTAGACGAAGGTGGATCTTCTAACTACTAATTTATTTTTGTCACGAAATAATTTGAAGCATACTTACAAATGATTTTGTTTGAATTTAATTGCTTATTTGCAAATAACATCTGCTATTAGTGTTTCTTACGTTGTCTGACATTATTATGAGGATGAATTAAGTTTTTTGCATATCATGTTCATCGTGAATGAGTATGTACTTAATCAGTAATGTTTGTTCGTGTAATTTTACTTTTGAACTTTGATCTATCTGAATTAAGTAGGTATGTTGTGAAGCGTCTAGGATAAGTGAACTTTGGATATTATTACTTATAAATTATCACCTGATTTTTAAAAGGTAGCCTGAGTTTCATAATTCTATTTTTTTGCTTATACGCAACTATATGGCTGCGTTTAGCATAAAGTTGTATAACAAGATTTAAAAAGTTGATCCTAAATGTAGCCTAATCTTATTTGGCTAATTTGTCAATTATGTGCTCGTTTCTGATACAGATAAGATAGATTTGGATGGTTGGAGTGATTGTCGGATTGCTATACTTTTGGATTCTTCAATTACAAGGAATTTCGACGGAGAAAATCACAGATGTTTATTTATAAAGCTGGGACAGTTTTAAGGGTTGATAGTTCGGCCGACCTAGATCGAATAATTTTAAACAGTTACACTGAAAAAAAAGTATCAGCAATGCTTATCCATGTATGAAATATAGGTATATGTGTAGTAAAATCAACACAATAAAAATATTTGTTTAAATTGTTTTGCATATATCTTTGAAATAGATGTAAAGGACTCAGTCACGCTTAGATCCAAGTGTGGATAATTCTACTTTGTTAACATTTAGCAACTCATCCTATCAATGGTTGTCATTTGCACGTCTCATGGGTACTTCAACTCGAGTACAAGTACTCGAAGCGTTTGTGCAGTTTATGAACAAACAAATAATATAAACAAATAGTCGGTTATAGGTTCGTACTAAGTACTTATACATTTTCACGCCCGTGGATTTTGACCAAAAACCCATGTTAATTTTTTAGCACACCAAACCTTATCCATTCCAGATTAATAGCAAAAAGCGAGGAGTCAATTTGTCGTCGTATACAATGGACATCTGATATTAGGGCCATGTTTAGGCACAAAACGGAGTGGACCTCATCATCATCAACCACAGCGCGCGTTGTGTTTCGCCGAGTGAGCGAGGTTACCTGAGACTCAATTCTTCTCCCCCTCCCTCAATCCCTCCTAATCCCTAAATCCCTGAAACCCTAATCTCTAAAAGGCCGGCAACGCACTTGTAACTCCTCTGTAGCGGGTGTCCATGGGCAGCGCCGATGGCTTACCATCAGTTAACGAGTACCTACGCTCGTTTGACGTCCTATCACATAAAAAACATGTATAACTAGCCTTACCAACGCCAACCATTGTTATTTATAGAGATTGATTACCGTTTTAATTCGAATGTTATCACCGAACTTATCGGAGAAAAAAACATAAATGGTCGAAATAGCCATTGAAATTTTATAGCTTTGTGTAGCAATATTGCCATTCGCAGTAAGGTTAAGGATAGCCTAAATTTTGTTATTCATTCGATCTATTATTCTTTATATGGCTTGCAATCCTTGATATTAAATGCAAAATCTATTTCTCATTTCGTATAAGGTAAAAAATCGTATGATATGCAAATGTCTGACCTGTTTTGGGGTCACACTGATTGATTGCAATGTTCTTTGTGTTAAAATAATTATAGAGAGTGGTTTAGATATTACAACATCAATGAAGACATATTACATTTTGTAAATATATAGATAGAGAAATCTTTAGTAGGTATGTTTGTAGGGTCATAGATATCATCTTATGGTTGAAGTCATGCTATGATTATGACAGTCACGGTCGTCATCACACTTGGTCACATTCTCTGACCTTTTGTTCATCACGTGATGTGGATAAATACCACACAAAGATACAGCAGAATCTATAATTTATATACTTAGATTCTGCTGTGTTAATACGTGGTTACCATTTTTCCATTGAAGTTTGAGTGGTTGAAGTATTTTTTGATAAATAAATCTATATATATACATATTTATTCCTGTACCTAGATACAGATGTACCTAGTATATGATATACACATAAGTATAGTAAGTTTATACCAATTTCCCTTAGTCATGGCACCACCATAAACCCTAAAGGCCTGTTTCGAATTTGTAATATTTTTCATCACGTGATTTTATCAGGACTATTTAAATTATTCAGGACCATTTAGATAATACACGCTCAAAATCGGTATTATATAAATGGCCAATATTAATATTAATTAGCCGGCTTTCTGAAGAGCTTTATGTATTGATCTTCCTATCTTGTTTATTTACACGACACGACAACCAAAGCACGTGGTTAGGTACTTCACTGCTTCCGTTATTTATCCACTAGAATCGTACTTAATTTTCATTAAAGACGTGTTTTTTATTCATCATTCAAAGCCAATTGTTATTAATTCGAGTTAATTGTTAGATGTCTCATCAATTTTAATAATAATTTTAATAAATGAAGAATTAGAGTTTGATGTACGAGTAAATAAGTTGTATACACAATTAGTAGAAGTAAAAAATAAGGAGGACGTTCAAAGGTCAAAGACAAGATGATATAATATGGAATAAATGATTAGAAAAAAGTTTTGTTAAAGAGAAGATTGCAAAAGTACTTTGTACTTGACTCGACTCTAAAAATTTCTTGGAATACAGGCAAAAAGAAGACTTAGTAGACCACAACTGATATTTTTAATCTGAGTTTCAACTCTATAGTTTTGTAATAAAGTATTAATTCACTTACGTATATGATATTTTAAAAGTGATTGAGTAGGTAGTCATTGGCTTGCGCCTTCTTGAGAGACGGTGTCACGTAGCGACATCGGATGTTTACAGTACTTGAACACGTGTCGCGTGAAAACACTGTTCACTTATTCAGTTTCACCTACATTCGCGAATTACATTCAATTATAGCATTTAATTTAATTGTTATAGCAATCATTTCTGATGTCCGTTTGTTGATATAGATCAACAAACCGACCGGACAGACCGGACAATTCGACAGACAATTCAAGAGTAGATTTGACAAGACACTCAATTGTACACAGTATTTGAACCTGTTGTGTTATTCTTGGTGGGGAGAAGAGGAGGAACAAACTTGGAATCAATGAGGAAAGTGCGGGAGAGCCATGCTTAGCCACGAATGGGCCCGGCTCGACCGGAATGATACCACGGGCTCACGGAAAACCGGCGTGAAACAATCACAGCGTCGTGTTTCGCCGTATCAGTAAGGTTACTAGAGGTCTAATACTTCCCCTCCATCTATCCCTTAATGTCCAAATCCCTAATCCCCAAAAGGTCAGCAACGTACTCGCAACATCTCCCTCTATCACATAGAAAAAAATTGGCTATTTTGTGGTGATCCAGTTTTACACATTGCAACGCACCTTGATTTTAAATTAATTTAAATTAAACCATTGAAAAGGGCGAAACAAATGATATGTATTAAAAAACTCGTTATTTGGGTATGGAGCCGAATTAGTCATGACGGTACGAGTAGTACTTACTTACCGTAAGTAGGTACTAGTAAGTATAGATAGTATAGATAACATTCTACTGGATATCAAGACAAATGGAGGCGCTGATATTAATTAACAACAAAGTTTTTTTAATTATGTTTGAAAACCTATTGTTCCTGATAATTTGAGTTTCCAAAACATCCATGACATAATTTGAGAACAGGTTTTTATTCAATAACACTAAATAAGAGTTGGCTTCTTGTCAGTTGTGTTGGGCAGACGGCAGCACCTGTTCGTAACATACATATTTTAAACGAATCCGTGTCCATTCCGAATATTATTGTTTGTTGTACTTACTGGACGATATTTTAGTTTTTTTTAACTCTGGTTTCCCTTCTAAACGCATAAATCTTTCGCCTTTTTATATTTTAGTTTTAAAATAAAAATCATTTATCTAACCTCAATTTTTTTATTATCAGAGTTTAGATAGTTTAGGTATTATTTTTATTCATGCATTCTAATTTATGAATTTAGCCCAGAGGTTCCCAAACTTTTTTTTCTCATAGACCACTTTAAACATTTTGCTGGATCTGGTGGACCCCCTGCAACTATTACATTTACTAACTTACTTCCGCAACCTGAAAATCAGATTACCATTGTAATCTGTGATAAAAGTTATAATTTTAATGGGAGTTTAGTTAAGTATAACCGTAAATCTCCTCGCTCTGTAATATTTTGTTGAACATACATCTGAATATAACAAATGTTGAACATACATCTGAATATCTTCGTCGAGGCATTCTACCTGCGATTAATTTGGGAACTGGGAAAATTCACGTCGACCAATATTTTGCTTCATAAGTTTCAGTTTACCAAGAAATGCTGAAATTTCACTCTTTGTTTTTATCAAATTGAGGCTTTTTTTGTAAGGGGAAAATCATCAAATGACTTCTCCCGCCCAGGGCCGGGCGGGAGGGAGTGTCAGACTCTTACTGACTAAAAACCCCCCTGTTCTTTCTCCTGCTCTGTGCCGAGGTCGCGGTGCCTCATTGCGCTTAACCGCAACCCCGGCTGAATATCAGCCCTATAGGGCCCCGTCTGTGGTGGTCTATTGGCTCTTTGAGGCGCGTTCGGAACGCTACGCGCCTTGCGCTCGGGCCTGGTTCTGGTCGGGTGGCGAGCGCTTGGTGCAATCTATCACTCAAATTTTTCGCTACTAGATGTTGTCGGTGGATGACACAGTAAATTGCAATTACCTCTGGTGTAATCCTTTTAAGATGACTTATAAACCCACGATATCGTCCGACCATAGCAGGAGCTCCATCTTTTGCCACCGAAATAATAATGTTTGTGAATGCAATTGATTATTCCGTTAAAAAATCATTCATAACATTAAAAATTGATTCAACTTTAGTGTCAGTCTTCGCGTTGTTTTCAGACGTTGAAGCGAACATACTATCCAAGGTGGGTCTCTTTTGATACTTTTCCTTCAATGTTTGGAAATATTTGATATCCTTGCCTATTTTGTCAGGATGAAACCTTCTTACATGATCTTCCAGCTTCGATGGTTTCATAGAATAATAATTGGTCAAGACTTTGTTGCATAAAGGACATGGCATGGGCAATCGCTTGTCTGTATTTGATGGAAAAAAACTAGATTTCAAATATTCAACACTGTACTGTCGACACTTCTTAGATTCAGCTATGTTTCGTATCAATTACACTTTTTTTTTAATTCCGGAAACAACTAAGTGATTTTTATCATCCGCATTCATATTTATATTAGAGAAAAATCCAACAAGTTCATGCAAGTTCAGACAGGACTTTAACTAGGCGGGCGGGCGGAGTGGCATCGGCGAGTTTTGCTCTTTCTGAATATGGAATATTATGCAAGTTCTTACAAAAGCAATTGCTGAGCTTAATAAGCTTCTTATAATATTGTCTGCCTATATTATTGTCTCCCTATATTCATAGGAGAAGTCAAGTCGGTTCACCTAATACATTTTTATAGACCCCCGTCAACGAGTTGTGGACCCCCATTCTTTTTCCACGCAAGCCTAGACCCCTGTCGGGCTCCCGTGGACCCCTGGGGGTCCACCTGGACCACTTTGGGAATCTATGATTTAGCCGTTACTTATTTTGCGATTTATTTAAAGTGTAATTGTAATTTTTAATTTTTCTTCTATCTGATTTTAAGTGTAAAATATTAATCGATAGTGCCTATGTTTTAACATAGTATAATATTTTATTTTATACTGTGGTTTTAAGGTCAATTGTAGGTTATACCACCAATTTTGATGGAGGCTCTATTAAATATTTAAATACCGAGTTACTTATGACGGCACTAGTAATTTATTGACAATTGTATGTACTTTCAGAGGCAAATGTAGCGGTAACGGGTTTTCTATTGTAGGTATTGAATAATGTAAAGAGGTACATGATGAAAACGTGAATTTGGAATGAGTAACGGTTTTTAGTCTTCACTGGTTATTAAAACAATTTCCATAATTATAATTTACCTACTTACAACGAAATGAATGATAAACTAGCTAGATATATAAATTTAAATCTTACTTATGTAGTAGGTAGGCACCTATAGGTATGCCATTTCCTGACGTCAATTCATGAAAATAGTCAAATTAGTAATTGGTTAAGAAGACATCCAAGTAGCCAACTTTTAATGATATTGTAATGAAGACAAAAGAAAAAAGTCATTTGGTGGTCCAACTCTTATATGTTGGTTGATTGTTTCACTAGATAGACACATTGTACTTATAAAACAAAGTTGCTTTCTCTGTCCCTTGGTTTTTTTTTATGGAATAGGTCGTCAAACGAGCAGACGGATAACCTAATGGTAAATAATCAGCGCCTCCCATGGACACTCGCAACGGAGGAGTTACGAGTGCGTTGCCGACCTTTTAGGGATTAGGGTTTTGGCGATATAGGGATTGGGAGGGATCGGGGGAGGGGATAGGACTGGTTTGCATGCTTAAACGTTTAAAATTACCTACCCAACGGATTTTGATTCGCTTTTTTAATAGATACCTAGAGTGATTAAAAATGCTGTTTTATATGTTTGTTAATAACATCCATTAAAGAGTGGAGGAATTTAGAACTTATCAGCATTTCACCCGTGCTAAGCCGGGTCGCTAGTAGACAATATAAAACATAGGTAGGTTCGCCTAATCGTGCCCCCATTCGCAGACATTTATTAAATTCCTAGCTCCATTTTAAAAGAATGAGGTTGAAGAATGAAACCCCCGGAGGCAACAATATCAAAACAATAAAATGATGTGGTCGATTTTAAATATAGGTAGAATCAAAAAAAGAGTTTATAACGGAAAATAGTTTAATTTCAAATGCGTTAGTTTCCAATAAATTAGTCAAATTCAATACTTTTATCCAAACGCAAAAACCCGGTACTTTTCTATGAATTAACTGAGATATGTCGTCATAACATTTTTGCGTCAAATAGCTTTCTTATTTCTTAATAATTAGCTACAAAAAATTTAAAACTTAGTGTATCGATCGATCGATGAATAAAAGTATAGTTATTTTTCAATAATTTATTGTATTGAAACGTCGAATTAATTTATTTTTGACCAAGGAAACTAGCCAATTCCATGATTCTCAAAATGGTTGCTAAGTTGTATTTGAATTTGTGCCGCTGTGAAATCCTATTAATCTGTAAAGGTACATTAGAATTTGTTCTTATAATCCTTCGCAAGCATAAGATACTCTAGTTTTATTGGATTAAGTACATTATCATGTGTATTTAGGGAAATCAATATTTGATTTTCACGATGATTTTACACAGCCAGTTTCGGCCTTAAGTCCTTGTTTTGTATTAACTTATGTAATGTATTATGTAACAAAGGAAGACGGATTTTGTAGTGAGCTTAGAAAGGCTGGTTGGAGAGCGAGGCGAGGCGCGGTTCGTGTAGGAAATTTTTGGTTACCAGTTGAGCCTCTTAGAAAAGGTTAGTCCACCTAAATGCCTTTAGTGAAAAAGGAAGTATGTTTCTTGTATTGACACTTTCTGTTTGCGTACCATTTCAAAGTGAAGTCAGCCCTGTCTCACAAAAGTAAATAAAAAATAAATAATAACGTCACGTAGGTACATGTGTTTGTTTAGGTTTCTTTATTGAAAATTTTTTTTAAATTATTTTTCTTTATTGAAAATTAGTTGTACCTTCCCGGGTCCTCTAGAAACCTATTGAATGTTTAGCATTAACGCTTGCTCTAACTTCAGCGCTCTAAAGCGAAAAAATTTTCGTTCGATAATTATCAAACTATTATTAGATACAAATAGGAAGTGGGTGGGAAATATGAAGTGGTAGGATCTACTAGTAGTATTTAATTATAGTACAAAATTGTGTACCTACCCACATATTTATATTTTAAGTCTAATAAGTTTGTTTATTTTTGTCGCATACTTACTATACTTAACTATTGTTTGCTTGTCCTATGTCATATGTCTATTGTAGATTGTGGGAGTTTAAAAGTACTTATTGTAGATACTTATTACTAGTTTCTTAACAAGTAGCTTCCTAATTTCAACGGTAATTACCTTTAATAATGTAAATAGATGTTTACATATACTTAGTTTGTTATCCATTACTACTGCCAAAATCTATTAAAGTCATCTCTCATTTTCATAATTCAGTCTTGTTAAGTTAATAATTAAAATAACTGTTGTTAAGTGTAGGTTCTCTTTTAGTTGTAGTAGTATATTATTGTGTAGTCTCCTATTTATATTCGATGTATAAATATACGCCTGTTACTCTTATACGCAAAAACTGCTGAACCGTTTTAGATATAATTTAGATACTGGACTGGACACATGCTTTGATTTTTATCCATTCAAACTCAGGCGAAGTGCTGTCAAGAGCTAAGTAAGTATGATATGTTGAAATATATAATGACTTAACATAACTAAACTTTTTGTATAAAAAATTACCTACAAACCATTCTTTATGTGACTTAATAATAATAGGTCGGCACTTATTATTACAAATAATAATATGTAAGTATGTGTATAATATGGCAACTATTGCATAATATTGCGCAAGAGTGGTATTGTATGTGATTGGTCCAAAATGTAAAAATAGTAACAAGCTATAAATACGTATAGTGTGTGTGTGTGTGTGTGTGTATTTTTAATGCCTAAATTATAAAAATTATGATGAAATTTTATGCGGGAGATGTTGCGAACTATTCATAAGTAAGTTTGACCTAATTTAGTACCTAAGTACCTACATATGTACTTATTTGTTTTCATTGAACAATGTGTTTATTAACAACTCAACTTGTGGTGGCATATCTGGACTCTGAAGCCGCGGTTATAGACCGCAATTTATTGAATATTTTTCCTTTAAGTTATTTTTTTAATCGTCAAAGGACAACGAAAATCACTTGATGAAAAGAGTTTCTAGTTTTTAATTAAGACGAAAAAGAAGGTAGGACATGTTCCGTGGGTAGAAGGAACTATCGCCCTTTTTTTTTATTTTATTATCTACAACCATCCGCCCCGGTTTCGCACGGGTGCAGATACTGAATTTCGCCTCTATTTAATTGGTGTTCTTATACATATGTACACATGTATAATAAAACTTCATCTACAATAAATGTATGTAGGTATTAATAAACAGCATTAGAACCGTAGCGCAGTTTTAAAGATTATTAGCTTACTTATAGGGATAGAAAGAGCTACTTTGTTTTTTACTATGTTTCTGATTCGTTTTTGCCAGTAATGTACCAATGAAGAATATAGAAAACAAATAGATGTAGGTACTAACCAATCCATGATCCCATTTCGTCATCTATCCTCATGGTACTGTTCTCGATTCGGAGCTGTGGTAGGGCAACTGCAGAGAAGCCGATAGGGTGACCAGCACCCGCGGCCAAAATCAGGACAGCACATGTAATGAGGCACTGAAACAAAATATTGAATGTTACCAGACTTGTCATTGAAATTAAACTTAAAACTACGTTGTTGTACGTTGAACTATTTACTTTTCTTTTTTTTTCTTTATTTAAAAGAGAACTATTTACTTTTTATTGAATCATTGAAGTGTGTATAAACCTGCAAGGTGATATTTGGAGAGATTCGTTTGAACATTTTTAAAAGAAATAGAGATATTTTTCACATTTATAAATTAAACACGAAAATTAGCAATTTTGCTAATATGATACCTATATACCTACTTGCTATGTACCTACGTATTTTTATTGTCTATGTATTAAATTTGTTGCTTTGCAATTATTTTTTTAAATTCCTGACATAGGCTTTTTTATACTTGTTTTTCACCTAAAAAATTAAATTAGTTTATCTTTACTCGAAAAGGTGTTACAGTGAGGTAACCGGATATTGCATGGCGTGTTTTATCGGCCGGCAGTTTTATTCCTTAAGTAAAATGTTTGAGGCTGTTATATTTTACAATTCGATTACATAGCATTATATTCAATGGAGTATTTTTTTAAAGCGTACAATGCGAATAAGTGCAATACCCTAGAGAAAGATACCTAAATAATCTACTCGAGTTCAATAGATCCAACTACAACCAGATTCTGCAGAATTACTTTTACTAAATGGGATTTCAGAACTAGTATGTTTAGAGAGCGCTCATTATGACCAGAAGTGTGTTTTTTTTGTGAAATAAAAATAGTATTTCCATCTCACTTCCTACTCTTTCTCTCCAAAAGTTGAGCGTCTTATGAAGATTTGCTCTTTTTTTCCTTTAAACCTATATTAATACTTATTGCATCATCCATAGTTCCAACGTTGTACAAAATCTGATGCTCCATGCTTGATCGCGGAAACGAAAGAGTTTTTATATATAATATAAAGAAGCAATCTGAAATCACATCATGGTACTGATAGCCAGATAACTGTTGTATCATGTCCATGAGTGGAAATTTAGCAAAATCATCCAAATGCTCGATAAAATCTGACTAATACTGTGAAGAACTAGACAATTGATAGTCGATATCAATAATAGTGATATCGCATGTACGGTTGGGAAACATCAATCTTTTGAATGACATAACATTTTTATACGTGGATATGTGATACATGTTTATCAATAACATAATAAATATCTCAAATGTATTGAGTCTGATCATGCAAGTATCAGATTCTAACAAGTTGGTGTTTTTTCAAATATTTAGGTCAAAATCTTAAAAAGGTCTTCTTGGTCCTTTTCCAACTGAATTAGGTCGACACTGAATTAAAATCAATTCAGCTGAATGTCTGCTGCAGCCTGTTTACATACAAAAAGTTCCATTTTTATAATTCGATTAATATTCTCTCATAATTAAGAATATTACCACCAGATAGATAAATATATTAGGTAGGTATATTTAGTAAAATTTTCCTATACTCAAAAGCTAATATTGGTACAGGTTGGCTCAAAAATTTGAGACAGCTGGTATTAAAATGTGTTTATAGCTATATGTATGATCAATACTGTACGAATATTATAAAATTGTTCTACCATTCGGGGCACATTGTAAATCGCTGATATCTGTTTGAGCTCATCATTGATGAGCAATAACATAATTAATTGTTGCCATAAGTGTGTGATGCAAGCGTGTGACATGTGATAAACTTTGCAACATACCTAAGTGAAAATTGTATTTCTTAACGAGAGTCATTGGGTGATTTTCCCCTTAGAAAATGGGAAGAAAGCGGCAAACGGCTATGTCATTTCTAAAAAAATTATGTCTATTTATTTAACTAGCCAATAACCAAAATGTCCAATATTGTATTGTACGATTTGGTTATTGGGCGGATTTAACACATTACACAGATAATAAATGATGATTATAATCCAGATGATACATTTCATAACATTACTCATGGGCATCATATTTGTCTTTTTATATTTTATCAACATGGCACATTGTAAGCACACGTTAATTCAAATTTTAACTCTTCAATTGAGAATGTAATTGCTTGTGTGTTAACCCATTTTGGATTGTCGGATAAGCTGGTTTTGCGGATTAAAAAGTCGTTATGGATTAGGTAGTTGGATTTAAAAAGATAAAACATCTTTTATCTTAGTCCGTTGCAATTAGCTAATTATTTCACGGGATTTGCGCTTTTTACAAGAGTCAGATGATTTTTTTTATCACACTCCTATTATTATTTAAGTATGTTTTTTTTGTAAAATCACCGAACGAATTAAAACTAGGATAATTAATTTATGGTCTTATTTGCCTGCCCTTCCTTTAGTTAAATATAGAAGTGGTCGTGTATACATAAAGAATAAGCTGACTGACCTCTTTATCTAATAAAAATTAGGTATGTACCTACTGTAGTATGTTGAGTCGTTAGTTTCAGGAAGTGTTGCGATAACGCAGCTGTTTTATCGTATGTCTGGTGGTATGTAGGTAAGTGGGTCTAGTTCAGGCCTCAATGTAAATAATTTGCACGAGGAGAAATATTAAATGAGATTTGAATATATTTTTAACATCTTTTGGACGAATACGAGGATAGTTATGAGAGCATATTAACTAAACAGAGCAACAATTGTATGAATATGAATATTGAATGAAATATAGAGAACCTCGTTAAAGCTGAACAAGATAAAGCAAGTAAATGTCTTGATTTAGCTCATAAGATTGTCAACGTGTAGGGATGTGGAATTACAGTGCCGATAGTCGTATCTGCCAATGGCCTCGTGGGTAAAAGCCTCGACAAACACCTGAGTAGGCTAACATAACGTTAGGTTGGGTCAAGGGCCTGATGCAGAAGACGATACTTCAGGACACGGTGCGTATTGTCCGCAAATTTCCATTCTCTATGCTTTTATGACAATAATTGTTTTTAAATAATATTTTAAGTGATTCGAACACTTACTAATTATCTATGAGTGTTAAGCCACTTTAATAAATCAGTAAGTACTGGGCTATATAACTGAGTTGAAGAAGTTACATTAACATCGATAGATGTGAGAGGAAGTAATGGAATGCGTGGAATGATAATGGAAGAAAAGGGGTTGTATTATGATATGGTTTATGATAGGGGCATAAATAAGGCGGATCTAAAATAATTTATAATCAAGGCTACCAATGGAAGGACACAATTGGCCCCATGAACGGTCGTAAAAGGCTGATTGCAGCACTTTACGTTTACATTTAGGTAATAACAAGCTGGTTGTGTCCAAGCTAAGCCAATTGATAGTAGTGAACTAATGACCCATGATACTCATTCAGCACATCGAATTACCAAAGCCTTTGCAATGTTGAGCAATTAAGGTCATCGAATCCATATATACGGACTTCTTAGCTTCATAGGTACAAAGCATGTCATGCTCAGCTCAGCTTTTGTCAGTTCCCATAACAAGCAATTTATTTAATTGGAATAAATGGAGTTTGCCCATTGGCTCATCCTTGTAAAGATATAGCGTCGATAATAACTTGAAAGAAGTTTTCTAATTAACTAATGGTCGTGGTTAATGTGTGTGTGTTAATATGACCTACTTGTGGCATATGGTGGCCATTACGATTTTTACTTTGTTACCCTTGCTTAGATACGCGTTAAGCTTTTAAACGACCAACAAATTAGTTGTGATTGCGTAAAATCTCAAGGTTCGAAGTTTATCTTGTATTATAGATATGTTTATACGCGTGTTTTAAACTATTTACCTGTTTAAAATCCATGTTGGAGTATTTTTTGAGGTTATGTGGGCAAAAATTGGCTTTAGGCTTTATATTCATTGAAAGTCGTTTAGTTGTCAGTTTATCCGCATAGCAGCAGTGCCATGGTCACGGGGTATATCCTACAAGTGTAAAAACACACGGGTTTCCTCGTTGTATCTGACTTCATTAACATATAGACAATGTGTTGTTTCGTCTCACTGCTCGCTACAGAAGACGGCTTAGAAGTAATTTTTACTTCATTGCTAAATTAACTTTTTGTTTCTTATTGGCCGTATACAATACATGTATTCACTTTTTACACTCATATAGACATTTTGTTTTGGAATAGTGGTGACGTGGTATTCTTGTGTATGGGTCCCAAATTAACCAATTATTTTGCGAAAACGAATTAATATCGTGTTAATTCGTTTTATTTTCGTTAACATTGACATCTTGTTAATTCGATTTTAAGTGACTCATGAGGTAAAAAAACAAGAACATTCGTTATGATCTTATCAAGTAGTTATGTCTTAAAGAACAAACAAAAAATAGTTTGGAATGTAAAAAAAACTCCATTTCAATAGAAATATTCACGTGAAGTACGTTTATTTTTAGTTTGTGAATTGAGAAGGAATAGCAGTCTTTGCCAAAACATACGCATATAGATACCTACATATCTATACATATGTAAATTATGTCTAGGTACAGGTTACTGCTTTCTCCGTAATTACGGGCATTTTGAAGGTCATTTTAGAATAAATAGTTTTTTTATTTAATGATTGCATGAAATTATTTTTGCATCTTTTGCAGTTCAGAGTAATGGGCAAAATAGCCTTCAATACCTATTAAGACCACGATAGGCACTTTTAAAAGTCAAACAAAATAATTTATCATCAGGATTTCAACTTTGAATGTATCAGTTTGTGTGGTCTGTCTTCTAGTGAAGCTAACAATTGCGTGGTGTGAAACTGTACCTAGTAGATAATTCAATTGATATTTATCCATAGGTAACCAAAAGTAATGAATGGTGTGTTATGGGTATTATCCAGGTATTACAAAGACAGTATCGGCATAAAAAGAAATGTATAAATGAACTATGTATTGAACCTTCAATTTGTTAGTTAATGATTACAATACAAATTCATAATGAATTATTGAACTTTTAACCCGTGGTATTACTTTTAATATTAAAGCGAGACACAATGTGTTATCTATTGTGTCTCATATACGGGCAGACGAAAAGTTAAAGAATATCATACCGATTTTAACTTATTCAACGAAACATATTAATACAAGAGAAATGCAGACTGCCATTGAACGCCATGTATGTCAGGCAATGTTGTCCGACTCTAGGGGAGTATTAGCCTTCAACATTTTTGTCGAAGTCAACATAATATATGTATGTTAGCTAGCTTTATTCATCCACAACACATATAATTATAATAACGTGTATGTTTGAGTAGCAAATGGTCAGTTGTCAGTCTATTTGCGTCAACCGTAATACAGCAAATTTTGCTGTGTAGCTACATTTTTATATCGGCAAACAACCTGATGTAGGTATCATCTAATGGTAAGCAATCGGCGCCCCCCACGGACGCCTGCAACACCAGAGGTGCCGAGGGTGTTAGTGCCAGCAACAGGGTGTTAGTAGCAATAGTGCCAGAGGTGCCAGACAAGTCCGTTGCCGGCCTCTTGGGGATTAGGGTTTCGGAGATTTAGGGATTAAGGAGGGATGGTGAAGAAGTTTTGGACGATACCTTCGCTCACACGGCGAAACACAACGTTGTTGTTATTTGACGCCGATTTTCTGTGAAGCTGTGGTATCATTCGCGCCGACCTATTCTTACCGAAGCTTGGCTCACCCGCACTTAAATACATACATACGCACATATCATACGTAATCAAATTACCTACAGACATTACACAGTCAATCCATTGTTCACAGTTATGTGTAAAAATAATATTTACGTTCCTCGTCCACACATTTTCATGGTTACCCTACACTACATAGTTTCGGAATGTCATTGTCAAAGGTTCGCGAGTGTTGCAATGTACATATATTGAATTAGGATAGTCCGAATTTATTCGTATGCAAATTCTGACAGCGCTGAGGTCGATTTTGTATACCGAGTATGTTGTAATGTCGTCAAGTGACTTTGGACTTTCGAACCGTAATTTTACGGTTCTTTATTAATATGTATTAAGTGTATGTAAGGAAGTGGTATATATGTGTTGTAGTGTATGTAATACAGTAATTAGCATTGCATCATTTCTTAGTTTAAATTGATTAAAAAGCAGGGTCAAAGTTTTACGATAATCAAGGACGATCCGAAATTTAGGCAGGTATTTTAAATATTTTGAAGTTGAGGCCTTTTTAACTTTAATAAACAGAGGCAGACTGTGCCTGGTGAGCGCCTTAGGCAAGCATCACATAGGCCACCACTCATCTATTCTCAGCCTTATGCTTGGGCCACACTAACGGGAAATGTTAATAATTATCGCGATATTAAACAATAAAAAATATACCTCAAGTCATTTGTTTAGTGAAAATTACAGCTACGATTAACGTCCATTATCGCGATAATGCAATGGCATTTACCGTTAGTGTGGCCAAAGCATTAGAAATAACACGAAACTAGGAATTCATAGAAATCTTTTTAAAATACTTCATCATACAGAATTATGAAAGTACTTTTATTTATATTTAGGTACTATAAGTACTATAGGTAATGTAAAATATTGAAATAATAGGTAACATAACACAAAACCTTATCATATGCCTCTGTACGGTTTGTTGAACATGAAGAGAGGAACGGCTGAAAAAGTTGATAAACCACAGACTGATTATGGTTTTTTAGTCACACCAAAGATAAACAGAAAAAAAAGCAAAGCGTATGTAATGTTTTTTGTACGTGTATTTATTATAAATATCTACATATTATGTATATTACGTTCCGAGAATATGTTCGCGTGAGCAAAATTGACGATAAATTACAATTCAGTCAGTTGCAAAGTTCAGGGTTGACAGGCCAACACATATGTATACACCCATAATAACAAAACTTGCTAGTATGTCAGTTATGTAAAGTTACTATTTAGCTGCACATGTGGGCGTGGAACAAGTAAAGGCTCAATCCTTCCCCCCATCCTTAACCCCCAAATCCTTCGTATCCCCTTAAATCCGAAAAACTAACCCTCAAAAGGCCGGGAACGCACTTGTAGTAACTCCTTTGGGCGGCGCCGTAAAAAGTATTTTTTGCAAAATAATAGTTGCTAACAGCTTGCTTGAACGGTTTCAAAGAAAAATATATTTAATAACAATGTGAATAATGTGGCCTGTCGGCTATCCTGTTCTGCATTAACAAGAGACTTCTTTGTTCCTTTCAGCTTTTCTTCGGGTGAAACAGACTTGATTTTAATATCCTTTTATTAAGGAAGTATTAATAGCTACATAATCATTATAAGTTTTCAAGGGATATGTATCTATATATCACCTTGTAGCTTACTACTTCCTTGCAACTTCCGTTTTCTTTGCAAAGTGCAAGACATTAAAGTTTGTAGGTACCTAACTTTATAGTATAACATCGTCTGTTCTGTATATTTATGTTCTGTGATAAACTCATAAACGACTGAATAGGATTTCGAAAGCCAAATGATTAAATAAAAAAAACTGTGCTGCGGACCGTAAGCTAGTTTGATACCAACCAAGTTTAGTCCCGTACTGTATAAATCGGACCCCGAATACGTTTGTATTTCGTTATTTTTATGTCACCAATAAATACCAGATAAAAAATAAATAGGTTAATTCGCTTTTGGCCTATTGGCCCCAATTAACCGCTCATAATCGGGACTTCAATTTCGGGTGCCATAAAAACTGCTTAATAAGTTTTTCTTTCATGAAATACCAGAAGTCGGTAGGTTTCACCTTTATGGCTCATTAACCTTGTAAATACTGTTCCTAATCTTCTTACCGGTAATATCAGATCAGTGACAATGATTAGTGCACCTTCGCTTTGCACACGACAGTAAAATGTAATAAGCAGGTAGAACGACTAATAAGAGCTACAAAAACCATTATAAAATAACCGGTAATTGTGAGCAAAGATCATAGGAAGCTAGACCATGATAAACTAGGCAATGACTTTAGAGATATATGTACCTACATCTTATATGTATATAAAATTAATTAAAACCGAGGTGTATCCTCGGTTTCAAAATGTTACTAACAGCTGATCGGGCGACGCCCGGCGGGCGCGCGAAGTTTGTTATAAGTTGAAATAAAAAAAAAATTGAGTATAGAAAAAAAAAATTGACTAAGTAACTAGAAGTAGTTTGTTATCATAAGTGTACATGTACAGTCAGGGGTCAAAAATGCAATTACACTCTACCAATTTTATAATTACTATTTTTTCTTTGTAGTAAAACTTCAATGGTTCACAGCCAGTTTATTCAATAATTTAGATTGTATCCTATAAATTAAAGCAGTCCTCAACCATTGACTCTACAAAGATATTTTGGTCATTTTAAAATTGGTAGAGTGCATTTGCATTTTTGACCCCTGACTGTACAATGATGTGTTTAAATATTCATATAACCTTTAAAATGTATGCCTTACCTGGTTGAATACACCTCGCGTGGAGGAGTAAGTCTCCCCTTTCACGTAAGGCGGTAATGTGGCTGTGGAGCTGATACTTCGGAGGAAACTCTGTAAGGCTTCATATTCATCAGCTTTCTTCGACTCTTTGCTGACGATCTGGGGTACCTGGCCTTCGCCAAGCATAGCCTCGTGGGCTCCATCACTGTAACAATAATGCAACAGGTTAGATGGGAAGAAAATCACACGATTAAAGAGAGAGATTTATACTATATAATTAGCTTTTACCCGCGACTCCGTTCGCGTGAGATAGTGACTTCCTGCAGATTTTAATGCAGGTATAAAAACAATCCTATGTCATTTCTCGGGTTCCAAACTATGCCTGTATCAAATTTCACAGAAATCGGTTCATTAGTTTAGGCGTGTAAGGAAAGACCGATAGACAGTTACTTTCGCATTTATAAAATTAAAGAAAAAGAATTGTGAAAGAATTTTGGAATTCCGACCCGCAGTTTCAAATATTCCCCCCCTCAAACAAACTGGCACGTTTTACCTCTTTATAATGTAAGTATAGATTATACTATACATTTTTTCTTCTGATGAGATAAGGAGCAAAAAGGAGCTATTTATCAAAAGTATATTTTGGTAAATGTGAATGCAATTTATGAACAAAATTCGGAATTCAAAAATACATTGATTCAATGATTCTGTTTTATATATTATGTATTATGTATTATTTACATAATGTACACTTTTGTGGTATGTAAATACTTGTTACTCTCGCGCTGTTTAACCACTGCTAAATAACCAACGACCACCCGCTTGATAAATGCATTCTCATAAATGGACTAACGATCACAAAAATAATTGTTCAATCCGAATCAGCAGTTCCTGAGATTGGCGCGTTCAAACAAAGACAAACAAACAAACTGTTCGGCTTTATAAAAATATATAGGTAGATATATTAACGAGTAAATCGCATGTCATAGTGTTTGAATTTATAGGTAAACGTCCTAGAGATGTTTGCTGACCTAAAATTGACTTTAGTTCTATTTTGATTCTAATTTGTAAATAAACTGAGTCAGAATAGACATACGGGTGACCGTTCCAAACTCGTAATCACATCACAACATATCGATTTGTCAATGGAAGATGTTTTTTTATTCTATTTTAATTAGGGGTTTTTTATCCAAATGGATACGTCAACCCGAGACGAAGTATCTATCAACTAAAATATATGAAAGGAAATTATTGTCTAGGTTTCTGAATTAAGCCCCAAATTATGCGTTTAGTCCTTTCTGATTTAGGAAGATGATATCACGCACATCTTTTATCTATTTTCATGAGGATCTGGGCAGAGGCCAAGTATACTATATGGATATACATATAAGAACAACGTAGTTGCTCTATTTTTCGTAATTTTTTTTAGGGTAAAAATCATCAAATTACTTTTAATTACTTCCTGCATGACAAGAGTATGAATGAGTCCCTTGTTGACGAGTAACTCTGAGCGAGTGCAAACATGGCTCTCCAACAATTGTCTCAAGTAAGAGCAAACTATCGCTGATATTAAAATTTTTGAATAGTAACTATCGTGACATATACTAAATATATTAAAAACTAGATATTCTCACGCGGTTTCCCCCGCTGCTCGGCTCCATTTGATCGTAGCGTGATGTTTTATAGCCTATAGCACTCAGGAACATTGTAGATATCTATCAGTGATCTAATCCCTCCTCAATCCCTAAATCTCTAAAAGGTCGGCAACCTACTCGTAACTCCTCCATTGCGAGTGTCCAAGGGCGACGCTGATTGCTTACCATCAGGTATCCGTCTGCTCGTTTGCCAATATTAGGTACATATAAAAAAAATACAACATTGTCGTTTCGTTTCGAGTTGAAAATCATTGCTCATATACTTAAATGAGAGATGGATAAATTTAATAACAGATTCCTTTTAGATCAACGCAACGTGCAATGTTTTCGGATTACGAGTCAGCTGTTATTTTTGTTTTCAAAATGGCGTAATGTTCGTGCCGGGCGTAAATAAAAAGGTTACTTAAGTTCAATGTTCAGTCACATAAGGTCGATTTTTTTTATAATTAAAGTACAATTTGTGGCCTTTATTAAGTGGTTGCAAGTTCGGCGACTGTTAACAATGTAGGTAACTATTGGATCTAAATCATGAATTATTTTAACTTATACATATAGATCGCAATATTCAGTTTTTATACTTGACTCTTACTCAACCTTACTCGAGTAATAATGACCCATGTATAGGTATTTATGCGCAAAATCGAATTCAGCTTTTACTTTCACTCATACGATTCTGCAGGACGGCAATCCGACCTGACCGGACGCAGTAAAATGTAAACAGTAAACAATGAGACGTTGATACACGTATTATGGTGAATAAGTATGCATCGTAGAATGACAAAGGGATATACTTTTCTTTTAAAAAAAACGTTGCCCATGGTGCGGAGCGATAGGAACTGGGACGCCGTCTCCTCTTACTATGAAGCAGTTATATTCGCAAAGAAGGAGGCAGACCGCGTGAGGGAGTTATCTTTCTCCTCGGACCCTAGCCGCCCGCAGTAGACAACACTCCTAGTACCTACGTCGCTATTAGTGAGCGGAAAGCGAAGAGTAGCTCGCCGCCCCATTAGAACCAGACCCGAGCGTACGGCGCGTAGCGTTCCGGCGCGCGTCAAAGAGCCAACAGACCACCACAGACGGGGCCCTACAGGGCTGATGTTCAGCCGGGGTTGCAGGGTAAGCGTAATGTGGCATCGCGGCCTCGGCCCAAAACAGGAGAAGGAATAGCGGGGTTTTTAGTCAGTAAGAGTCGCCTTATCTTGGGCGGCAAAATCATTTGAAGAAAAAAAACAGATTGATACGAGTTATTCATTGATTTTGACCGCCAACCAGCAGCATATAACTTAACATGTGAGGGAAGAAATTTTTACTACGATTATGTTGTTAATAATTAAATCTTTAACAATTACGAGAAAAAAAGCGCGTCAATGTCTAAGAAGGTGTGTTTTAATCGCAGATCTATTTAAATAACAATAGACAATGACATTGTTAACGCTTCATTTATTTAAAAATATCTACATTGCAAATGAATTGTCGTAATAGTCCGTGTTATAAACAGTCCATGAAATTAATTAAAAGGTGGAAGCTAATTCTGCCGTTCAGTAGTCAAGGCGAATCCGATTAATTTATCATGATACACCAATATTTTATCTTTAAATTCTTTCCGTACATTCTTAATTCAAATTAGGTAGAAAGAAAGAAAGAAAGAAAGAAAATATTTATTTGTGAGAATGTAGTACAAATATAGGTGTTTGTGTTATGTGTATGGAATCTCACACATTCTACCGAATTGGTGTACAAATTATTTCGCTTAGTATCTAGTTATAACTATGCACTATTTATTCTAAGTCTATGATAGGTCATCTAAATAATCTTTAGTGCAAGGTACTTACTTAATTTACCATAACAGTTACATTTAATTCATTATATGTACCTATATCATATTATGACTTTCATTTAATAGTGTGATTCAATAATGATTCATTATTATAATAAAGATTCAAATATTTTTTGTAAACTAATAAACATATAAATATGTATTTTCACCTGTTACGGATCTAGCGCAATAAGGTGCCGCGGTCTCGGCCCGGAGCAGGAAAAGGAACTGGGTGGTTTTTAGTCAGTAAGTGTCTGTCAAAACATTAGGATTTTCCTTCCTGTAAAAAACCTCTTTCCAGGCAAAAGAGCGATAATTTACCATCGTACTAAAGGCAAATTTCTGCAAAGAAAAAAAATGGCAAAAGAAATTGGCAAAAAAACTAATTGATATAAACAACAGTACCTACACATAAATTCTGAATCACAATCATCCTTTAAGTAATTCAATTATTTATTACTAAGTATTGATTTATTCAATAAATAGAGTCAGTTGAGAGAAGGCATTGATAAGTAACTTATAAAGTAATAAGATATTATGGCTTTGGCCACATTGCAAAATGTTACAACTTGAATGATATAGTCGTGAGATATAAAGGAAGCCTTTTAGTTCTTATACAATAACCATAAAATAAAAGGGGACATTTTATGCTTGTTTGCAGTTTTAATTAATCAAAGCTGTTGTGTTTGGCCAGGCAACATATATGCAGTAGATTGTAGTATTATATAGAGGAATTATAATGTTTATTTGAATCTACGGTTCGACTAATTTGCTTCCTTTTTTAATTTACGAGGAATATTTATTAAGAATTATCTAGAGTTTATTTTAAACAAGCAACTACAATGAAATTATTGCAATGATAGAGTAAAACTCATTTGTTAACAATCCTGCTCTTGTCGTGGGTGCCGCAAGGAACGATTATGGGTCCAAGAAATAATGGACACCGCGTTCTCCAAAAAATAGCTTTTAAACTATGACGCTCAACTGGACCAACCGTAGATATTATGTTTTATGTAGTTGAGGTCTAGTCATGCCGAGAAAAGCCACGGGTTGTTTGGTTATAGCAAAATTGTTAACGTTAAAGAAATGCAACGATGCAAATGAGGATTACTTTGATCACGTGACTGTAAAATGTTCACAACTTACATTGCATTAGGCTTATATTGTTGTCTACAACGTTGCACCAAGTCAATAAAGTTGAAAAGGTTAGAAACTAGGTCTTAAGAAAACTGCTTATTAGCAGATAGATAAAGTTGCACTTAATATCAGTCAAGTCAAAGATCTCAAAAATCACAACAAAAATCCTTACTCATTGAATATGATCTATAAAATTACAAATCAATATAGTTTTATCGCATAGGTACTGATTAAAGATTTTAGACTCACCTCTGAACTCTGATGACCCTGAATTTCGTTTGAAAATGTATATCAAAACCAAAAATTGTTAGGACCATTTTGTAAATTCTATACAAAGGGACAGACGCCTTCGTCCTGACGTCTACTTCACTAACTTAGTGACGGCAACTGGCGTTATATAAATAAAAATAATGTTATCTTTAACCCTTAACCTTCTTGTTGCGACTAGGTATGTTGGTATACCTATATTATGCGTGCACGTTATGTATAGTATAATGTGCGAACGTAGTAGGTATGTATAATAAACAATGTTGTGATTAGATCTATATACATATAATATTTGTTTATGTTTCTAAGAACCAAACACCTCATATACAT